GTTGAGTCTGTCGCATTACAATTAGCACCAGCGGCTAACAAACGTTTAGCTGCATCAGCACGGGCATGTCGAGCTGCTAAATGTAAACATGTTTCTCCAGTTTTCTCAGCAATTTTATTGATATCTTTTTGCTCTTGGAGTAATTTCTTGAAGCTTTCGTCTGAATTTGTTGTTGTTGTTGTTGATGATGATGATGATGAACCATGATGATCATTGATATTTGGAGACATTATCATCATAATATCATCATTAACCGAGTTTGTTGTTGTAATTCCTTGGTGTTGTGCTTGTTGTTGATGGTTCATGTTAATCATGTCTGAATCAGATTCACAATAAGGAGCTGAATCGCCATAAGCTGAAAATACCATTAAAGCGGTTAATCCATCAGGTCCAACAATATTTTCATTATCTTCCATTAAACAATCACCGGAATCAGGACTCATTGAGTAACTCCACCACCATTATTGTATGGTAATAATTCAGTTTTAATTAGTGGAGGAGGGATAATTTGAGTGGTATCACCAGTATAAGCTTCATAATGATGTTGAATATTAGTCAAGCACGAGGATCATGAGGTTCTTCATAAATTGTTTCAGTTTTTGTCTCAATTGATGTAACACTTGTTTTAGCTGAACAATCTTTAACCATTCGTAGTTCTTGTCCATCATAATAATGACTTTGATTGTAGTTATTGGAACGACCATTGAAACGTTGAAGTGAATTACTTTGAAAAGCTGAATTTCTTCTACCACCATGATTACTATGATTAGAGTTTTTATTGCGATGATTTCTTCCGAAATCTCCTGATGCTGCAGCACAAGTAGAAACTGATCTCTGATATCCACCACCATCATTTTCTCCACTCTCTCCATCTCTTCTTCTATCATCACCTCTCTCCTCCTCCTCCTCCTCCTCTCCTGATCCTGATCCTCTTCCAATGGTTGTGAAACCTTCAGGGAACCAAGTGATTGTCCCACCAACTTTAGATTTACCATTAACCTTAACAATAACTTGGATCAACATGGCAGAAATCAAACAAGCTCCGATAAGACAACCAGAAACAAGAGTCCAAGAGGTCGATAATCATCAAGTTTTCTCCATCACCATAAGGAAGTAAATCTGATGGATTGAAGGCTGATTGAACTTTCACAACTGATAGAGCTTGGAACATACTTGGTTGACCCATGTCTTTACCACGACTTTCAAGTGCAGCGAAAAAGTTGGCCAACGATGATGCATCTTCGTAACAATTAGGATAACAAATACTATTGTCAATAATCAACGAGAGATTGGACCAAGTTTCACCCGTCGAAGTGTAATAAGGTTGAATTTCCTTTTCACTTGAACCCATTCGTCTTCTTATTCTTAGAATGACTCCCGAGATTCGAGACAATTCTCGCAGGAATGATGATAATTTAACATTATCATTGATTAAATCGTTATAAGGCATATCAACAACGATGAATAACTCACCACGACCAAGAACCCGATGTCCAGTGAAACAATCTAATCCATCGTAACCACATTCAGATGAATCACAACCACTATCACAAAAACCATTTCCATAGTTTTCCAAACAATAATAATCATTTTTCTCGTTACATTTACTTCCTCCTTCTCCTTTTCCTCCTCCTCTTCTTCTTTCTGATCCACTTTTACCAACTTCAGGGAAGAAAGCAGGTAAACTGGAACTACGATTGGAAGGTGATGAAGGCGATGAAGGTGATGATGAGGATGGAGATGATGGTGATGAATCCTTGTTATCATTAACACAATCTCTTCCATCAAATAAACAGGCTCGATTGTTACATTCTTCATTACAAATACCATTTGAGAATCGAGACCAACAGAAAGAAGGTGAAGAACAATTCGACCAGGGGTTACCATTACCTAAGAAACATTCTTCTTTATTTGGACATTGTGGATGACAACTATGTCTCAAACAATCAATTTCTTCTTCTTTTACTTTTGGACGATTATTATTATTATTGTTATTAGATGAAGATGAAGATGATGATGAACGATCACAACGATAACTTCCATGTAAATTGACACATTTATCATTATATCTACAAGGATTATTGTTTCCACTTGAACATTCATCAATATCGTTTTCACAATAATGTCCCGTGAATCCGTTTACACAACTACATTGATAATCTCGGAAGTTTGTTAAAATTGTACAAGTTGCACCATTTTGACATTTGTTACCTGAACATGGATTAATTTCAGTTTCACATCTTCTCCCTGTAAATGGAACTGGACATAAACAAGTGAAATTGTTCACTTGATCGTAACAAGTTCCGCCATTCAAACAAACTGGTCCCATGATATGGGACGAGATTAAACATTCGTTGATATTTGTTTCACAATTAATTCCCGTAAATCCTGGGGGACAAGAGCAAGTGTAATGAGATACTAAATTGTTACACTTTCCTCCATTAAGACAAGGTCCAGATACACATTCATTGATGTCCGATTGACATCGTATTCCAGTGAATCCTGGTGGACAATGACAGATGAATGATCCTGCTTTTGGTCCGGTGGCACAAGTACCTCCATTGTAACATGGATTAGATTCACATTCATTGTAATCATTTAAACATCTTGTCCCAAAATAACCACGAGGACATGAACATTTAAATGAATTGACTAAATCATGACAAGTACCACCATTAGCACAAGGATTAGAAGCACATTCATCAATATCAATTTCACAAGTAGGACCAGAGAAACCAGGAGGACATTCACAAGTCTATTAATGAAAATGAAAATAAAAATGAAAATAAAAATGAATTACATGTAACAATAATACAATGTACTAATACTTTCTAATGACTTTTATATTAATACTTACGAATCCGTTTATTTTATCATGACAAGTTGCTCCATTTCTACATGGACTTGACCAACACTCATTTGTATTAATCTCACAAAGAGTTCCACTTGTACCTTTAGGACATTCACAAGCAAAACCATCAACAAGATCACGACAAGTTCCCCCATATAAACATGGATTTGATAAACATTCATTTATCTGAACTTGACAAAGTCGACCTGAAGAAATGAAATGAAATCAAATCAAATAACCAATTATAATTAACATTTTTATAATCATTATAATCATTATGATTTTTATCATCATTATATTAATAATAAGAAATTAGCTAATTAATTACCTTGATATCCTGGATCACAAGAACATGAGAATCCATCAATACGATCAATACATTTACCATGATGACAAGGTGATGAAGAACAATCATCAATATCAATGTCACATGTTTTCCTGAAATCCTGGTGGACAACGACAAGTAAATCCAGCGACATCATCAACACATGAACCACCATTCAAACAGGGGGATGAGAAACAATCGTTTTCATTTTGTTCACATCGACCACCCGAGAATCCGGTTGGACAAATACATCGAAATGCATTAATCAAATCGGCACATGTACCACCATTTAAACAAGGATTGTCTGAACATTCATTTATATCGGTTTCACATTGTTCACCGGTAAATCCTTGCATACAAATACACCGATATCGTCCTCTCATCTAGACAAGTTCCATCGTTTTGACAGGGAGATGAGTCACATTCGTTGATGTTTGTCTCATCGAGCACCAGTGAAACCGATGGCACATTCATTTAAATGACCCCGGGTGTTGACACAACTTCCACCATGTTCACAAGGGCTTCCCGCTTCTTCACATTCATTTACATCTTCAGTGCAATAGGTGCCCTTGAAACCAGGGGGACAAGAGCAAATATAAGTCCCATCGATGGGCGAGGTGTCACAAATGGATCCCGATTGACATGGATTGGAGGCACATGCATCATCATACTGACAGAAAAGTCCCGTTTTACCTGGTGGACATTGACAGTGAAAGGAACCAACTCGATCAATACAAGTAGCACCGTTTTGACAGGGGGAACCAATACAATCATCAATATTCTCGGAGCAATCAGGACCAGTCCAACCATTGACGCAAATACAATTGTAACCACCACGAGTATTGACACAAGTTGCTCCATTTCGACATTGAGATTGCCTTAATGAACACTCATCAACATCAATGGAACAATAAAGTCCAGTGAATGTGGTGTACATTGGCAAGTATAATCATTAATCCCATCGATACAAGTAGCTCCATTTTCACATAAATTATCTGCACAATCATCAATGTTGATTTCACAATTGATTCCTTCAAATCCTTTTGGACAACGAATTGGATTAGTTGAATAAGAAAAAGATGATAAAGAAGAAGAAGAAGAGGTTGAAATTGATGTCACCAAACATGATAGAAAAATGACCAAGTTCAGAATAAGAAATTGTTGTTGATAAAATTGATGACACATTATTGCAACAATAAGAAAGAAATGAAAAATTAGATAATCCAAGAGACACAAGAGAGTTTGGATTTAAAATCCAACTCAATCCGATGATGGAATTGAAAAACTCTCACAACTTTTGAAAAGATGGAAAATTGGACATGAAGATGAAAAGATTATTTAAAAGACAAAACATCGAAGACAGAAAATGTTGATTAATTGTAACCAAAAAGAGAAGAAAAAGAGAAGAAAAAAAGTTAAAAGGACAAATTAAAAAGAAAAAGAAAAGACATTCACAAGTTACAAAACAATTGGATAAAAAACATGGCGTCAAATGTCCGTTAAAAGATCAGAGGGTTAATAATATTGTTGCTTGTTCTCTTTCTCTTTCTGTTCTCTTTCCTCTGTTGGATTTATAAAAACAGTTCGATTAACCGTAGCGATGAAGATGAAGATGAGGATGAGGATGACGACGGTTACCAATAGACACTCGAATGGAAAGAGAGACACAAATAAAAGAGAGAAATAAACGATCTCCTATAAGAAAACACAAGTTACTCTTTGGAAAAGTTTTGTTCAACTAACAAATGTTTTCTATTTGAGAGAGAAAGAGACTGAGAGAAAAAAAGAGACTGAAGAGAAAGAGAAGAGAAAGAAGAGAAAGAGAAAGACCTGTTGCCCCCTTTTAGAAAATAAAAGAGGGGAAGAAAAGAAAGAGAAAAAGAACCGTGGGAACGTAAAAGAAAGAGAAGAAAATCACTTAAACTAAGAGATTTTTCTCTTCTCTTTCTTTTTGTAAGTAGATTTTTTTTTTCTCTTTCTTATTAATATCTTTTTCCATCCATCAAAATCTTTTAAGTAAACAATAGATGAAGAAATTGTTCTTCTTTAAGATGATCAACCTCATCCGTCACCGTAAAGGTAAATATCCAAATAGTGATCAGACTTAAGTCCAAAGACGCTAAGTTTACAATCACTTCAACTCTTTCGGTCAACGATAATCAGGTAAATGTAACTTTCAACATCTAATCCGATGGCCATTTTGATGGTTTGGTCCAAATTCACCAATTTTTAAGCTCTTAAGCCTAAGAAGTTAATCATCTCAAATAATTAGCATTTATTTTTCCCAATTTACATTATTCTGGAAACTGAATCAATATAATTTAGCAAATCGATTTGATTGTTAGTGTAAAGGTGGTGATATTTCATATAATTTTCATTAATTTTTATATATTTGTTATTTTTTTGATGAACTTTTTCACCATTTAACACATGAGTTAAATCAATTCTAAACTCTAATTCAAAACTTCTCAATTGATTAATCAGAGAGAACAAGTTAGGTGAGCCATGATTGAAGCAGCTATTGAGCTTATTATGAAATCCCTCAAGATGATTAGTTGTCCGAGTTCCAAAGTTACCAAAATGATTCCATGAATCCCTTTTAAAAATCGCATTTTCATTGACCCAAGTTGATTGAATGTAAAACAAAAATTCATCAACTCTTTCATCTTCATTTGTATTCAATTCGTTAATCAAAAACCAAGCTTCATCTAAATCACCTAATGATATTAAGGGAAGAGCTTTACACCTTTTGAAAAGAAGCCTGAATTCAGAGTTTTTCTCATAACAAATTTTTAGTCCGAGATTTTGAATCTTTCGATACAAACATTGTGAATAGTGAAAGTAACATCCATGGACATTAATTGATGGAAAGAATGATGTAAAAGCCTTTATTATTGCACATTCGAAGTCGCAATGTAGGTGGAGTGGGTTGAAGACTAATCTTAATCTTAATCTAATTTGTTGATTAATTATAGCGAGAAGGCGAAGATAAGTTTCCATTTTTTTATCAGGTAGAAGAGCATAAGCCGCCGGAAACATGTTATTATTAATTAGAATGTGAATTGTGAATAATTGATAAAATTGTCTAGGAACTGATGAAAATGTACCATCAACATAAACTCTATCAGAATTAGCTAAATGTGTCAGAAAAGTAGACGAACTGAAAACTATCATGTTATTATCATTATGAATTAAGAATGATTTTTTATCTAATGTTAATTGATAATCACTAGGAATTATTAAATTATTTTTATCAATTAAAGGGTAAGTTGATTTACGTTTAGAATACAAAGAAGATTTAAGATTGAGAAATTTTGGGACAATTAAAATATCTTCATTATTTTCAATCAGTTTCAATGTCCGATTCTCTCTGACCTGAGATAATAATGATAACAATAATTAACAATTAATAATAATAATAATAATAATAATAATAATAATAATAATAATAATAATAATAATAATAATAATAATAATAATAATAATAATAATAATAATGATAATAATATGATGATGATTGAGGTAGATGATGATGATGATGAGGTTGAAGATGATGATGATGAGGTTGAGGTAGATGATGATGATGATGAGGTTGAGGTAGATGATGATGATATTATATTATTATTATTATATTATTATTATTATATTATTTTCATTTAAATAATTATTATGTTAAAGTTTATTTTACTCACATTATTGAATATTTGTTTGATTGAAAGATTAGGAGATTTTTTAATTTCCTCGATCATTTGATCACGAGATTTGATTTTCTCGATTTTTTTGAAATGTTTATCATGAAAATGTTCAGTTGGTTCCTTGACTATGTTGATATCCTGAGTTATCACTGTAACACTACACTTTGATTCACTACACCGCCAATAACAACGAATATCATTTCGATTACGCAAATTATAAACAAAGTTATTGTAAACTAAATTAAAACGACCACGATTTGATTTGATTATTTCCATAGTTTAATTACTGACTGTTTGACTTTTGTATTCAAACTAAACAACTGACCTGAAATCTATTGTTTTTCTGTTTGTTTACACTTTGCCTCAAGGTGAGAGTCAAGAGATTAGGATTAAGAGCTTAAAAATTGGTGAATTTGGACGATACCCATTTTGATAGAGATACAATTGTCTAAATGAGAAGGTATTAGTGTCCTACCTGAGGGTCAACTTGACCTCTCATCACTTAAATTCAACTGAGTCAATGTTTTAGTGTTTCCGAACTCAAAGTCTTTGTCTTAACAATTGACCATCGATTGGCCTAATTTTGTTTTCATTTTTTTCTTTTCTTCTTTTCTATATAAAAATTAACAGGTTTGGATTATAAACAAATGACCAAATGTAATGTTTATATTGTTGATTAATTTTTCACCTCTTAATCTACTTTTTTGTCCCTTTGTTTATCATTTATATCGAAAGGTGAACAGATTGTCATCATGAGCAAGAAGATGAACTCAAAGACACTGTGAGAATATGTTGTTGCCTAATATCTCATGGAAAAAGGATCGTCATCATCATAATCATCATTGTGGAACCTTCTATATGAGTCTATGGTTTTAACCTGAATGCAGATGATTTTGTTTAAAAAAACAGCCTGTTGATTGGACGATTATCATCATGGTCCCCGGAGGTTCATCAAAAATCACTTGAAAAGTGATTTCTATCAAATGAAAAAGGGGAGAAAGTGCGAGTGAGCCATGAAAAAGAGTCTCTGTTGACATAATCCCAAAGGTATCTTGAGAAATGAAAATATCCTTGTGCAAGAAATATTAATACTCGTAATGATAATGTAAAGTGTAAGGTATTGTTTGGTGGTGGGAACAACAATTGAACCTAATCAATCTGTTGATTATTATTACATTTTTTTAAACAATTCATCTCAAGCAAACCATCAACAATCAACCAGATCCAATTATATTAAATGTCCCTTTGGGAGTTAAACATGTGATAATATACCAACATCATCTTCATCATCATCGACAACAACAACAACAACAACATATTAATAGATTATCATTTTATATTCCATCTGCCTTAGGATGCTAAAGTTTTTTCCAACCGCAACTTAAATTCAGTCAACATCAACTACAAACAACCGTTAGTTTATATACTTGATAGTTTGACTTTCATCTTCATCCTCTTCCTATTAATGCCTCCCTCTCCTTTTTTGTCAACTTCATCTCTCTCTCTCTCTGCTTTTTAAATGTCCTTCTCTCTCTCTCTCGTCAGTTTAAATCTTTCTCTTGCCTCTCCCTAATTCTTTCTCTGTCTCTCTCTCCCTCTCCCTCTGTCTCTTTCTATTCCTCTTGATTTCCTTGTCTCTTTGTGTCTATTTTCACTTTCCTTTTCCTCTTTACTTTCTTTTTCCTCTCTCTCTCTCTCTCTCTTAGCATCCTCATCATCAAATTTATCCTCTCAAACCGGAACTAGGAGCGTATGGGAAATATTTTATTTCATATTAAATAACAATTAACTTGATTGCTGTTCAACTTGGTAAATATTATCATCATTTATTATTGTTAATAATCAATGTAATTTACCTGATGATTGATCAATAGACTTTAATTAGATTCTCACAGAATTAGAAACAACTGTTGACTTAACCTCCTTCCAACAATTAAATATTAACCATAAACTTTTCAATTGAATTGTTAATTGAATTGATTTGTTTTAGTTAAGTTGATTAGTGTTCTTATCAACACTATTAACACTTTGATCAAGTTAAACAAGTTTCTTTTTCTTTAAATAAAGTTTAAAGTTTGACGATGATAAACTTGATAGTAATTAACTAATTAGCTAACTTACCAAATCTAAATCATGGTTACGGACAAATTAGATGAAAAAAAAACTTAATTTTATCAATTTTATTAATTTAGTTCCTGATCAAATTATCTAATTCATTGATGATTTTTGTTTTCTCACAATTTATAATCATGATCAAACTGATCGGAAAACTTTAAAATTAAGTTATCCTCCAATCAAAAGGGATAATTGTCTTGATAATTAAGACTTTTAATTGACTTTTATCATCATTAACAATCAAAAACTAAACTCTATCAATTTCTCAATGTTGATGTTGATTAATTAAATGAAAACTTAAAATCATTTTCTCATGAAATCATCATTATCTTCATTAACCTATTGATCCTTTATCTCAATTACAGTTAGAATTGTAAATTAATTAAACAAATCAACAATTAACTCGTTTAATATTGACTATTGATTTGTGTTTATCAACATTTCAAGTTTTAATTGTGCAACTAATTTTAATCAAATATTGATAATTAGTTAGTGAGTCAACTTCTTATCCATCAATATTTAATTATCAGTTCATCAATTGATTGTTGTTGATTAATTTTCACTGAGAATCTTCAACTGTTTGAGTTCCTGTTTAATTGTTGAGATTAACTCAGAACATGATATTTAATGTCACTTTAATTTTTATTAGATTAATCAGCCAATTGTATGAAATCAACAATTAACTGGCTGATTGCTTTTCAATTGAATGGTGATTATAATCAAACAACTTGAGTTAGTTTCATTTTTTTTGTTCCTTAATTGTTGAATGAAATGCGAAAGATGAATGATTTAATCATAAAATTGATTGTAACTACCGAATCAACTGATTTCAATCTTAATCATTAAATTTGAAGGTTGATTGAAAACTTGTTGAGGGCGATCCAAATACTGTCGCTACGATGATAATCACAGTTAATTAACAATCAAAACTGGTTTTACTCACTCCAATTATTTACAATTAAGGTTATCATGTTAACTTGAGGTTATGATGATAATGTTAATAAGAAACAATAATTATCAACAAGTTACATGAAACTAATTATTTCATGTTAATTTTAATTTATTAATACTTATAATGGTTCATTTGAAACTAATCCTTAAATACACTTCAAGTTAAATCGTTTAATTATTAGATTAAACAAAAGTAGCAATTAAAAAGTTAATCAAACTCAGAGTAGAAAACAAAACAATTTGAACAGATGAAAAACTTTCACAATTTTCTTAAAATGATCTTAATTTGATTTAGTCAATTTTAATATTTGTTTATATCTTCCTCTAGATCACAATCAAACTAATTAAGTTAACGAAACAATTAACAAACAATCAATTTGATTAAGAATCTGTCTCACTAGTGACATCTGTTATTTTCGAAAACTACTCAACTAGTGATCTTTTCTATCACTAGATGGAGATCATAACATGGAAAACTTTTTACGTTTTTATAAACATAAACAGTTCGAGACTTTTGGTGGGGACAAATTTCAATCGTCCGTGGCTCCATGAAAAAACTATTGTCTGAAAAAAATACAGAAAAATATGGAGACCAAATGTTCGTCATCATCATTTCCAGTTCTTACCATCGAAGGAAATAAATACACTCACTAGGCTGTTCATCGATAGAATCGACTTCATCTACGAAAAAGTCACTTTCTCCTGTGGGTCGCTGATTAAAGACTACATACAGGGTGTTTCAGTTTCCAACGCGTATCACGTAGATTCAATTAAGTGTGATAACAATTAAATTTAAATTGATGCCTTTTCCGCCAAAAGTTCAACAGTTTCTTCTGATTTTCTCAATGCTTCCTAAGCAACCCGAGCTTCTTCCTGATATTGGAATAACCTTCGCTGTAGATTAATAGCTTTAGCTTCTTCTCTTAATTGTTTTATAAATGATTCATTAACATTCATCATAGAAATAAAATTGTTCAGGTAACTAATATGACTTTGTTTTAAATGTTTGGTTTTAATAAAATAGAACAGAAGAAAAGAAAATATCGAGAGGCAATCTTTGGTCCATTGGGCCGTGGTCGGATTGGCGGATGATGTCCTTGGTTGTATCTCTTTAAGGACATCATTCCAATCGCTCTGAATTTCAGGCTTTGGATGGAACATGATTGAAAAACTTCTTTTTTTCAAAATCCGAACTGAAGACATTGAAAACAAGAAGAAAAAAAACAGATTAGAAAGTGAAAGAGAGAGGAAGAATGAAAACAAAGGGATTGAATGTCAGGTTAATAGAAAGTAACAAAAGTCACAATTAACATATAAATGAAAATTAAAAACCAGAAAATTAAATCAAAAGAAATAACATCAGAAAATCAACGCCATCTTATGGTAGAATGATGTTTATTATGTTTCTAACTACAGGGCTATTCAGCTATTTTCGCCGATGTTTTTTGCGATTTTCTCAGCAACTAAGAGTCAAAGAGACTCAAGACTTGAGTGGTATGAGTTTGAGCGATACTCAATTGTCATATACAAAGATCAAGGTCATTCAGGTCACGTGTAAAATAACGCGTTTCAAGGTCATTTGAAGGCATTAATATAAAAAAGTATGTGTGAAAACACCAATATAAAATTTTCAGGCTCTTATGTCTTTAGGGTCAACTGTTATGATAAGTTTTGTTAATTAAAGAATCTCAGTACCTTTTTAATTAAACTGCAATATCTTCTGATTGACAGTTACAACTAACTTCAAAATCTTAACCCAAGATGAATAAGTGTGGCAAATCATAGAATGACCATCAAATGACCTTGAAACGCGTTATTTTACCAGTGACCTGAATGATCTTGATCTTTTAATATGACAATTGAGTATCACTCAAACTCTACCAAGTCTCGAGTCTATTTGACTCTTAGTTGCTGAGAAAATCGCAAAACATAGGCGAAAATAGCTGAATATGTATTAAGTGAATTGGAAATAAGGTAAGAGGAAGAGGAAGGTTAAGACTCAACAAGGTTTGAGCGTGATGATCAACGATATTAGTTAAAGATCAAGTAAGTATAGTGATAGAAATTAGATATCCACAAGATTATTTGATTAATTGTTGATTTACGCCTTCAAACGTTTCCATTCCATTGCGAAGTAAAACCATTCGGAAAAGTTCAGCAGAACAGATGTATCTTTGTAAATGATTATTAGTAATCAATTCTGGTTGATAAAAAAATGATTAACTAAAGTCAATTGAAATATTAATTGTAATGGTCATTTGAAAATGATTAATATGATTGGATGATGATGATTATTATTATTACTATTCTGCTTGGTCAATAATTGATTTGCATAATTTACTAATATTTATCATAACAATTAAATTTTTGTTGCCCAGTTTGATTATGATTAACAAATAAGTTATTTATCAACAATGAAAATAAAGGCAACAACAGGAGTAAATTGTTTCTCATCAATTTTAATATCGACAGTTAGTTAACTGTATCAGTTTCTATTCATATAATATAATAATTATGATAAAAGAAGCAAAAAAAACAAAATTTGATCATTTAATTGTTCAACTGAGATGATAAATATTCAAACGGAAGTGATTTGATTTAGGTGAGTGGGAGAAGTGATAATTGACCTCGAGGGAAAACCTATAATAATAATGTCCAAATGTACTAAGGTCAGTCTAATGTCCACCTCGAACCTTAAATTATGTGTTGACCTTTTATTCAAATGAAAAAGTGATAAAGAGAAATCGCTAATCAATTATGATTAACTTTAATCTAATCAAATTGTCACCAATATTTTCCTATTCCTCTAATCAATCACAATCATAATTTGATCACATAATGATAACAATTAACGGTAATTGTGACAAGGAAAAAAAAACATCCAAAAGAAAATGAAATTGAAACTACTAACCTAATATTTTAAATCAACAAAAATGTGTTAATTGTAATGATAATCAGTGTATAAACTGTAGACAATTAAAACCAATTGGTATCAATTTTTAGATAAAAAGTTAAATCAAATCAAGTAAATGAAACAAATTGATTGATAATAATTATTGAAAATATTGATTCTTGATTGGTTGAAGATGATTTTGAAAAGGTAAATTGTTGAACAATTAATGACTAATTTGAAAATGAATTTTAAACATTGTTACAATTAGTGAGCAACTGATTGATTTGTTGATTGTTATCATTGTCATAACAATTAAGTTGTCAAATCAACTCAGATTTGATATTCTGACAAAATCATTTTAAACAAAAAAGTGGCGATTAAATGATTTTCATTAATTTCCATTCCAATGATTAAACATAATTAATAACAATCAGGTAAAAATGACCATCTAAATGACAATCATGTTAATCATGTTTAACAAACCATAATCAAATTGAAACTGAAAGGCCAATTAACTGACCTTTAAACTGTTTCTTTGAAAAAAGGTTGATCTTTTTGTGACCTTCCCATTCACTATTAGTTACTAACTAACAATTTAGCTTTCAACAATTTGATGTCTTCCTTTTCAATGAATATCAATATTTTATCATCATAATCATAATCATCATCTTCATCTTCATCTTCATCATCTTTTCATAACTGTAACAATTGAAGTTACAATACAATTACAATTACAATTATGTTAACAATTAACCTTTTCTTGTTTCCTTTTTTTATTTACTTTTCATCTCAACTGATAAAAGGCTCATCAAAACCATCATCATCCTCATCATCCTCATCATCATCATCATCCTCTTATCATCATCTTCATCATCTTAAAGTTCATCATCATCTTTTTTTTCTGGCTGTAATTGTAATATTTAATTCCTTGGGAACTATAACAATTACAACAATTAGTTTCCATTGTCATTGATTGTACTGATGATTGAAACGGAAAACGAAGGTTAATCTTCATCTTGATTAACAATGATGATCATGTTGATCGGTGAATTAAATCAATGATAAACCCTAATGATAATCAAATTAGTGGAAATAAGGTAAGAAGGAAAGTTAAGACTCAACAAGGTTTGAGCGTGATGATCAACGATATTAGTTAAAGATCAAGTAAGTATAATGATAGAAATTAGATATCCACAAGATTATTTGATTAATTGTTGATTTACGCCTTTAAACGTTTCCATTAGCGAAGTAAAACCATTCGGAAAAGTTCAGCAGAACAGATGTATCTTTGTAAATGATTATTAGTAATCAATTCTGGTTGATAAAAAAATGATTAACTAAAGTCAATTGAAATATTAATTGTAATGGTCATTTGAAAATGATTAATATGATTGGATGATGATGATTATTATTATTACTATTCTGCTTGGTCAATAATTGATTTATAATTTACTAATATTTATCATAACAATTAAATTTTGTTTGCCCAGTTTGATTATGATTAACAAATAAGTTATTTATCAACAATGAAAATAAAGGCAACAACAGGAGTAAATTGTTTCTCATCAATTTTAATATCGACAGTTAGTTAACTGTATCAGTTTCTATTCATATAATATAATAATTATGATAAAAGAAGCAAAAAAAACAAAATTTGATCATTTAATTGTTCAACTGAGATGATAAATATTCAAACGGAAGTGATTTGATTTAGGTGAGTGGGAGAAGTGATAATTGACCTCGAGGGAAAACCTATAATAATAATGTCCAAATGTACTAAGGTCAGTCTAATGTCCACCTCGAACCTTAAATTATGTGTTGACCTTTTATTCAAATGAAAAAGTGATAAAGAGAAATCGCTAATCAATTATGATTAACTTTAATCTAATCAAATTGTCACCAATATTTTCCTATTCCTCTAATCAATCACAATCATAATTTGATCACATAATGATAACAATTAACGGTAATTGTGACAAGGAAAAAAAAACATCCAAAAGAAAATGAAATTGAAACTACTAACCTAATATTTTAAATCATCAGCAACTAAGAGTCAAAGAGACTCAAGACTTGAGTGGTATGAGTTTGAGCGATACTCAATTGTCATATACAAAGATCAAGGTCATTCAGGTCACGTGTAAAATAACGCGTTTCGAGGTCATTTGAAGGCATTAATATAAAAAAGTATGTGTGAAAACACCAATATAAAATTTTCAGGCTCTTATGTCTTTAGGGTCAACTGTTATGATAAGTTTTGTTAATTAAAGAATCTCAGTACCTTTTTAATTAAACTGCAATATCTTCTGATTGACAGTTACAACTAACTTCAAAATCTTAACCCAAGATGAATAAGTGTGGCAAATCATAGAATGACCATCAAATGACCTTGAAACGCGTTATTTTACCAGTGACCTGAATGATCTTGATCTTTTAATATGACAATTGAGTATCACTCAAACTCATACCACTCAAGTCTTGAGTCTCTTTGACTCTTAGTTGCTGAGAAAATCGCAAAAAACATAGGCGAAAATAGCTGAATAGCCCTGTATTAAGTGAATTAGTGGAAATAAGGTAAGAAGGGAAAGAGGATTAAGACTCAACAAGGTTTGAGCGTGATGATCAACGATATTAGTTAAAGATCAAGTAAGTATAATGATAGAAATTAGATATCCACAAGATTATTTGATTAATTGTTGATTTACGCCTTTAAACGTTTCCATTAGCGAAGTAAAACCATTCGGAAAAGTTCAGCAGAACAGATGTATCTTTGTAAATGATTATTAGTAATCAATTCTGGTTGATAAAAAAATGATTAACTAAAGTCAATTGAAATATTAATTGTAATGGTCATTTGAAAATGATTAATATGATTGGATGATGATGATTATTATTATTACTATTCTGCTTGGTCAATAATTGATTTGCATAATTTACTAATATTTATCATAACAATTAAATTTTTGTTGCCCAGTTTGATTATGATTAACAAATAAGTTATTTATCAACAATGAAAATAAAGGCAACAACAGGAGTAAATTGTTTCATCAATTTTAATATCGACAGTTAGTTAACTGTATCAGTTTCTATTCATATAATATAATAATTATGATAAGAAGCAAAAAAAACAAAATTTGATCATTTAATTGTTCAACTGAGATGATAAATATTCAAACGGAAGTGATTTGATTTAGGTGAGTGAAGTGATAATTGACCTCGAGGGAAAACCTATAATAATAATGTCCAAATGTACTAAGGTCAGTCTAATGTCCACCTCGAACCTTAAATTATGTGTTGACCTTTTATTCAAATGAAAAAGTGATAAAGAGAAATCGCTAATCAATTATGATTAACTTTAATCTAATCAAATTGTCACCAATATTTTCCTATTCCTCTAATCAATCACAATCATAATTTGATCACATAATGATAACAATTAACGGTAATTGTGACAAGGAAAAAAAAACATCCAAAAGAAAATGAAATTGAAACTACTAACCTAATATTTTAAATCAACAAAAATTTGTTAATTGTAATGATAATCAGTGTATAAACTGTAGACAATTAAAACCAATTGGTATCAATTTTTAGATAAAAAGTTAAATCAAATCAAGTAAATGAAACAAATTGATAATAATTATTGAAAATATTGATTCTTGATTGGTTGAAGATGATTTTGAAAAGGTAAATTGTTGAACAATTAATGACTAATTTGAAAATGAATTTTAAACATTGTTACAATTAGTGAGCAACTGATTGATTTGTTGATTGTTATCATTGTCATAACAATTAAGTTGTCAAATCAACTCAGATTTGATATTCTGACAAAATCATTTTAAACAAAAAAGTGGCGATTAAATGATTTTCATTAATTTCCATTCCAATGATTAAACATAATTAATAACAATCAGGTAAAAATGACCATCTAAATGACAATCATGTTAATCATGTTTAACAAACCATAATCAAATTGAAACTGAAAGGCCAATTAACTGACCTTTAAACTGTTTCTTTGAAAAAGGTTGATCTTTTGTGACCTTCCATTCACTATTAGTTACTAACTAACAATTTAGCTTTCAACAATTTGATGTCTTCCTTTTCAATGAATATCAATATTTATCATCATAATCATAATCATCATCTTCATCTTCATCTTCATCATCTTTTCATAACTGTAACAATTGAAGTTACAATACAATTACAATTACAATTATGTTAACAATTAACCTTTTCTTGTTTCCTTTTTTTATTTACTTTTCATCTCAACTGATAAAAGGCTCATCAAAACCATCATCATCCTCATCATCCTCATCATCATCATCATCCTCTTATCATCATCTTCATCATCTTAAAGTTCATCATCATCTTTTTTTTCTGGCTGTAATTGTAATATTTAATTCCTTGGGAACTATAACAATTACAACAATTAGTTTCCATTGTCATTGATTGTACTGATGATTGAAACGGAAAACGAAGGTTAATCTTCATCTTGATTAACAATGATGATCATGTTGATCGGTGAATTAAATCAATGATAAACCCTAATGATAATCACAATTAAATCCCTCTGATAACACACAACAAAATTTACCTTTCATCCTTTAATCAATTATTATTGTAACTCAATCGCCTGGAAATTAAATATTAGATTAACATTAAAACTTTGAAACGAATGAAAAAAAAATGTAACTTATACGTTTTTTCATTCATATTATTAATCATTATGATTAAATCCATTTAACTTAACCAATCAAGTGAATAATCAAGAGAATGGATAAATAATAAGTAATCAATACAATGATGATCAGTTGATTCAATTACAATAATCAGCATTAAATTTTAATCCAATATCCACAATCCAATCCAATCCAATCAGATCAACATCAACATCAACAGTCAAACCTTAAACTCCTCTGGATGCTAAGCAATTAAACATAATTGTCTCAACTAATTAATCACAATCTATGCAGACAAATATCATTCTTAATAATCAATTGATTGTTAACAATCAAAAAATCACATAAAAAAATTATCCTTCTAACATTTATAATGGAAAATCATTTCTTCCCAAAATATCAACATACTTCATCTATGGACACATAATATTATATAACTTAAATGCCCTGGAGCAATTTAATATAACACTGGTATCGTTTTATATTATTGTTGATCCTTTTTCATACTTGAATAAGTTTCCAATTTCAATTCATTGAATGTTATCAAATAATCATAATCATATTTTTCATTGTTATCAATCATAATGATGATAACCGGAAGTATATTAATAAATATCATCTTTATATTTGATCTTATTGTTATTATATCTTCATCTCATCTTAAGCTGTTTCCTATTATCAAACTGGATTAACTAATTTCTATATCCATAGACTAATGTATTTTTTTTGCATGTTGATTGTTATCAAAATAGTTAGTTGATTCTGTTGGTGATTACAATTACATGATTTGATTTACTTTTCCCTCTGTGAGTTTAGTTGGTTGATTTTTGTTAATTGTCGCATTTCAATGAGTAATTAAATTGTTGATGGTTGTTATTGATAACTCTTGAAAATTACTTTGATTGTCCAAAGTCAAGTGGTCATCGATCAGTACTTAAATTTGTCAAATTGTTGTTAACTATTGTTGATGATCAATTAAGTGTTAACAAAGTGTTAAATGTTTGTATTGATCAAGATGAACAATTTGAAATTGACAATTTTTTCATTTTTAAACAACATTAAAGGGGCTCGTTAATTGTTGGGTTGTTGTTTAATTTAATCAAATTAAACTGAAGATTTTTTTAAATAATAACTTGATGATAACATAATTCTATATGCTTACACTAATTGAGAAGACGTTGTTAACAATTAACTAACAACAATAAACATAAACGATAATAAAATTTATATAGAAACCAAATGATGATAAAACTAAATTAATATGTAATTTGATTCAATCAACAGATGATGAAGGAAACTGATTATGATGATGACTGAATTGTAAACTAAATCATAGGCAATTAGAGTCTAAATCAGTTGAAATTAGCCCCTAATTGTTGTTAATGTTTGATAATATCAATTGAACTCTTTTCCTATTCAATTGTTGAATCGATTAATTTTTTTGCTTCTCATTCAACAGATGCAAAACTTACTAGAAATTGAATCTAAATTGTTTGCTATCAATTGAATTGAAATGATTACCTATTTTATTGGTAACCTATCATTAAAATCACAACAATTACAGTTGACGATGATCAAGAAATTTAACAAAACCCCAAATAATAATAATAACCTCTGACCCTTTTCCCTATGTGTTAACATGTAATTTTCACCAAGAAGTAAAAAAAAAACCTTAAGTTTCAATAGTTAACAATTGGCTCGTCGATTCAATTGTCCATTAATACAATTGATTAGAGATGATGATTAACTGATCACTGTTTGGACACAGAATTGTCAACAAGTGATGATGATTTTATTAGTTAAGTAAAGGTTGTCATCTTAAAAGGAGAGAGAGAGAGAGAGAGGGAGAGAGGGAGAGAGTGTGTGAGAGAGATGAAAATGATGATGTAGAATTGATAGTTTCTTCATATTGGAAGGTCCTATTTTGGATGATAAGGAGGATGAAGATGAAGATAATGATGATGACGAGATGATGATCCACCCTCTTTTTCATCTTCCTCCTTTTTTTGTCATCTTCTTTTCATCTCTCTCTTTGTTGTACTTTATTGGCTTAAGGCAATTTGAAGGGTGAAAACTTTTTTCTTATGCTCTCCCTATACTTTCATTGTGATGATTATTATTATTATTATGACAACAATCAACTAAATTGTTTTGGGACCTTTTGCCCAAGTCCTTTTACATTAACATGCTTAAATGGACTTGAATTGAATCAGAAATCACTTCGAAATCTTTATCTTCATCTCTATCATCCTTATCTTCATTTCTGTCTCTCTATCCTCTTGAAATCTTACCTTTCATTTGAAACTTTCATTTGAAACTCCATATCAATGTTTAAGATCCTTAGGTTCACTCATCTCCCTCTCATCACTTATCATCATTAGTTATTATCATTTCTCTTGGTGAATTGTGTCTCTCATCATAATCATCATCTAACTGTCAATCATCATGATGATGTCTTCATCATCAAAATCATTTTTTGTTGATTCAATTTTAAATTTATCTCCACACACTAATAATGAAAATGTTTACAGTGCTTCCAAATGTTCATCAACTTTAACAACAATTAACGAGAAACAATTAGATGATAAGTTAAAATTAAAGACAAATACCAAGGAGAAAAGTTTATCATCTTCTTCATCTTCATCGTCATCGTCTTCTTCCTCATCTTCTTCCTCATCGAGTCGCCTTCGAACTGCATTCACCTCAACTCAAATTGTTCATTTGGAACGGGAATTCACCAGGAACATGTACCTTTCCAGATTGAGGAGAATTGAAATCGCTCATTATTTGGATCTGAGTGAGAAACAAGTGAAAATTTGGTTCCAAAATAGAAGAGTGAAATATAAGAAGGAAATTAAATTACCACCGACAACAATTTACTCCTCTCATCATCATCATCATCATCATCCCATGAGATGCTCACCATCACCACCATCCGATTCCCACCATGAACAACAACAACATAAGTTCAATTCGTCACCACCCTTACCTCCCACTCCACCACCTCCATCAACAACAATGACCACTCACCTTCATCATCTTTCACCTTTACCAAAATTAACAACAATTAACCACAATCAACAAACAATTTGACAAATTTCTAACATGTAATCAAATTACAACTATTTTTGTAGCAAAGTTTTTCCATGATTTTTTTTTCTCAAACAATTAACACTCAATTAAAACTCTCATTGATTCTTAAATTGTCACTATTCATTGAAAATTGCTTCTAATTATGATCGGTAAAAGTTGATAATGATTCGTTAATTGTGATGATGATTAGCTATGAAATTAAAGTATAATTGTTGAATATTTCCTGATTAATTCCTCCGATTGTGTTGAGAAAAAAAAATAATAAACAAAATTATGATTGATGAGGTTTTCTAACAATTTAAATAACAATAATAACAACAAAGCCATTCAGATGAATATCAAAGTCATTTGTTGATTGTTGACAAACAATTGACACATTTCATGGACAATTGGTCACCTTTTATTTAGGTTTATCATTGGAAATGATTATAACAATCATAACAATCAAATTAACAGTTGAAATCAAGAGAAAGAGAAAGTGTAAAAAAAATCAACAATCAACGAGAATCAATAAATCAATTAAAACTAATCAATTGTAATGATTGGACGATTATGATTATCATGATTAAATCAGGTAGATCAATGATTTACACATTAATGGTTAAATTGAATTAAAATATATCATAATTGTATCGATGATCAAAATAATAATAATCAATATGGTTTTATGATTTATGGTTAAAGTTAATTGTTGCCATCAATTTTGATTGTATTAAAAATAATATATGTTGATGGCGATATTAATGACCACATGATCTGATATTTGAATTAAATTTGATTAACCAAATTGAAAAGGTTGTATAATGGTAAGGGAAAGGTTAAGTTAAATGGTAACAATCAACTTCCTTGATTAAATTAACACCAACAATCAAACAAAAAACTAACCTTGTCCTTGAAAAGTTTCAAATGGGAAAGTTAATCAAGTTAATCCAAAGAAATGAAAGTTAATCCGGATTTTGATTGTGATTATATTGATCTTTCTGATTATGAGATAAAAATGAAATTATTAAATTGTGTGAAGATGAAAGTAAATTGAGTTAATTATAATAAATAATCAGTAAATTGTTGATGTAAAGGGTTAGGTTGAAAAAAGTAAACATTGAAACGGGTTAACAGTAAAAGGGAAAACCAATTGAAACTTGATTGTTAATCATTTTTTATTGACTGGGAGTTTAAATTGTCTATAGGATAACTGTTAATCATGATAATGATAATGATTAAGGATCAATGGTTAATGATTAAGCTCTTGAAACCCCTTTGATTAAGATATTAAGTGGATTTGATTTATGTTACATTTTTTAAGTTGTTGATTGTGTTGAGAAACCGTTTTGGTTTTTATATGTTGATTGTTGGTCCAATGTTTTGATTGCTTTTCCCAATCGTTTTGATTGTTGATCATTATTTAATTTAATTGTTTCCACCTATATTTATGTTTACAGTTAGCAAAGGATTAAATGGTCTGAACATAATATATTTTATGTGACAATTAAATTTAATAATCATTTGAAATCTTAACCCATTAACTTTTTTATTTCATTTCTCTCAGGGTTAACTTATTATTCAATGGCAAGGGTTAGGATCCTTTTTTTTTATTAATCATTACAATCAATTGTTATTATCACAATTTGAATTATGATTTAATATAAATATGATTCCTTAAATAAATTGGTTGGGTTCGTTTAATTGTTACCAATCATCACACGTCTCGTTGATCAAATATTAACCAAATGAAAGTGTGATGGTTAATTTGGTTTGATTGTTCATCTTTTCAAATCGCCATTAAGATTAAATTGGTTGATCAAAATTAAGATGAATTTTAATTGTGACTAAAGTTTTCATCATCTAATTAGTTTCATTACATTAGCTAATTGTGTTTACTATTGTTTTGTTTTTATTTATCAATCTACTGATTATTATTAGCTTATGTAATTGATTTAGTTGCATAATAACAATTAGTAATTAATTTTCGTATGAAATTGATCAACCTGATTGATCAATTAGTTTTAATTGTGTTGACAATTTAAAATCTCTCATTGATTTACTTAAATATAGCATTGGTAAAAATAGCCACAATTAACGTCATTCAATGATAGTTAAACAATTAAATCTAATTGTTGGGTAATGATAATTGATTAGCTTTTTTATTTCACATAAATAACTTACAATTATTATCAATCTGTGAGTAATTGTTACAATTAACAAGATTTGATAGTGTTAATATTAGTAATTAACTAAGAATAATGATCAATTTAATTGTGATTACAATTAAGAGATATAAATAGTTGCTCGTTTATTTAATTATGGATGAAATAAAATGATTTTTAATTGATAGTTAATTGCAAGTAAATTGATAATCAGTTGATTGTTGTACTGATTAGTTAATAAATTTTGGTGTTTTTTTTGCATTGTTTACATTTATGATAACCTTTTTTTTTATCTCTAATTAATTATCTGATCATTATTGTGATGATTAGTTAATTGGTTGACCTTAAGGTGCTAAGTGTTTTCGGTGTGTGTAGATTATAATTTAATTTAAGATCACAATTAGTACACAATTTGATCATTTGCCGTTTAGATTAAGGATAACATGAGTTTATCTTAAGATTAGATTAAGTTTTTTTCTGTTGTTTAATTTAAGTCGTTTTCCGGTTCAATAAGAGTTAATTGTTTGACTTAATTAAAGGTTATTTAACTTGATTGATTAATTGTTTTCCAGAAAAAAAAACAAAATTAACTAATTGGGTGATGAAATTTTTCAGTTTAATTTCAATGTAATCATCAATTTTAATCAGGAAAAGTTGTCAAATTGTTACATTGATTTTTATAAGTTAATCATTAGATTAACAAACTAATTTGATTAGGATAAATTTCACTGATTTTTGATCAGTTATCATTGTGAAGTTGATTAAAAGTAGCAATTTATCAATACATTTTGTTTGATTGAAAGGGTAAAGGTTTGATTTTCATCAGAACCTTGAAAATTTCAATGATTCTGTTATTGATTTGATTGTTGGTTAACAATTTGCACGAAAATTAATCACTTAGATCGTATTTGAATTTCATGGAAAAGGTTAACCAGTTTTCTGGGTTTTTTTTTCTTATTGTTAGTTTCTAAATTGTAGATTATATTTTAATTGTGTTGCATAATTTAATCTTGATTAGCTAAATCCAGATGAAAGGATTAATCTAATAGATGAATGACCTGATTGCAATCAAGACTGTAAGAGATGATGATGAATCAAATAGACGAATTAACAATTTGTCTTAAATTTCATCAATTATCATCAGAATAGTTAATCAATAAGTTTAGTTGTTAATTGACTAATATGATTAATCAGTTTTACTAATTTCTGTAATTCAGCTGATTAGTTTCCGTAGGCATCTTTTCACAATCAATGAAAAATAACCAATGAACTGATTGTCTATCTAATTATCAATATTGTTTTCACACTTTTTGTTCAAATTGTAACAATTTACATGATTAATAAATTGTTATCTTAAATAGTAACACCAGCTACTTATTGTGTTGAGTCAGCCTCCAATTGATTGTGTTGCTTAACTACATTGAAATTTGTTTCCAACTTGATCCAACAATCAGTAATTGCTTTACAAACCGTAATCAAGTAAACGAGTGCGGTTCATTTGATTTCTGTGTGTTCACAATTTAACAACAATCAATATCTATCTTACAACAATTAATTTAAATCCATCCTTCTGATTGATTCTGTTATCATCAGTCCAACACTTAATATGAAAACTTGATATATAATAACAGTGCTGTTTCAAGACAAATTTAATTGTCATCATTTAACCAACAAACTTGATACAATTTAAGTGTCAAATCAACAATTAACTTTTTTTTTTGTTTACATTTTTGATTTGCCTCCAAAATCATCATATAAACATTAACATTGTTATTAAATAGTTATCCAAGTTTAATTTACCTTTTTCATCTGGATTGTTGGATCAGGTGGAAATATTGACAATTGATTGTTGATTGTTGATCCTTTTTGTTACAATTAAATTCGTGAATGGATAAAGCGAGTAGAGGCCAATCATCATCTCGATCCAATTACGACAATGACACAAGTTGGTTAAATTCACAATTATCGGGACTTCGTGGTAGTGCTCAGGACGAAAGGTTCCAATATGTTTGGCGAAACTTAACTTCATCATCTTCATCAAGTTCTCACTCTTACCAAGGTGGATCATCGTCTACAGGAGCATCCACATCATCTTCATCTTCATCCTCATCCTCATCTTCATCTTCATCTTCATCTTCGTCCTCTTCTTTTGGTAATTCTTGAATTCTTCTTTGTGCTTTACTCAGTTGTTTAACTATTTCAGTATTTGATTCTCGGCTTCTTGGGTGTTGATTGTCATCGATTATTTTAATTGTTGTTGTTGTTGTTAAGAAGTTGATGAAACATAATCACTGAGAATCAATATCCAATCAGACCATGTGATAGGTGATGAGGTGATCTATTCATTAAAGTATTGAACTCTGGGAGAGAGGAAGAGATAAAGAGATTAGAAAAAAGAAACACAAATTGTTGATTAGATAAAAAAATTAACTAAAACTTGATTCCGACAATGAAATATTAATATAAATGAAGATACTTACTAGATGACGAGCTGGATGATAGCGTTTCTTTTTAGATCCATGATGATTATCATCTGATTGTTTGGTATCTTCATATGTTGAATCGATTGATGATTCTGAAGGTGATGAAGAAGATGATAAATCACTGCTTATTACTGGTGAATCACTAGAAGATGATGATGATGAAGGTTCGATAATTAAAGGTGAATCAACTAACTGACATAACTGTCCAGTTAAATTGAAAAGTATCACAATCAAAAAAACGAATGTTAAATAATTAGAAGAGAACATTTTGATGATCAATTTGCCTGGAAATCCAATGATAGTTTCAAGATTCTCAACGGTGAGTCTTGCAGTCTAACCTGCGGGTTTATCTGGTGGAAGAGAAAATAAAAATGAGAGAAGAGAAGAAAAAATGAAAGAGAGGGAAACAAAGAGAGAAAAGTGTAAAAAGATTCTTGTTAACCTGTGAAGTCTTTTTATTATTACTTCAGGGAAGAAGATGACCAACAACTATTCTTGCTCATCTTCATCTTCCTGTGGAGAGAGAGAGAGAGAGAGAGAGAGAGAAAGAGGTGGACAAACACACAGGTGCTCTTCAGTAAATAACAATCTCTTTCTCTCCTTTTCTTTCAGTTTAAATGATTAGAGAAAAGAAAGAGCAAGGTATTGATATATTTACCTGAGAGCACCTGAAAGAAGGAGGAAGAAGAGAGTGATGACCATTTTCTCTTACAGTAATGATAACAAAAGACTTCACAGGTTAACACAAGAATCTTTTTACACTTTTCTCTCTCATAAACACATTTTCTCTTTTTGTTTACTCTTTCACTCGCTCATTCTCTTTGGTGTAAATACCTGATGATCTTCGTGATGGTGATGCTGCAACCGTGGAGAAATTAGCGAAATAATTGGAAGCAGTAAAATATGTTGAATATTTTGCTGTAGGGGAGAACCATTGACCATCTCGAGCTTTTGTTGACCAAATGTTTAAAATAACATCTTCAAAAAATGTCACTAAAAACCGTCACGTTCAATGGATCAACCGATTCTTTCAGCATCTCCATAGATCTGCAAATAATTTGGCAAATGTTTACATTAACCTAATTGGTTTCATCTCTTGATTGTCACTTAATTACGATCATTTAAAACTCTGTATTTCCTCTAATGTACCCACGTGATCTCCCTCCATTGAAAAACACCTTTCAATATCAAGTTTTTTTGACTGTACTATTGAGATGAAAATGCAAGTCCAACTAGTTACCCCACTAATCGAAAGGTCATCATTAACATCACCAATAATTTTTTTACTCAGCTCAAGTAATTTAGAGATTCGAAAATCACTGAAAGAGTGAAGAATTTCAGTTAGAAGAAGAGTAGAACCATTTTGAAAGAATCTTTTAGCTTTGTTCCTTTGATGAGACGCTCAACGATGAAACAAATTCTCCTCAAGAGATTCTTCATTATCCTAAGATAGAGAAAGAAAGTGAGACAAAAACAAAAGATAAAAACAAAATAAAGAAAGAGATTAATAAAAGATTTAAAAAAATTATAACGAATAAATTTTACCTTATTCTTGGAGAGAATCTCAAGCAATTGAGAAGCAGAATTCAAACGGATCTTGGCATTGTTCGCGTGAAGCTTAGGTAATATTTTGAGAATATTTTCTCTCACTAAATTGTCTGGACAATCTACCGAATCACCCATCATACAGATTAAACTAATTATACAAAAGGTAAACCAACAAATTAAATTAACAAAATTAACGATTCAATTGAATCAACATGCAACTTGAAGGATTCAACATGTGCAACGCTCTTCGTTCATTGGCTCATCTGTAACTCGTCACATGATTTTCTTTTTGGCGGCAAATTTGATTTGATTTTCTTTTGATCAAATTCAATCATAATTTTCTGTTTAATTATTTTAATTGTTGTTGTTAAGAAGTTGATGAAACATAATCACTAAGAATCAATATCCATTAGATGAGATTATAAAATGGAGACTAATTATCAATACAAAAGGATTTGATTACCACAAAGTGTTAATCAATAGAGTAACAATTATCTCTTTGGTGTTAATCATCATCACGATTATCATAATAGATACGAGAGAGAAATTATCATTTTGTAAGAGTAAAAGAGAAACAATTAAAATTCGCAATAAATCCATTCGAAATTCTATTCTATTCGATTGAATTGATAATTGTCACTAATTTTAATTGAATTGTTGTTAACAATTAATAGACTGATGAGGTTTAAATAATCATAAATTCATTTAGCGCCAGATAATTAGGCTGAGTGAAAATAGACTTTTGTCTATTTACAGAGAAAAAGTAGTAAGAATAGACTTTGTTTATCTTTTTTTTCACTGATTGTTGTTTATTGTTAATTCAGTTTTTAAGGTTCCAAAAGGATTAACCATGACGGAGGAGGTTGATATCGCGAGTATACCTTGTTGTCCTGAGAATTTCGAGCCACTATTTAAATTGGGCCTTTGTTTTGAAGCGAAAAAACAAATTGAAGAAAGTATCAAATGCTACCAGAAATGTATACGAATCAATGACGGCGATCGGAGATTGTGGCAGTGTTTGGGTCAAGCTTATTTCGTCCGAGGAAGTTATGTTAATGCTAACAAATGTTTCATTCGATCGATACAATTAAGAGTTAACCATGGTGGTGATGGAAAAATGGCGGAAGAAAATTACTATGAAGAAATTCGGATTGGTGAAATAAAGACACTTCTCAATGATCACGAAGAAGGTTCAACAATCTATAAAGAAGTGATTAAACAATCACCGGATAACATTTTGGCTTTTCTTGGTTTGGCTCGAGTTAAATTAATCATGGCATGTGATTTATTTGATAAATCAGATAAATCAGAGGCTTTAATTACCTGTGATGAGGTTTTCTCACTAACAAGTAAAGTCATCTCTCTACAGCCAAAGTTAATTCAACCACTGAACATTATTGTTAATTGTTGCCTTTCGATTTATTCACATTTAAATCAAGATGAAGAGGTAACTTTATCCGGAAAGAAATATACTCGCCTTGGGGTGTTAAATATTTCCAAAAATCATACAATGAAAGCTTTATCTTTGAAAGAATTACCTTATTTATGGTATCATTTGTTTATAATTTACTCACTTTTATTCAGTGAAACATCAGATGAAATTGATTTGAAAAAATCAATTCTTTGTTTGGAAAAATGTAAACAAATGAAAAATTAGTTTTACTAAATTGAGTTAACTTAATGTAATTAAAGTGAAAAGATTTACACTTTTGTTTATATGGTCAATTTTTTTTTTCTTTTCATATCAAAAATCAATTCAACTTATCTGCTGATTGCTCAATGAAACAATTTACAGTAATTTACGTTTTCCGGTTTTCCCATTCACATCAACAGGTATTCTTATCAATACCTTAACCTCAATCGGTTCAGTTTCCATCGTCACTTTACAATTGAGTTTGGGAAAATACGTTCGTTTTTTTCAAGGTCAACATGAAATTGAAAGTTCTTTAACACTTTTACGTAATCAGATTAATCACTTATAGAAATACAATCGAATGGAAACAAGAATTGAATAGCGATTTGATTCAATAAGGAAGTGAAGAAGAGTCAGAAACGATAACTCATTTAGAAGAAATTTAGTGAGGAATTTCCAAAGAATTTTTTTAACAATTAGTTAGCAATAAATCATAAGGTGATTAAGCTTTGATTGTGAACATGAATGTTACATATTCTTCATTAGATTCTAATCCAGAACTTTTGATTGTATGAGGCACTTTTGAAGAGCTCTTCGAATGCAGAAGAACGAAGAAGATTAGTTTGCTTTGCTCCGTGAAAAGGTCATATAATCACGTTCTTCGAACATGATACGTAATCGGTTTTCTCCGTTTTCCAGAATTTTGAGAATCGAATGTAATATTTTCACGTTTATCAGTCTAAATCACCACATCGCCTTGGCACGGATTAATTTCAATGTCCGATTTGTTGCCGATATTACAGATGAAAATTCTGACAAATCATCAAGGGAAATTTAAGAAGCTGAACTGATCTCTTGATTGTGAATCCGATTTGTTTTACAAGATTTTCCTTTTAGAAACAAGTATCTTTACCTACAGTTTATTTGAAAGAAAATAAATGTTTCATTTGATTATTAATAAACTTCTAATATTCTCAGCAGTTATATGGAGTAAAATGGTTTGACTTTAGTAATCGAAATTTTATTTGAGAAAATTTGAAAGGAATGGTTATCAAATGAGCAACAATTTTAGAGTATAAGGATTTGAATTACGATTAAATTGAAGCAATTTTGAGTGGAAATCTTTGATAAACTTCAACATGAACGGAGTTTTGAAGGTTCTAAGTTTTTTGGAATCGAATTGTGGAAAACCAAAATAATTTAAGTCCATTTGTGCTCGAATTTCATAGGTAAACAAAATTTGAAGTCATTATCAATATTCATGTTAAATGGTTAAGAGGGAAAGAGTTAATTTTAATGTTCGATTGTCGAAAAAGTGTAAGTTCATTTGATATTAAAAGTTTCGAGTTTTGCGTTTAATCGAAAGTTAATGAGCGATCCGAGAGGTGGCGCATTCGTTGGCTTTTGTTCTTCAAATGAATCGATTATCGAATTGGACTATCGATGTTTTCGATTTCATTCATTTCCAACCATCTTGAGAATTTGGTTTTGGTTCAATTTTGGTTTTGATTGTTTTTCTTTTGTTTTGGTAATTAACTTTAATTCTAACATGATGGTAAGTTAATTTTTTAATTCATCTTTATTGTTGTTGTAAATTTGTTCATCTCATGGATTTAATTCATTTCTCAATGACAGGAAAGTCGGCGTAGAGACGCTCGTTATACCAATAAGCGGTTCTTCCGTACGGTTAATGATTCAGTAAGTAAACAAAAATGTTCCTTTTTGATGATTATTTTTCCTTTTCAAGTATTAACATTTTCAAATTATTTTTCTTTTTTAGTATGATGGTCATGATGATCGAGGTCCGAATAATAATAACAATAATAATAATAGTAACCGGGGATCTAATAGAGATAGAAGAGTCGCAAGGGCTCGTGATGGTGATCACCGAAAGGTGAATTTGAAATCATATCAAGCGTAAGTCTTTTATTTCCTTTTTAATTATTAACTTCAACTAATCTTATATTGTTCTTATTTCTTTTTACTAGTGGTAGTAGAAAAGATCGTTACAAAATCGACAGAAGAAACAGGATAGATCAAGATGCTGATGACTCTGAGATGTGGTTTAAAATTGTGGTAAGTATTCATCACGTGTAACCTTTTTTTAGTATTTTTATAAAATTTTCCTATATGTGTTTTTTTCTTCATTTCATTCAAATGATGAAACAATATGTTTCATTTACTAATATTGTTTGTTTCTCTCTCCTTTGAATGTGATAGGTACCTAGAGGTGCTAAATGTACGAAGGAACATTTAATGAATCAATTTCAGCAAAATAGTGGTGTTGTTTTTTTACCATATAATGTTAGTATATTTTTTTTCAGAGACTCATTTATATGGAGACTCTTTTTGTTTATACTAATGTATTTCTAATGTTTATTTTATCTTTTTTTGTTCTCAATCATATCCTCTGGTTGATTCATATAGTTCCATGCTGAAAATAACTCAGCTGTCTTCTTTATACAAGGAGGAGATCAAATGTCTGCTATTCGAGCTTGTAGTAGACGCATATACGACACTGATGGTTACGCACTTCCTGTTAGTGTACAGCCAAGTCCAATTCCCGCTCCACCAATGAATAAAAAGACCGAAGATACAATATCTGTTGCACTTAAAGGACGTTTTAATTATCAACTTAAATCACTATTCTTAAATACTTTCAATCAAGATCGTAGTTTCTTGGAATCGGATTTGTACATTCCCCTTAGTCGTCTATCTATATTTAATTTAATTGTTGAGAAAATAAGGAAAGAGTATTCTGAGATTGTCGGTTTAAGTGTCTCTGATAACAAATTGACTACACTGAGCCCATTATCTCATCTTTCCTCGATATGTAAAAATTTAAAAGCTCTTGACATCTCTAAAAATAAGGTAATTTTTAAATTCACTTTTTTCCTCATTCCCTTTTTGCCAAATTTTCACCTTAATATTTTTTAATTTTGACTAATTTAGATTAAATCTGTCACTGAACTGGACCATATTAAGACCTTTGAGTTGACCGAACTCGCAATCGAAGGTAATCCTTTTGCTAATGCTGCCGCTTTCTCTGAAGCTGATAAAAGTACTCTGGTCAGGTTAGTATGATGATTAATCATTAGATATTCTTTTTTACCAATAATTAAAGACAAGTGAGTTTGTTGTGTGAAAGGATGAATTTCACCAATTTGACAATATGACATCTCACAATTGTTGCCGCTATTTGACGGGTCAAGTTTTTGACCGTCAATGTTTCATCGACCCGAGAAAAAAAAGGCCAAGAAGAACTTTGAGTTCTTGCCTTGAATTAAAAAATGGGGCAAGAAAAAAAAGAGCATAAAAAAGGACTAGCTCAGTCCAATGGGAATGGAGAGGAGGAAACTTGCCCCCGGTCAGATCTTGATAAGATCTTAGATCGTTAATTGATTTCAGTAAACTCCTCATGAACATCATCTCCTTCCCACTTCTCAATCAAACATGGGTCTTAAATGTTGAATCGGCAACGGGTAAGTATATGTAATGTTAATGTTGCTCAAAGAGGTGCTGTTGTGAAGTCTCATTTTCCTTACCATTGGTTATCTGAAGTCATCAACCAGTGATTGACACTCGAATTTGAGACTAATTCTGACAATTTATCTTTTCTTACATCCACACCAATCTCGGACTGAACTTTTTATTGGAGTCACGATTTTGGAGCAACTAAACCAAGAATATCTCCTTTCTCTTTTCCTCTCTCTAACCTTGCATTTTCAGTTCCTTGCGAAAACGTTTCCCTAAGCTAACAAAATTGGTAAGTTTAAATTGCTCAGTGACAATTTTCACTCGATTGTAATCCTAATCTTAATTTTCTCTAATTTTTTTTCTTATCCCCTTTTTTTCAGGATGGAGTTGATTTACCTCCAGCTATTGGATTCGATGTTGGTGATACCGATGACATCCCTCCATCATACGTGAGTATTATTATAACATTTCCTTAAATTTATTTTAATCAATTATTTCAACTTAATTTTCTCTCTAGGGTCATCATATTCCAAATGAGATTAAGAATTTTGTTGCCGAATTTTTAGACCAATATTTTAAGATATACGATTCTGATGATCGAAGACCAATGCTTGCTGCTTATCATGATCAAGCTGTTTTTTCTTACAGTATTGGGAGAACTGATAACAAGTAAGTTGCATTTTTTTCTTCTTCGTTTAGAGGATGATAGGTTTTTTTTAATGATAATATAATTTACTTTTATTATCCTTTACCAGAGTTAATACATTCACTCAGTCAATGATTTCTGGCAGTCGAAATTTATTGAGAATTCGAGACGATGGTGAATCAAAAACCAAACTGTTACATGTTGGAGGTCAAGCAATTGTCGACGCCTTAGCAGCCATGCCACGGACTAAACATGCTCCATCTTTGATGAAAATTGATGTTCCCTTTTATTATCAACAAAACTTTTTCGTTGTGGTTGTGAATGGAGTTTTTAAAGAGTTTACAAAAAAACAAGTACACACTCGAGCCTTTGGAAGAACTTTTCTCATTGTTCCTCAAGGTCAAGGGTTTGTCATAATTAATGATATACTAGTAATAACCAATGCCACAGTTGAACAAGTTCAACAATTTAGTAGAACGTTGGAAACTGATTCAATAATCAACTGTATCAAAGAAGATCGCTTTGGTTCAGATTGTCTTGAAAGTCTTTCTCTTGGTAGTTTGGGTGATCTCGGTTTCAATCAACAACAACAACAACTATTAATTCAACAACCATCGATACAAAGTCAACCATTAATGTTGGATGATGCAAGTAAAGAAGCAATGGTTCAACAATTTTGCTCCATGACGAATATGAATCGACAATTTTCAGCCCAATGTCTTGCCGAAAACGCATTTGACTTGCAAAAATCTTTCGACGTATTCAACCAATTAAACAAACAAGGAGCAATACCAGAAGCAGCTTTTCAACAATGATTATTAATAATTCACACTCACTGAGATTATCTATCAATAACCTTAACCTTTTTTGTATCTCAACTCTTTTCTGATAAATTGTTAACGGTAATTTCAAATTAATCTTCTTTTGATTCTTTGTCTTATCCTTTCAAAAAACCTTCATGTAAATATTAACGACAAACTTTATAAACCAATTTTTTTGTGAAATCTTAAAAATGTGTAAATCTTTTGAACAGCCATCGCCCATTCAGACACTGATACTTTTCATCAAGTGTATACTAATCAGTTAGAAAATCAATAAAATCTAAATTCAACTACAATCACTTACACATTTACACAATTCGATTAGTTAACTCTTATCGATTCGAATATCAACTTGTAGATCAAATTCGAGAGCTCATTTTGATGATGATTCTGAAGAGACTAACAAAATCGAGTCGAGATTCAGTTGAGTAATAGTTTGGAATTTCCAAGTTACTTTTCTTTTCATATTTTCCGTTGAGGCCAAAACTCTACTAAATTGTTAAACTTTCTTCGTTTCGATCGGCAATTAAATAGATTAACTCAATCGAACTATTTTATGGTACATTTAAACCAATCTCTATCTATTTCGGGTAATTGATTCATGAGATAATTAAACAGTAAGATTATTAATTGCTAGAATATTAATCCGATAAACTGAGTAAAAGTAACAACGTCCAACGTTTTATTTGTGATTTATCTCAACGGGAAATTATTGCTCTCATTTCAATTGGTCCCTTCAAATTCTTTTGCCAATATTTATGAGCTTTCACTTGACAAGTTTTCGAACATGGTGAAGCTCATCAGTGGAAGTCGTATGATCTTCTGGATCATAAGTCCCATCGTTTCAACTGAGTCTTTGGCTGACTCATCTAATATATTGCAATTTCGCCAACTCGTGTAATCGCACGAGCTACAAAGGTTTCCCCACGCCGAGGACTCTCATGGTTCCATCTGAAGCTCTTAAAGTATATTAGTGGTATAATATTGTCTTTGCAAATGAGCAAACACAAAGGCCAGAAAAGGGAGGAAACGGAAACGGAATAAAGGAATTGGTCATTTTCGTCGCTGAGGTAATTTATTATTGAAGAAAAAAACATTCAGAGAGATGAATTCAACACCACAATCATATTAATGGTTCGAAGTGAAAAAATTAAGAAAAATGAGAGGAAAGAAAAGGTAAGAAAACGCTCATTGAATGTTAATGATTAATAATCAAATTACCAGTTAATTTACCTAATGGTTGTGATGAGGAAAGTAAATGTTTCATAAATGATGAATATTTTCTGGAGACATTTAAGAAGATGCAACTTGAGCAATTTAATCACAACAATCGAAGGTAAAATTCATAAAAGAAGAGCCAACTGGCGGAAATCAATCAATCATATTATAATCAAGAAAACGAAAAAGTAACAACAAACAATTAATTCACTCAACTATCAAACTAATCAAACTCATTTCCATCTTCTTTAAAAGTTAAATTGGTGAGATATTAATGAGAATTTACTTTCATAACGAAAAAATTTATCTAACCTTTGATTTTAATTGTTCTCCTTTTCTTTCTTTGATATTTACTGTATGATAAGAGACCAAAATTTAGAAACAATTAGTCGTGAATGTTGTTGATTGCGATCAGATAATCAATCAATACAATAACAATGAACAATTGAAAAACGAAAGGTTAATTATTTCCTCGTCTCCATAACTTGTGAACAAAAAGGTAATAAGCATATCCATAAACTCAAAAGAATGTGTACTGAATTGGACAATTGGAATTATCGTTTTAGCGACTGTTTCATGATTGTTCAATTGTTCAAATCCAATTCGATTCCAACGCAATTAAGTGAAATTCGAAGTGGCGACATCTAGTGTGAGACTTATGTTCTTCCAAGATCTTGTTGGATTTAGGCTCATGTTCAAGTGGAACTACAGTTTAGAGTTTACAGTTGATTATTTGATTCACTGATTGTTTAATTATGTCGATTAACAGATTGAACGTTAGCTCTGATCTGGACGAATATCTGGAGAAATCAAAGTAAGTAATAGATTAAAATGTCATCTTTTGGTTTACTTTTGGTTAATCATTTTCTTTTCCACACCTTTCATGGTGATTGTTTTTCTCTTTGAATAGAGATCATGTTTTGGTGCTTCATTTTACTGCTTCTTTTGGTGAACAACGAAGCTCACAAATTAATGATGTTCTAAATGAGGTGATTTCTAATAAATCATCATTCGGTCCTGTTGAAGCTGTTCTGGTAACATTTTATTCTTTTCGTTTTTGTTAATTTTGCTCTTGGGGTTAACTCAATTTTTGTCTTTTCTTTTACCAGGTTGATGTTGAAAAGTGTAAAGAGATCAGTGATAAATATGCTGTCGCTTCAGTACCAACATGTCTCATTGTTGTAAAGGGCAAAGAGTTTGGTCGGATTGAGGGGATCAATGTTTCAGCTTTAACCAAGAAAGTTAAAGAAGCCGTTTTTAAAAATTTTCCTGTTAATGCTCCAGGTTTGCCTGGAACCGAAGGAGAGAGTGAAGGCAAATTAGAGGATCGATTAAAAAAATTAATCAATCAGGCGAAAGTGATGATCTTCATGAAGGGTTCTCGTGATGCTCCAAGATGCAAATTCAGTCGGGAATTGATTGGTATTCTTCAAGAAGAAGGAGCTGATTATGAGACTTTTGACATTCTAGAGGATGAACAAGTGCGACAAGGACTTAAAGCCTATTCCAATTGGCCGACTTTCCCTCAAATTTACGTTAATTCCTCTCTTGTTGGAGGCTTGGATATCATTAAGGTAACAAACTGTCACTGATTAAGATTTTAAACAACCGATTGTTATTAATTACTAATATTTCTTTGTTTTTCTCTTGTACAGGAATTGAGAGAAATCGGAGAATTAAAGTCAACACTTCTTGTATCAGAATAATCCAAAATCGGATCACCATGAAAAAAGCATTACAATTAGTTGCTCACCTTTCGCTTAATCTATTCCATTGGCTTAATAAATTCAACAGAATTGATTTGTAATTCAGAAAAATCAAGTGAAAACTTAATTACCCTTTTCCAATTCAATGGACGATGAAAATCACTTTTATCAACAAAAACTCTCAATCTCTTTCTCTCGGAATCGTAATTTATCAAATTAATTACAATCTAATCAATTGATACTCTGAGATCACATTCAATTGACTTGATTACGACCGTAAAAGTTTTTTTTCTCAATCATTTACATTACACCAGGTGACTCATCCATTTTTGAGAAGCTGTTTTCAAGTCATAGCTAATTGCTTAAAATCTTGGATAATTTATTGATTTGTAATTAATTGAGAAAAAAAGCAAAAAAAAAATCAATGTAACTTTGAAGGTTGTACACCAAAGTTATTATTATTATTCAATGAGCTTATAGTGAAAAGTTAAAATCTATTGAATACAATTAATTGATTCCATCAATACCTGTTAGTGTAATTGGAAAAAGATAACCATTTTTTTTCACTAAGAGATCAATTGATTAAATTTGAGTGATGATGATGTTTTATTAACTCTAGTGATGATTATCTTGGAGCATCGGTTTTAACTCAATGACGTTTCTCTTTGTCAAGTTAATAACCTACAATATTTTCCAATCGACAAGATAATCAAGTGTAGTAACAGTTATATTTACGATGATGTGATAGTGGAGACACAAAAAAAATTATTATTAAATTTAAACTCAAGTTTGTTTACTTAATAATTTTTTGGTTCTTTTGTTTTTGTTGAGTTTGTTGATGTTGTTGTTGTTATTTTTGTTGAAAGCTTGATGACATTGCTGATGATGGTTGATACTGGTGACATGAAGTGTATCACATGTCAAAATTTTAGATGGATTAATTTTATCAACACAATGATGTTGCTGATGGTTATGGTTATGATTATGGTTATGGGATGATGATAAAGATGTTGTCGATGAAATGGTAGTTACAGATGCAGGTAAAGAAGAAGAAGATGACGATGATGATGAAGAAGATGATGAAAATTGACTTATCCAGTGAGAAGGAGGTTTAGGTAGACTTGAAGGTGATGGTGGATCCGTGAATTTGGGTCCAGCATAATAAACATTGTTGGTGGACATTGAAGCAAACATCATTTGTTTGATTTTTTTTTCTCTTTTCGATCAAGTCCAGTACGTTTGGTGTCAACTCAAAACATCAACATTAAGACGACTCTTTGCTCGGCTCAAGACTGGCAACTTTTTTTAACTAAATGAAGAAAATTTAAATAAATCAATTAACAAAGAAATAGAATTTCATTGAGAACAATTAAAAGCAGAAGGGGAATGATTATCATTCAATGATAATTCATTTTACACTTTTGGTTATTAGAGAACAACAAAAAAAAGAATAATCGAATTGCGCATGATTTTTGCGCACGCGCACAAGCGAGAGTAAAATTAGAAAACATTGAATAAGAATTTGGGAAACTCCATCTGTCTGATTGTCGACCAACTAAAAGGGTTTTAACAAAGATTAAGGTTGAGCCTTAAACCTAAATTGTTTGTTTGTTTATGTTTTTTGGTTTCTGGTTTGGTTTCGGTTTTTTTTATTTTAATTGTTGCTGTTGAATTAATTTTTGTGTATCAATTTGTAGGCTTAATTATAGACTAACGATGACCTCTTCTTCTTTTGCCTCACAGTTTAATCTTCGATCCCCAGCAGTTAAAAGGTTAATGAAAGAAGCTGCTGAATTATCAGAGCCTACGGAAATTTATTATGCTCAACCATTGGAACATAATCTGTTTGAATGGCATTTTACCGTTCGAGGTCCTGCTGATAGTGATTTTGCTGGTGGCTATTATCATGGTCGAGTAATTTTACCCACTGAATATCCAATGAAACCTCCAAGTATTATTCTTTTAACATCAAATGGACGATTTGAGGTAAATAAAAAGATTTGTTTAAGCATTTCTGGTCATCATCCAGAATCCTGGCAACCGTCCTGGTCAATTCGTACAGCTCTATTGGCGATAATTGGTTTTATGCCTACAGAGTCACGAGGAGCTATCGGTGGATTAGACTATACACCGGAAGAGACGTGAATTAGCAATTAAATCACAAACCTGGTCGTGTCCGTCGTGTGGTGCAATCAAAAATCTGCTTAAAAATTTGAGTGATGATTCAGAGGCTGAATCATCTAGTGATAATCAAGAGGCTAAAGAATTAGCCAAGCAGATAAGATTTAAAGAAATCGATCCAACCTTAAATTCAAATCAAACAACAGCAAAAATGGATGAAGGATCAACAACAAACCAAGAAAATACTGACAAAAGGAATGATGATAGTGTTGAAACTCGCCGTCGACGAATAGGAGTTGTACACCATGATAACAATTCAAGCCCTGAAGGGTCACAACAACAACAACAACAATTAAAAGCCCAACAGTCAACACCAAATATTTCATCAAATTCATCTGTCTATGAAGCCACTGTCCAGTCATCAAGGACTCGTTTCTCCACCTACATTATGGCGATACTAATCTTAGCAATTGCTTTCCTTTTATTCAGACGGATCTTAACTGATCCCGAATGAAAACACAGCAAAACCAACACTGAGATACATTTACACACACACACATACACATTTATACACACAGAGAAATAGACAGTGAATCAGAAATACACATCGACCCTCTTATCCCCCAAAAAATTACACATCTACTCAAATACGAAACATGTTTACTAATGAATTATTTTTTAATGTTGTACGATTTAAATTTTTCTCAACTTGTTTTGTTTCTCAGATTGATAAATGAAACTATTACACTTGTCAAACTAAATGAAAAGAGCGCAAACAATTAAACAGAAAATTATGATTATCAACAATATGATTAATTAAACATGTTAAATATGTAAATTGGATTACGAAACACTAATTAACAATCAAATCAATGAAATCCAAGGCAAATCAAACTGATAATCACTTTGTCACCAATCAACCCCAATTTATCAAAGTTGAAACTGATCTTCTCTTTTATATCAATCGGAAAATTAAAAAAAAAACGATAATTATGATTGAATTTGATCAAAAGAAAATCAAATCAAATTTGCCGCCAAAAAGAAAATCATGTGACGAGTTACAGATGAGCCAATGAACGAAGAGCGTTGCACATGTTGAATCCTTCAAGTTGCATGTTGATTCAATTGAATCGTTAATTTTGTTAATTTAATTTGTTGGTTTACCTTTTGTATAATTAGTTTAATCTGTATGATGGGTGATTCGGTAGATTGTCCAGACAATTTAGTGAGAGAAAATATTCTCAAAATATTACCTAAGCTTCACGCGAACAATGCCAAGATCCGTTTGAATTCTGCTTCTCAATTGCTTGAGATTCTCTCCAAGAATAAGGTAAAATTTATTCGTTATAATTTTTTTTAAATCTTTTATTAATCTCTTTCTTTATTTTGTTTTTTATCTTTTGTTTTTTGTCTCTCACTTTCTTTCTCTATCTTAGGATAATGAAGAATCTCTTGAGGAGAATTTGTGTTTCATCGTTGAGCGTCTCATCAAAGGAACTACAAAAGCTAAAGATTCTTTCAAAATTGGTTCTACTCTTCTTCTAACTGAAATTCTTCACTCTTTCAGTGATTTTCGAATCTCTAAATTACTTGAGCTGAGTAAAAAAATTATTGGTGATGTTAATGATGACCTTTCGATTAGTGGGGTAACTAGTTGGACTTGCATTTTCATCTCAATAGTACAGTCAAAAAAACTTGATATTTCAGACAAGGAGACGTTGAAAGAATTTATTAGATTCATGGTCCAATTGGCAATTAAAAAGCCTTTATGCAATATAGCTATTTGTAATATCTTTCAGATGCTATTTGATCATCAATTTAAGCCAGAAGCCTTTTCTTCAATTCTAAAATCATCCCTTAAACGTAACGAGCATGGAGACGCATCACCTTTTTATCTTTATCTCATTTTGTTGATTCGTAAACATCCGGTAAGTGAAAAATCTCCTTCCAATTTTCAACCAAACGATCACTTTTGATATAACTTATGATTTTCATCCTTGTTAACAGGAATTGTCTCGAGTCCTCAATCATATACCATCGATTGATTTAGATGATGCCGATAATTTAGTTGCATTTGTCGAGGTAAGATGAATCTTCTGACAATTTATCAATTCTAACTAATTTGAGTCTATTGCGTTTCTAAATTTTCTTTCAGGCCGCTGCCTTAAATTATCCTACACTCCACCCAGCATGTATTGAGCTTTTCCATTATTTAAATGAAGACGACCGAATGGAAATATATTGGAAGCGAGTCTTCAATAGTAAGCAAAGAATAATTTGATCTTCTGTACATTTTCTAGAATCTTTTCTCTAACTTTTCATTTATTCTTTACTGGTAAATAGATACGCTTTTTGGTCATGATCAATCATCTAAACACCATCGAGTTGGACTGTCCCTTATTAGTGCCATTCTGCCTCATCTAAATGAAACGAATGTTAGTTGATCTATTTGCATTCACAATTTTATTGTGAATCAAATCAAATGACTGTTATTACAATTATTATTGCTCATTCTCTTAGGTTGATTATGTATTTTCAAAAAAAATGATGGATTTGTGGATGCAAAGTCTCACAACTCAAGCCTGTCGCCTTCACAATTTTGCTATGCAATTAGTGAGTAAACTAATTATTTCGATCTAATTTTATTTACTAATTGTGACATGTCTCAAATTTTCAGCAAAAAGACCTTATTGACAACTATGACAATTATGATGCTTCACTCCAAGCAAAGATCATATTACTTTTAACTGAATCGTAAGTGTTAATGAATGTAATCAAATTTCTTAAATCACTAATTAATTTTACTAATATTACAGCCCTGGAACTGTGAGTTTTGATGTAATTACTGATACCAAAACTGTTGCTCAACTTTACTCAAAGGTTAGTATAGATTAAGCTTTTATTTCAATTAGATGATTATTTGATATTCATTATTTCATTAGACTAAATGTGAAGCTGTCGAGAATTTGATCAATCGAGTTATTGAAAAAGTTCGTGGTTACAAGGATGTTTCAGTTAAAGATAAAATGAGAACTCTTCTCGTTAGTCAGGTAATTATCACTAGTAAATTCTGTTGATTTTAGTGTTTATTAATGATAAATTTTGGATAAATTGTCAATTCTTTAGCTTACAGATCTCGTAAAATCAGCTCATATCTCAGATTCTCCAGAGATCAAATTAACTGTCTTAAATTTCCTCCTCGCTCATGGTTACTTTGATGTTTCCAATGATGAAACTTTGGTGAGTTTTTGATTCGTCTTTACTAATTTATCTGGTGATGATTATAATTGTTGTTTCTTTATTTCAGAATTTAGTCAAACCAGCTACTGGATCTCTGATTGCAAGAATTCAATCTCTTTTCTTTAAATTGATCAGTGCAACTTGTTCAAATAATCCTGATGTTATGGAAGGTGTTGGTTTATATGCTTTACGATTAATCAAAGGAGGTGTTCCATTGAAAGATGATAAGGTAACAATTACTGGTCAACTATAATTCTTGTAGTTACAAGTTTCTTCTCAAAGATTCATTTTCTAACCTTTTCTTAACTTATGCCATTTATTTAGACTGAACCATTGTGGAAGAAGATGAAAAAGATGAAAATCAAATTCAAAAAATTAAAATCTAACGTAGAAAACGAAAAGCAAATCAACATATTTAAACCTTTGCTCTATGCTAATGCAATCAGCTCTTTCCAACAATCTACCGATATAGATGATGCAATAGCTAATTTCGATGAATTGTTTGAGTGTTTCAAACGTTCGTTGGGAGATAGTCAAGAAGAGAATGAACCTAAGTGGCCTGATGTTTTATTAGATTTAATGATCTCTCAATTTCCAGCCCAATCACAGTTCCTTTCTTCCATTATGATTAAAACTTTCCGGTTAATTGTTTCTGATGTTACTCTCGAAGGACTTGAACAATTGAAGATCGCCTTACTTGCTGACAAACTTGATGATGAGGAAGATGAAAATGAAAATGATAGCGAAGATGAAGACGAAGATGAAGATGCAGAAGAGAACGGACCAAATGGCCAAGATGCTGATAAACCTGAAGGAGAATCTGATGAAGAGGAATCAGAGGTTTCAGAAGACGATGAAGAAGATGTTGATGATGAATTCAAAGCAAAAATTACATTAGCACTTGGGCCTGCCGCTGCTACAGGAGATGTAAGTATACATGTTTATCATGTTTAGTTGATTGTTTATTTGAATTTAAAATTGATCTAATTTGAACTTCTTTAGGAAACTGAAGCACCGATTGATGATGATGAAATGTTCCAATTAGATGAAGCATTATCAGCGGCATTCCGGAGTAAATACTCAACCGACAGACATACAAAAGCTAATCTAAAGATATTGAGATCCAAGTGTTTAGATTTGGTAGAAATTATATTTAAATCGAAAGAACAAACACTCGAAACAGTTTTGTTCTTAATTCCTGTTCTCATCGATGCTATAAAACTTTATAGTAATTCCAAAGAGGTTGAACTGCGAGCTAGAGTTGCGAAAATTTTAATGAATCTGCCACATGTCAAATTTTTCACTTCATCTGATGGTTTAAATGATAAAATCGCTCAAGGATTGTTCAAGAAAGGAATTGATTTGGCTTCCAATACTAATATCCAAACAAGTGCTGCTAAAATTTGTGTCTGGGTTGTAAGTAAATTTTTTCTGGACACACAATAATTTAATTAGCTGATGTACTAATTTAAATCATTTTTTATTCAACAGATATCAATGTGTATTCATAGCAATGTTAATACCGACTGGGCATATGATCATTTGCTTAAATTATTAGAAGAATATTTTTCTAAACCTAATTCGTTGGTTTCCAAGGATTTTTTCCTAATTATTTTCCAGAACCAAAAAGTAATTATTTAACTTTACAACAATCTCTCAATACTAAGCAATTAGAATGTTTTGTTAATACTTATCGGTTTCTTTCCTTTTAGACTTGCAATCCTCAGATTCTAGAAGTATTGAGTAAAAATGTTTTCGTAAGTCTAAGACCATTCAAGAAACTCGGTGGACTCGCAATGCTCACAACCTATCTTAGGATTTGTCCAGTTGATATGGTTAAAGATAAATCTATCGAAGCTTGCTTACAATCGATCAAAAAAGATGCTATGGCTGGACTAATGGCGGCGACCAGTGCAAACAGAGCTTCTTTCATCAGCTTATATGTCGGTTTAATTGGTGCTCTTAGTAAATTCATTCCGATCGACCCACTCCCAGTTAATGTAAGCATTTTTTCTTGACAAGTTTTATGAGAATTTAAAATTAATCATTTTTTTTCTACAGGCAAAGAAAAAGGAAAAGGTTGGGAAAAAATTAAGTTCCAATGGGTTAATTCTACTGAAAAAGAACCAAGAGGAGGAGGAAGAATCAAAAGAAGAGAAAATTGAAGTAGATCCTCAATCAGATCGCGAAGATCACGAAAATAAAGAAGAAGGAGAAGAAGAACAAGAAGAAGAACAAGAAGAACAACAAGAAGATGACCAAGAAAAAGAAGAAGACGTAGAAGTTGAAGAAGAAAAAGAACAAGAAGAAAGAAACAAAGATGAAGGCGAAGACGAAGAAGAAGAACAACAACAAGGAGAAGAAGAGTGTGAAGAAGAAGAAGAAGTGGAAAAAATCAAGTCGGACTCTCAATCTGAGAATGATGATCATGAAAAAGAAGAAGAATCAGGCGAAGAAAAAATGAAATTGGACTCACAATCAGAAAATGAAAACGAAAAAAAAGAAGAAGAACAATTAGTCAAGAAAATGAAATTAGACTTACATTTAGAGAACGGAGGTCAAGAAGAAGAGGAGCAACAAATTGTAAAGAAAATCAAGTTAGACTCTCAATCCGAGAATGAAAATGAAGAAAAAGAGGAAGCGCCAGAAGATGTGAATATGAAACAAGACTCACAATCAGAGAGCGAGAATCAAGAAAAAAGAGAAGAAGAACGGGTAGCTAAAAGAATAAAATTCGAATCCGAGAGCGAAGAACAAGAGGAAGCTCCAACTCCACGTGTAACGCGCGCTCGCGCTAAAACTCCGAAAGTTGAGCAAAACAAGAAACCAGAGCCCGAAACTAAAGAGGAACAATTAGAAGCTGAAGATGAGCTGCCCGATTTTTCAATCCCTCGAGTTCAACTCATAAAAACACCATCAACCCGATCAAGAGCTCGATCAGTGACTCCAACCAAAGAACCAACTACACCTCTAAGAAGATCACTTCGAACTCGAAAATGAATTAAGATTTCCGATTAACTATCAATCCACTACAAGACTATCCAACTAAAGGCTTTAGTTAATTGTGTAACTTATAATCATGGATAAAATCGTAATCATCATTTGCTTTTCTCAAATATCCTTATGAAAACAATCACTTGCATGTTCCCTATTTTTTGTGGGGATAAATTACTTTCCGACGTTGATTGGTTAAATTATCATCATAACATTCATAGCAATTAACCAATTGCCTATATAAACCAAGCGCAATCAAAAACGTATCGTTCAACCATGAAGAAATCATTAAAATCATGAAAATTAAAAACAAAATGATAATGTTACATAATAAGAAATTGTTATTTAAGTTTTACTTACCACCATTTATTGATTGTTCATTAAAATTTAATTTTGAAAATTTGTTAATCATTAATCATTTTATTCATTATCACAATCAACTTGAAATGAGAAAAGGTTTCAATGTAATTAAAAGTATTTCTCATTTAAAATTAAATCAGATTTTCAGGTTATCGTTATTCCAATTTTAATTGGTCAACTAAATTTAATTAATTTAGTTTGAAATTAGATTAAAATTGAAAAATTGATGGTTAAGTTGATACGTTAGATTAATATTGTTGATGCTGTGGTGCAGTTAATTGTCTCTTTTTAATTAATTGTGTCTTAATTTCACTTGGGTTGACAAAATTCAGTGATTACTAATTGTTAGAGTTGAATTGCTGATTTAATTTGATTATTGAGCAGAAACAGTAACTAATTTAGATGAATTATCTTTATGATTGGGAAAGTAACAAATATTTTTGGTTTTGTTAGTTAATTGTTATTGATTAATTAGCTTGTGATCCTGATTTAAATACTTCCTGTTGGACGTTATGATTAACAATCCATGACAATGATTAATAACAATTAAGAAATGGACAGTTTTCTTGGACACAATTTAATTGTCCGAATCTACAGTTGAGCGATTCAACTATAAGATGACAATTAGTCTTCTGTCTTAATTGGTTGAAAAAAAAACTCACTTTTCATCAGCGAAATAATTAATTTCATTCAGCATCAAATGGTCAATTCTAAATTGTAGTTATTTGATAGCACATTAAATAGAAACAATTAGATTTAATCATAAGAAAAATATCTACAAGTTTAAGTTAAATCTTTGAATATTCTCACAGTGAAAGTTAATTGTGTTCCTTAAATTGATCATCATCATCATGACAAAACGTTCATATGTTACCTTTGGATCGTTAATTGTGTTAATCATAATTCTAATCACAATCAATGTACCAACAATTAAGGCTGGATACCGAAGGAGGATTGAAATGGCAAAGAAAATCGGAGCAGTTATGTTAATTGTTGCGAAGAATAAAAAATTTATCCTTCCTTTGCCTCTTCCAGTGCCCTTGCCTGTTCCGTGAGTATTAATTAGTATATTAATTAATCAGTTGATTCCCGATTCTAATACAATTACTTAATTCTTAGGATATTTAAAACTTATCAACCGGTAATTCATGATCCCTGGTTTTTCAAGAAACAATTAATTGCTCAACACTTTAGTGGTGGTTTACATGGAGGTCTTCATGGTGGAGTCACTGGTGGAATCCATGGTTAATTGTTACAAAATCATTCGTTCATTTACTGGTTAATCGTTAATCCATCTGTGTATTTAGTTTCATTTCGTCAAACACCAATAAACAATTAAGTTATTATAAACAGACTAAATTCAAACTCTTAATCTCTCAATTTAAGATTATCAGCTGTTGATATTCATCTGATAACATGTTGATTGATTGTTACAATAGAAACCAAATCAAGCAATCATTAATTATTCCAATCAAAAAGTTTGATAAAAATTGGTTAAGATTAGTCCTTTCTCAAGCTAAACAGCCTTTCAAAAGGATTATCCCTAAAGGATTAAGCTTTTGTTTTTAACGGCTTGGCGAGTTGACTCTGACTCTATACCGTTGACTCTATACCCAAATGATTAACCGTCTTAACCTAAAACGGATTAGTTTCAATAAAATGTTTTCTGTTTCAAATTAATCATTTTGTGTTCCTTTCCAAGTGATTTTACTGTAAATCAACAGAGAAAATAAATCAACACCAATTAGAAATTTGTTCCCTGTGTTTCGTCTTTAATTGTGGATAAATTTGGTCTTTTAGATGTGAATTTTGACCATTTATTGTGACACTTTCTCTAAACACATTTGATTCCTTGGATCATCTTTACCTTTGATCTCATGACAACAGTAAGTATTAGTTATTGGTCTTTCTATTATTATCCATTGACCGACCTTTCGCTCAATTCAAACATTTGAATCTCTTTATCCACTTCAGGTAACTGACTCACCAGTCAAACGAAAACCAGTTCAAGATACTCAGATAAAAGATCCAACAGTCGACAATATGTACAAAAAGATATTCGCAATGTTATCAGAAACTATTTTAAAACGTGAAATTGTCGAGGAAAGCGATTCGGAGACACCAACACAGAACGAAGGTCAAGTAAAGGATCTGATTTTGACAAATTACTTCCCGACACATAAAGCAGACAATGACGACCTTGCAATACCTCGGACTCAGAGGATTAACAAAGCCGGTGATCCTGTCGGAGAAAAGTGTACCTGTCATCATCATCAAGTTGTGGTTACCAAATGATGGCCATGACTTTTTATAATTTCATTCTTAATTATCCTCATTTGTTAATAAAATAAAACACTAATTAAGTGTATCACAATTTCACCAAACAAACAATTTCTTTGAATGTTTATGTTAGTTGTTATTCGTGAATCAGTTAACGGAAAAAAGATAAATCAATTTCAAAAATAATCAATCAATCGGATAAATGAATAAGTATTTACATTATTAAATCATCTTCTTGAATCTAATAACTTAATTGTTTATTGGTGTTTGACGAAATGAAACTAAATACACAGATGGATTAACGATTAACCAGTAAATGAACGAATGATTTTGTAACAATTAACCATGGATTCCACCAGTGACTCCACCATGAAGACCTCCATGTAAACCACCACTAAAGTGTTGAGCAATTAATTGTTTCTTGAAAAACCAGGGATCATGAATTACCGGTTGATAAGTTTTAAATATCCTGAGAATTAAGTATAGTGTAATTGTATTAAAATCGGGAATCAACTGATTAATTAAATATACTCACGGAACAGGTCAGGGCACTGGAAGAGGCTTCGAGTTCGAAGTGATCTTCTTAGAGGTGTAGTTGGTTCTTTGGTTGGAGTCACTGATCGAGCTCTTGATCGGGTTGATGGTGTTTTTATGAGTTGAACTCGAGGGATTGAAAAATCGGGCAGCTCATCTTCAGCTTCTAATTGTTCCTCTTTAGTTTCGGGCTCTGGTTTCTTGTTTTGCTCAACTTTCGGAGTTTTAGCGCGAGCGCGCGTTACACGTGGAGTTGGAGCTTCCTCTTGTTCTTCGCTCTTGGATTCGAATTTTATTCTTTTAGCTACCCGTTCTTCTTCTCTTTTTTCTTGATTCTCGCTCTCTGATTGTGAGTCCAATTTCATTTTTTCTTCGCCTGATTCTTCTTCTTTTTCATGATCATCATTCTCAGATTGAGAGTCCGACTTGATTTTTTCCACTTCTTCTTCTTCACACTCTTCTTCTTTTCAATCGTGAGGATCGCGCAACTTTGATTAAAAATGTACGAAATTTAATGCCCGTGGCTGTATATTGAATTTTGAAATGTCATAAAAATGTTTACGACTTAGGCGGTACAAAAAAATGTCTCATTCATTTGTCCGTCCGTCTCGAAATTTGCTTTTAGAGTCTCAAGCAAAAGAGATTGACTGTAATGAACAATCAGACTCGCAATTAAAGATTATCAGCTATTGATATTCATCTGATAGGAAAGTTGATTGATTGTTACAATAGAATAACAAATTAGAAAATTATCTCCACTCGTTAGCAGGTTAATTATGTATCAAATTTAGTCTGAATTTCACTGGGAAAAGTTCAACATTCGTTGATCTAGTTACAGAATCAAATTACCTCGGACTGTCCGATAGAAATTTGTATTGATTTTATTAAACATTTTTCCGCAATTAAATCTCATCAAATTTATTTAATTGATTTAAATTCAAGCCAATTTCAATTTTAAAGATTGTGATAAGTTTAATGTTTTGTTTAATCTAAATCATTTAATTTAAACTCGATTGAATTTTTTGCTCGTATGAAAAATGACTAGTTTAAGTAAGTTAATTGTAATTAATTACTATTCAATAAACTAGCGTACAATTTACTTTTTTACCAGCCTAAATTTGTAACTAATGAGAGAAGATCAATTCTGATTCTCACGATTAACCAAATTGAGTCGTTGTGATGATTTCGTTTACCTAGGGTTCCGAACATTTCGGTCAACTGATTTACGTTTTTTTCATTTGCTTCATTTTGGAAGCATTTTTTTGCTATTAGAGTTTGAATCGAATTAAGATTCATTAATTTGATTAATATAATTTGAATTTGGTGGACATTTCTCTCTGGGAAATTGATGCTTTTTGTGGTTTTTGTTTTTTGTTTATTTAGATTCGGCAACAATTTGATTTGATTTTTACACTAATTTGTTTTCTCTTGGAGCAAAAGTAGTTTTGCTTGTGTTGAAAGGGACTGAAATCTTTTGGGTAACACAAATTTTTTTCCATTTGGATAAAATTATCATTAGAATTTTGTTACAACTTTTGCTTTTTATGTCTAATCTTCATCTTCATCATCATCTTCTGGTAAATCATCTAATAAATCTGGCATAGGTAATCCAGCTTCTTTTCTAGCAGCATATTCATCAGGAGATCGACCTCTAGGCCAACCAAAAAGAGGCTCTTTACCATCTCCAAAGGGGAATGGTTTCTTGATCATGAGAGATACTCATAACGAGGTGGAAGTACAGGTTCTTCGGCCATTTCATGTTGCATTTCATACCAGGAGTGAATACGAGCCCAAATAATGACAGGTATGATCACGTAATAAGAAGCGAATTCAAGAATGCTTTCCTGTGAGAAAACACCAGAAACCTCAGTGCTTGCAGAAACTGAATGAGCCCATCGCTTATTCACAGAAGATAAAGCAATTTTAACACCACTAGTTCCTCTTGGTGATCGAACAATTAAAGGTAAAGCTTTCCTTAAAACACCAAACATTATAACAATAAAATACCACAAACACCAATCCAAACCTAAAAGAAACAAATTCAATTGAAAAAAAACCAAAATTAACAATCAACACAACAAAACCCAAGTAAAAGTAACACAAAAATATTTGTATTTACTTGACAAAATTAAAAGGCCTAACACATAAACCAAAAGCTAGACACAATTAAATCAAAACTTACCACCAAAAACGAACCCAAAATGAGCACAATTAACCAGCAAATTAATTTAATTACAAAGGAAAAACCGATTTTCCTAGCCAAAACAAACCAAAAGGTGAAAAATAAACAAAAAGAATCATAAATTTGACCTCAACTCATTTACTCCAGAAACGGTGGCTCCATCTAGCGAATGGAAAAGCTACTTATTAAGGTGACCTTGTGATGAGAAAAAAACGACAGAGAAAAAGAAAGAAAATGAGTCATCGGATGAACGTCACGATGACGCAATGAGGAGGAGTTTAAGGTTACAGGGTGAGAGATAAAGAGGATAAAAGGGGAGGGAATTAAAAGTCTCGGAGAGAAAAGCGGTTAATTTAAAGGTGATACAATTTTCTGCACAAATGAAATGAATTAAATTCATTGCGCAAGTTAAACAACTAAAATTAAGTAAACGTTATTTTATCGATCACTCTGTAGATAGATTTTTGTTTGTTATATTTGAACATGATAAGAAAGAAAGAAGAAGAGAGAAAGAAGAAGAAGAAGAAGAAGAAAAAAAAGTAAATAGTAAGGATATCAAATAGAATACGGAAAAAACAAAATAAACGTTTAAAACGAAGCGTAAACGTTAAATGGATACATCACAAGTAACCACAACATCGCCATGCAATTTAAATCTAATTGATGTGAACACTTTGGCCTCTTATATTAAAAATGGTCGGCAGAATATTTTAATCTTGGACATGAGATCTTTTCTTGAATACAACACAAGCCATGTATCAACATCCTTTCAAGTCACTTCGTCGAAACTTGTTCTAAGACGTTTACAACAAGGAAAGGTTAGTGTTTACCTCTTATTTATTAAATTGTATTCACATCAACAATTAGATTGTTACTGTTTCATTTTCACCACAATCAATAAGAGAATAGTGTTTTTCTCATCTCTTGTTTTCTCAATTGTCTCCACCCTTTCAACCAGAACGGATCAGTGAAACTTCAAGTTTAGAAAATTAAGTAAAATTTTCTATTCTCTTTGTTATTGTTTTCCTTTTTTCTCTCTCTCTTGTTTCTCAATATTAAGAATAATTAATCGTTCTGACTCTTTGATGGTGTTACTGTTTTTGTTAATTTTCTTCTTCTTCTTCGCATTTAAATAATAATATTATTTCTTTTTTTCTGTTTTTGGTTTTATTCTCCTTGTGTTCTCTGTTCTTCTTTTCAACCAGTTAACTGCAAATGAATTGATTACCAATGTAATTGGTTATCAACCTGATCCAAGTGTTGATATTATTTTATATGATCAAGATTCTAAAAGTTTCATCTCCATACCGGAAGACAGTTTTCTTGCCGTTTTCATATCTAAATTGGTGACTACCTTTAAAAGTGTCAGCTTACTGGTCGGTGGTTTTATCACCTTTCAATCAAAATATCCTGATCTCTTGGAAGCCAAGAAATATCTTACTTCATTATCCCAACCTTGTCTTCCAACCACCAATCCAGGACCCACGAAAATCTTACCCTTCCTTTACTTAGGATCCCAACATGATGCTTACAATAAAGAGCTTTTAAAGGTAAACATTGTAACAATCAGATGAAGAGAAACTCGATCTTTTTGACCTTAACTTTACACTTTAGATTAACTGTTCAACTACAATATCAATTGTTCGTAACAATCAGTATAGAAATAAATAAGTTAGGGTCAAATTTTAATCGATAACCTCCAATTCTCAGTGACTAACTAATTTTGTTTTCTCTTTAGACTCATAATATCACTTATGAACTAAATGTTAGCATAACTTGCCCAAAGCCTGATTTTGTTCAAGAATCTCATTTCATGAGAATACCTGTTAATGATAATTACAGCGAGAAACTGCTTCCTTATTTTCCAATGGCATTTAACTTCTTGGGTAAGTGTAATCATCTCTCAAATACAACCACCACCAGTATAACTGTTCAAATTAATTGTGTCTATCGATTAGTTTTTTTTTTCTTCTGTAGGAAATTAAAGGATATACAAAGTAACTGAGTTCTTAATTGCTTGAAACATACAGAATTTGATTAGATTCTATTAGTAAAGAAAAGAAAAAGAAAACAAAATGGAGGATAAATTATATATATATATAAAGAAATTACCGAGACTTCTCAGTCGAAGCCAAAAAATTAGTGTATAGAAAATGAAGAATCAGTTAGTCATCATGTTTACCATGTAATGAGAAAATGAACACTACCTAACAGGGAGAAGAAAAAGAAAAAGAAGAAGAAGAAGAAGAAGAGAAACAATTTCACTAATATATTTACTCTCACAATCAAAAGTAATTGCGAATTTTGTTTCTTCAAATTTTCTAAACAGAAAAAGTTCGCGAATCGCGAGGATGTGTTTTAGTTCATTGTTTAGCTGGAATTTCACGGTCGGCGACAATTGCAATAGCTTATGTGATGCAACATTCGAGGATGACTTCTGATGATGCTTACAGGTTTGTCTTCCATTTAAATTATCGTCCAATTGGTCAGAAATATCGATTTTGTGTTGTTGTTGATATTGTTGTCAGACTTTTGGGTTTGTTTTGAGTTTCATATTTGATTGATTATAGTAATTATAATGTGTGTGTGTGTGTTTATATATTGGAAAAACTGGAACTCTCATGATTATATTAATGAATCAATAATTTTCCTCTTCTATTTTTCTGGCTATTTATAGGTATGTGAAATCTAAAAGGCCAACCATATCACCTAACTTTAATTTTCTTGGACAATTAGTTGAGTTTGAGAAACAATTAAGACGAGATAGTTTATTGGAACCAGTTTCCACTGAGCCATCTTTCCTCTCGTTTTCACGGCCCAAACATCAGACATCGGGTTCATCGAAACGCTTATGCTCGCTATCGCCATTGACATTTTCCACCACCCCGGGAGATCGGGCATCATTTTCATTATCTTGTATACCTGCTCTTGCCTCACCTACTTTACCATCACCGACAACACCTAATCCATCAACAGCTACTGCAACCAAATGAACATATCACAAAAATTTTATCTCTCATTAACTCACAATTGTTTTTGTTTTCTCTTCTCTCTCTCTCTCTCTCTCTCTCGCTATTATATCTTTCATTACTACACAACTACTACTACCACCTATTTCTTGCTCTCTAGATATAATATTAATAAAATATGATACTCTTCAAATGATGGGTATTGATGAAATGAAAAGTGTAATTTATTCCCTTAAATGAGAAGTTTCTCAATTTCACTTTGTAAAGCTTGAATTTGAGGCGTCAATTGTGATCCTTCACTGCCGATGACCGAACAGGCGATAACTGATCTGGCCACACCACATGCACGACCGAGGGCTAAGTAATTAAGAGAAGAAAAAAAGCCATAGATAATTAAAGTATTTGAAATAGAATTTCCATTTTGTCAATTAAGAGCATGTTTGAGATATTTGTTGATTTAATAAACTTTACTCACCATGTTTAGATTTAATGAAAACATAAGGAACATTTTTATCTTCACACAATAAAGGTAAATGAAGTAAAATCTCAAGAGGTTCAGCATCAGCGGACATAACAATTAATTGAGCCAAATTTCGAGCTAAAGTTTTAGTTGCTTCATTGGCTCCTTTTTTAATTTGCTTATAATTAGCAGCTTGTTGAACTAATTTCAAAATTTTCGCAGTCAACTGATCATCAGCTAAAGGGTAAGCTTTTGGATTAACTCCTTCGGTAGGCTACATTTATATGAATAGAAAGAGATAGAATAGAAAATCAAGAGAAAACGGTGAATAAAAAAAAACAACATAAACAATTAAACACAGGAAGCATAAAGAAATCAAAAGATCACATTTATGAAAAGAAAAACAATTCTAAACTAAGTTACAACGAATCCATGCCGTCAGTGATTTAATAGATAAAGAATGAAAATATTTACCATTTTATCGTGAGAATGTGTGAGAGAACGAGGAAAATAATCAAATCGAGAAACAATTTAAAAATATAATCAAACAATTAACAAAACAATACACGTCGGTTATCAAAATATATTGAGTTAAATTCAATTAAAAATAAAATCATTTGAAAAAGTGACCATGTGCTTCCCAAAAAAGTGGCTCCATCTGTGGAATACGAAAAAACTCAAATTCTTCAGAAAAGGCGCTTTTTTTAAAAAAGTTCACATTAACAATTAAAAATCAATAACTCAACGAATTAACTGTAATTGAACAGAAATTAATCAAATTTCACTTTTAACGAAATTAATCTAACGTATCAACTTAACCATCAATTTTTCAATTTTAATCTAATTTCAAACTAAATTAATTAAATTTAGTTGACCAATTAAAATTGGAATAACGATAACCTGAAAATCTGATTTAATTTTAAATGAGAAATACTTTTAATTACATTGAAACCTTTTCTCATTTCAAGTTGATTGTGATAATGAATAAAATGATTAATGATTAACAAATTTTCAAAATTAAATTTTAATGAACAATCAATAAATGGTGGTAAGTAAAACTTAAATAACAATTTCTTATTATGTAACATTATCATTTTGTTTTTAATTTTCATGATTTTAATGATTTCTTCATGGTTGAACGATACGTAGTCTTGTGGTGGATTGATAGTTAATCGAAAATCTTAATTCATTTTTGAGTTCTAAGTGATCTTCTTAGAAGTGTAGTTGGTTCTTTGGTTGGAGTCACTGATCAAGCTCTTGATCGGGTTGATGGTGTTTTTATGAGTTGAACTCGAAGGACTGAAAGTGCCTTATTTGTGACTGAAACTGAAAGATCAACAAGTTGTTCGTGTCGATGTTGATCCAATAATTTGTCCAAATTATTTTCATCCAATGTGTTAATTATTGACTTAATACTAGATTAGAATTCACAGGAATCACTTGTTTTATTTTGGATCTTTTGAACTCGACTTGATCGTCGTTTGTCAATAAACTCGAAAGGAAAAGATCCTCGTTTTTCGGGCTTATTGTTAAGCTTTTCTTTATCCGAATATTCATCACTCATGTTCTCATCAGCACTTTGAACATCATCTGAAGAGGTTCCACTTTCGATTGAGATGAAAGTGCTTCGAGGACAATTTGCCTTTTCCATTTCAGTGTAAATCTTTTTAAGAGTTGAGGTCAAAGATTGTAAAGATGAGAGCGAAGTAGATTCAAGATTTAAAGTGAAAACTTTCCTTCCATCGTTTTGGTTTGTTTCATCTTCCAAGAATTTTCGTTTTCTTTTTTCTTTCAAATTCGAAAATTCGGCCAAAATTTTCTCCTTTCTTTCTAAATCTTTTTCACAAGGATTCCAATTGTGGAGATATTGTAGATTAACAGGTAATTCTGATCCTATGGATGGAAAATGTTTCACCATTTCCGATATTAATAAACAAGCTTTGAAATAATGACAGTCTTTTGTTAAACCTTTGATTGCGAGTTTAAGACAATTACTGTAATCATTTAGAACATAATAAAGACCCATTAGAATATCTAGAACAACCCAATTGGTTGGACTGATTCTATGAGCTTCTTCAAAACATGTACGAGCCAGTGGAAGATTAGTAAATTGATTAAGAGCTCGTCTGCCAGTTTCGATCCATAAAGTAACATCACCGCCATCGATTGCCAAAGCATCGAGGAAATAATTCAAATTATCGGGAAAGAGAAGACCCAAATTTTTGAGAGAAAGATACTTAAGGTGGACAATATTGGTCAAGCCGGAAGATTCATCAAATTCATCAAGAGTATCCAACAAAGAGATCAACTCGGATTTAGCTTGTTCTTTATCCGAATCAACCAATTTCAAAGCTTCACAATAAAGTTGCTGAAGATTTTCCTCTTGAGCTTCTCGGGTTAACAAACCATTTTCCGGTTCCTCAGTTTCCGAATCACTTGTATCAACATCTTCATTTAAAGCTTTAATCCTTATCATGATGATTATGGTACAAAAACAAAACAAACCACACAAGTAAAGAGAAACAAAAAAGCACTAATAACGTAATAAAACAAGAAATGAATACAAGAAAAGGTAATAAATGTAAATCGATAGCGTCCAATAAACTGAGTTGGACTAATTTACCAAAATAGGCCAAAATTAACCAAAATCAACAAAGATGAATTAAAACTCTCAAAATTAAATTGAAAATCACAATTCAGTCAACCAAATGATAACCATCATTGACATAGCAAAGGAGTCAACTAAAACAACACAATCACCTCGAACAGCAATTTGATAAATTTTCCAAAATTTCTATAAAGTCTTAGAAATGTTAATTTGATACAAATAAATGCTAATTAGAGATAAATTCAATTAATTCAAGTAATTAGATAATTACCTAATTATTTCGGTAAATCCAAACTCAGGATCCCCACGGACTTTACCCTTAATTGCATTAGCACCAAATATCGGCTGGTCAAGGGAAAGGTCAAACATTGAAAAAAATGGAGCCGAAAATGACTTAAAGTTAGCATTTTGTTTCAATGGAGTTGCTGTGAAAAGGACTCGATGAGTTGTCAAATAGATTCGACCTTTGGCCTGTAGAGACAAAATAAGAGACAAAAAAGATTACTAATTAAGAAACATTAAGAGTAAGATATGATAACAATCAAATTAACACCACGAATAATATGATTGATTAAACTGAATCGATGATGTCACAAAAATTAAGTGAAAATTAAGATAAAATTGAATTATTGTTGATAAAATTGTTGTGATTGTCTTTTTCTTTATGATTGCATCTTAATTTTCACTTAATCTCTAGTAAGATACTCTAATTGTAACTTCCCATTTTGTCTGAAATTAACCGTAACACCTTTTAATTTAAAATTTGTTTTCTATTTGAAGGTAATTGCTTTGACTTCTTTCAATTGTTCCAATATCTAGTGGACTAATTAAATTCTCAAATTCAATTGTTTCTCAATTCTGTAACGAGAATCAAATGTAATCAAAATGGTCAATGAAATCGAACCAAATCAACTTGAGTCAAACAAACGAACTGATTATCTTGATTGGGACGATTATTTCATGGCCATGGCTCATTTGGCCTCATTGAGGAGTAAAGATCCCGTCACTCAGGTTGGAACTTGTATTGTGAACACAGAAAAGAAAATAGTTGGAATCGGTTACAATGGAATGCCGACCGGATGTAATGACGATCTCATGCCTTGGACCAAAAATGGAGACACACCTTTGGACAATAAGCATCTTTACGTTTGTCACGCTGAGATGAATGCGATCGCCAATCGTAATTCAGCCGATGTCAAGAACTGTAGTCTCTACACTACTCTTTTCCCATGCAACGAATGTGCCAAATTAATTATCCAATCAGGAATTCGTGAAGTGATTTATTGCAATATTAAAAGTCCAGATTCAACGATGAACAGAGCATCAAAGAGGATGTTAGATATGGTGAATATAATTCAACGCGAGTTCTGTCCGAAAAGAGATAAAATTATCATCGATTTTACTGAAAAAAAGTCAACATTAGTTTAATTCGATTGTTGATCGAATTCGAGTGATTATTTTGTGATTAAAACAAAACTTTGGTACAAAAAAATACATTTACAATTCTATTAATAAAGATTTGGATGCTTAGAACAGTGTTTTCGGTTGTGTTTAAATGTAGAAAATAAATAAATAGAAATGACTATGATACAATAGATCTAATTGATTGTTCACATTCTCCAATGAAATGTTGAGTATCTCGTTGATAAACTGAACATTTCATCAACTTTTCTGCTACTTTTCTCAAATCGATTCGTATCTGGTCCAAACGAGGACGATTTTGACGAGCTTCTTCAATTCGATTCTTTAAAATACTGAAACACCGACGAAGTGCATCCTTAGCAAGATGTTCTCGGTCAATGTCACGGAGAAACTTTTTTCCGACCTCTGGTGTTTTACTTAATTGTACTGCGATTGTTGATAATCGATGAGGATCAGAAAGAGCCCAAGAAACTTTAATCAATAAGTGAGTCGATCGGCACATATGAGTAATGAAGCTTCCTGGTCTATCGATATCATCAACAGGGATCCTCCAGATTCCGTTGAATAGATTGTTATTTTTGTGATCACCAAATAGACCGATAATTGGTTCGGATTTTAATGCATCGGCAGAACCATTAGTACTGGCATTACCATTTCCATTGATCATGTCTCCTGGAGATTCAGGCTTTTTAAGAAGCGATTGTGAACCCGATGATGTAGTGAATCGACCAAGAAGAACCACTCGAGCAGCGAGAAAATCTTTCAACGAGCAAAAATGATGAGCCATTCGATAGAGCGACTTGTAATGGTTTGGAAAACGCTGTAAGCATCGATTCATTGCTTCTAAACACATTTCCATTATACTCGGACGTAATTGTCGTTCATCACTTTCAAGAATTCCATCATCGACTAAAGTGACCAAATCAGTGACCACTTCTTTAACATCTTCCATAATTTGATTTTCGTCAGAAAGAGCTGGATGAAGTCGAGATGGATCACTGGAGATATAATCGTGATCAGATATTGAGTTTATAGTTGGTATTTGAATTTGCTTGACAAATGGACTTCGCAATGCACGAAGTAGATGAATCTTAATTTGTGATAATATTTTCGACGATAATGTTTTACTGTGCCTACGAATATACTTGAGGACACAGGCGTGCATGCGATAATGTATTTCAAGAGCTTCGATTGCATAACGGGTCGGATTATGATAACCAATTTTACGAGGATAAGTCGCTCCACTTAAAGCCAAATGCAGATCAGATAGTTCATAATATTTAAGTGCTTGTAAAATGTTACTCCTTTCAGCGATTTTCCCCAAGAAATAATAATGTAACCAAATTTCATCGGCGTCGGCGACATTGTTGGCTGATTCGAAACAAACTCGAGCTCGATAAAGCATTCGTTTCTGCTGCTTGATCATTTTCTCTTTTTGTTCCCCCTCAGTTGTTGGACCAGATTTACGAACTCGAGAAATATAACTCGCGACATTATAAGCAAGGTTTCCATATTCGATCCATATCTTGGTATTGTTTGGTTCCAACCGAAGTGCTTCGATATAACATCTAAATGCCGATTCCGCCAAATCAAATACTTCATCAGAAAATGAGTAGAAAACTTTACTTCCCTAATTAAAGAGAAAAATAATTCATTAAATTAGTTTATCTAACAATAAATATACGAACCACTTTAGTTAATTAACTTACATTAGAAAAATATTGTTCAATTAGATGAGTTATCGAGAGAGCACAAGCAGCCCATGAATCGAATCGATCTCGATTTAAAGTTAAATCATAAATGTAAAACTTTTTCGCTTTTCTAAAGATCAATCAAATTAAAAGAATAGAAATATCATTAATATTCACTAAAATCAGAATAATAATCAATCAACTTACTGAAACTCTTTGTTTTTGAAATAATAATCAGCTAGAAAATAGTAAAGATGTTGAGTTACATGATGTTTAGGAATATTTGATGAAACCTCAATTGGTTTACCATTATCAAGATATTCGTTGATCAATTTTGCATCAGTTTCTGGATTTAAATTATCGGGAATTAAAGGTAATATACGACGAAGTAATTCCTCCGTATCTGAATCAATTGTATCACGTTTTACACTATCAAACTCTGGGAGTTTCTCTGGGATAAAATAACTGTAAATAGTATCGACATTATCCCAAAGGAGATCAATTCCAGCTCCCGGATGAGCAGTGAGATAACTGTATCCAGGACGTGGCGGTGGATGATTGTATAAACAAGCAAAACATTGGAGAATCAAATCATCTTTGGCTTTACTACATTGATTAATTGTAAAATCCAAGGCAAGGAGTAGAAACTCGCCATTAGCCTGAGAACAGGAACCTCGACGACTCAAGTAAACGTGAACAGTATTGATTAAGTTAATTATTTTCTTCTCGTCAATTTCACCAGATGATATTTCATTTATGAATGTTTGAACGAGACAAGTCCAGGCCATTGCACTATACTTTTCGGTTCCTAATTTTAACAATTTGATGGCCAACTCGCGATCAATTGATAGTTTATCGCCATTCTTTAGACAGGATCGTAGTAATTTTAACAATCGATCAGTTAATTGTTTACTTCGAGAAATTATTTCGACTCCTCGCTTCCATTCTTGTGATGATTGGATCGCCTGACAAAGATACTCTTCTTCCGGCTCAGAAAGCTCCGATTTAGAAGCCAAAAGTTCAACAAGTTCTTCGTGTCGATGTTGATCCAATAATTTGTCCAAATTATTTTCATTCAATGTGTTAATTATTGATTTAAGACTAGATGAGCTGTAGACTGTTTGATTTGAGGCTTGAACTAATTTCAGGTTAGATTGGCTGAAAACTTCATTTGCCATTAGAAGATAATCAACTTTAGATTCTTTGATTCCTCGAAGAGTCAAAAGACGAATGAAAAATCCATCAAAATCATCGGAATCAAATTTAGCTCTTAAATGGGGTAGCATTTGTGTTAGAAATATGGCTTCTGATTGTTGAAATTCAATCTCATTGGCAGTGGTAATTAATTTAATCTCTTCCAATGAAACATCCTCAACAGAACAAGTTAAAGGTGATGGTAAACTGTACATTTGCCGATGAATTTTATACAGGTCAATGAAATTGGAAGGTAATTTGATTAAATTAGCTTGATCGGCAACTTCGAATAAAAAATCATTAATTAGTTGATCGATACGTTTTCCCTTTGATTTGAATGACTTTTGCTTCGAGATGAATCGAGAGAGAATCAAATTTTCCACTTGAGTTTCATTATATTTTGGTATTTCGATCTCGGTTCGTTTCACTTCCACTTCTCGAGATAAAATACTTTGGGGAATCATTGAGAACACTTTCTCGTAGATATTATCACTTGAGAATTCACAGGAATCACTTGTTTTATTTTGGATCTTTTGAACTCGACTTGATCGTCGTTTGTCAATAAACTCGAAAGGAAAAGATCCTCGTTTTTCGGGCTTATTGTTAAGCTTTTCTTTATCCGAATATTCATCACTCATGTTCTCATCAGCACTTTGAACATCATCTGAAGAGGTTCCACTTTCGATTGAGATGAAAGTGCTTCGAGGACAATTTGCCTTTTCCATTTCAGTGTAAATCTTTTTAAGAGTTGAGGTCAAAGATTGTAAAGATGAGAGCGAAGTAGATTCAAGATTTAAAGTGAAAACTTTCCTTCCATCGTTTTGGTTTGTTTCATCTTCCAAGAATTTTCGTTTTCTTTTTTCTTTCAAATTCGAAAATTCGGCCAAAATTTTCTCCTTTCTTTCTAAATCTTTTTCACAAGGATTCCAATTGTGGAGATATTGTAGATTAACAGGTAATTCTGATCCTATGGATGGAAAATGTTTCACCATTTCCGATATTAATAAACAAGCTTTGAAATAATGACAGTCTTTTGTTAAACCTTTGATTGCGAGTTTAAGACAATTACTGTAATCATTTAGAACATAATAAAGACCCATTAGAATATCTAGAACAACCCAATTGGTTGGACTGATTCTATGAGCTTCTTCAAAACATGTACGAGCCAGTGGAAGATTAGTAAATTGATTAAGAGCTCGTCTGCCAGTTTCGATCCATAAAGTAACATCACCGCCATCGATTGCCAAAGCATCGAGGAAATAATTCAAATTATCGGGAAAGAGAAGACCCAAATTTTTGAGAGAAAGATACTTAAGGTGGACAATATTGGTCAAGCCGGAAGATTCATCAAATTCATCAAGAGTATCCAACAAAGAGATCAACTCGGATTTAGCTTGTTCTTTATCCGAATCAACCAATTTCAAAGCTTCACAATAAAGTTGCTGAAGATTTTCCTCTTGAGCTTCTCGGGTTAACAAACCATTTTCCGGTTCCTCAGTTTCCGAATCACTTGTATCAACATCTTCATTTAAAGCTTTAATCCTTATCATGATGATTATGGTACAAAAACAAAACAAACCACACAAGTAAAGAGAAACAAAAAAGCACTAATAACGCAATAAAACAACAGCAAAAAAAAGCAATCAAGCAAATATTATTATAAAAACAATTGGCTATTGATACAATTAAGATTGGAAAAAAATTTTAACAAGAAAAGGTAAAAAATGTAAATCGATAGCGTCCAATAAACTGGATACACAATCAAACAATTTAAGAAGTATCATAGTGAATAAAGCAGATCATCTTCAATCAATCAAATTAAATAATAAACCTTTCAGAGACAATTAATTAACTACAAAAACGCTACCAAATTGATCATTAAATTAAATTAAATTCCCATTTGATAAACAATCAAATGTTCACTCATCTGGTAAAGACCAAAAGAACCAAGAGATGGCAGCACGAGCGAAAAAGGCGCGATAATGAAAATTCAAACATCTCATTTTCGATTCCGATTTTTATTACTTTTTGATTAAGATAAACATATTAATCATTTTCTGAATTGTTTCTAAAAATTTGCAATTCGCTGCCAACGGAACTTAAATTGTTTTGATAATGTCTTTTCGATAGTGAATAATATGAACGTGAAACTTTGTATAAATGTAGTTCATGTAGAGTTCTATCCATTAATAAGAAAGGAAAAGTTTTCTTCGAGTCGACGATTGTGGCCGAACGGGACATTTAAAGGCTTTATTTTAATTCGAAAGTCAATTTTGGGGAAAATATCGATTAATTTATCATTCATGTTGCAACAATTTATTTATTTCGATTATTTTATTTTATGGCGAATCTTCGTCGATTCATTTAATTGCTGTTCTCAATTTATCTCAAGCCTTTCATCTCTATGATTAAATGAACATGGTGATAGTTTTGTTTTTCTAATTAATCTCTGATTATCTAATACTATTGACTGTAGATTGTGATTACATTAATTGCTTCAGGTTTTCTATGTGTGATTATTGTTTATCGTTATTCGTTTATTTGTATGATTAACTGGAAGAAGTGAATTTAGTTTTGGAATCAGTAAACTTTTGCGGATTTTACTCGATTTCTGATTAATTGCATTGGTTTGAAAATTTTCATTTGTTGATTTAATTGTTTGTATTATTCTGATGAATTTGAGATACTTTTTATCGAAATCGAATGAAAAAAATTTCCTCATCGAATTGAACATTGAACTCTATGGACAATGACGGGTTTTGGCCTGGTACTAAGATACGATCCAGTTGGTTTTTATGCTGATTGTTAACACTGTTAACTTAACAGGAAATTATAATTAGAATAATAATTATTAATATATTAATAAGAATTCAGAGTCAAACAAAGTTAATTTTGAGAGAAATCATTTCAATGTTATGATATTCAAACGCCAATTCAATGAAAATAAACTTTGGATATTGTTTGATTAAAATGAGATAAATATTCAATTAATTATAATCAGATTAAATTGGAACAGTATCAAAGTGTTTTAGATTGACTGAGGAAAATCAAATTAACTATAACCAATGTTTTTTTATGCTTAATTGAATTTATTAATAATATGAGTTCTGTATATAACCAAATAACTTTAAACATTCACAATCTAATATTAATTTGATGATCAAGAAAAGTATACAAACCATTTACTGGATCAAGTTGATAATTTAAATTAACCATTAATGATAAAGGTCATTAGAATGATGATTTAAGATGAATGATCAATTTTCAAGGGGAAATGACATTGATTTTTTGTAGATACATAAAAACGTGTAGGTTAATCTTTTGTTTTAGAAGAAATAATTAAATCTAATGAGATTAAAACAATTAACTCATCACAAACACCTAAATCAATCTCAAGATCAAACAGTAAAAGTGAGATCATCTTAATCATCAACAGTTGATGAAGTTTCAAGAAATGATTTCATAACAATTACGAATCCAGCATTTAAACAGCAGAGCAAAAATCGTCTTGGTGTTGACAAGAAGAGAAATTAATCTATTGGGTGTAACAACTAATTACATCTTCAATTGTCTTAATTCGCTGTTAATCAACCTTAATTAGAGAAATAGAAAACGATTAAAAACCTGAAAGAAATTGGAATTGATTAAAATTCAAAGACACGAAAAATTTACCACCAACAACACACAAAGAAATTGTTACAAGTCAAGTTGTCAAGAACGAAGTTGATTAGTTAACAGTAGTAAAAGTGCATTATAACAATTAGATAACATTGATTATATGTAAATTGGGTGTAACGGTAATAATCAACGAAAAGAATAGAAAACAAATTGTTATGGTGTTAATTGTAGGTCGATAATCAAAATCCTTTTCTGGAGAAATAAAGAGAAACTCGAAATTCTGATCCCAGATCGATTAAGTCAACCAACGAAAAACACTCATGGGTAGGTAATCATCATCATCGAATTATTATTGACACAAACAAAGAGAAAATAATTTAATTGTAACAATTAATTGCGAATTGACACTCACACAAAAAAAAGAAAACAATTAGTATCCGAATATCGAATAACCTTTTAGATGAATAATAAGCCCGCCCGATTTCAGATCTTCCATTTTTGTTCTAATATAAGTTGAGAAACTTTTCTTTCGAAATCACATAAGTTAATTGTCTCGCGATCAGAGTGTTTACAATTTAATTTCACTTCTTCTTTTACTCTAATTTGTGAGAAATTTCATTCTCTTCCAGTGATTACCATGGGATTAAATATGTTCACCTGTTTGTCTTTATTAGGCCTTGTTACTTTGATCAATGGTCGATTCATTTTCCCTTTGAGTCCAATTGAAACATCTACTGGACTTTCAGCTGATTATTATCTTCGTGGTAAACCTTTGTCATCTTCCTCTCTGGAATCTTCATCTTCCTCACCATCAATTGAATCTAAAGATGATCTTGAATCGTCTCATGCTTCACCCGTTGGAACCCGATCATCAACTGGACGATCTTATGAAAGAATTCAGGAAACTACTTATCAGGTAAATCCTTTGGTTTTTAATTAATATTTCTCATTGAAAACTCTTTTCCTTCAGACTAATTAGTTGGTTAGAATTCATCTAGATTCTTCAACGGTTACTATCCATTCGATTGCTATTCTATTATTATCATGACGAGTCTATGAGTTTATCCAAAAGATTCTGTCATTTTCTTAGAATTTACTGATTTTTTGTGAATTCTATTACAAAAAATTCTATTCTATCTTTTTTTTCTCGCTAATGTCATCTTCGTCATTCCTTTCTTTGTAGCCTGCTGAACCTTACAACTTCGGCTATGATGTTCGAGATGATTATGGTAACCGACAATACCGAAAGGAAGAGTCAGATGCTTCCGGAGCTGTTCGGGGTTCATATGGTTACACCGATGCCAATGGCCTTTTCCGAATTGTTGAGTACATTGCCGATGCAAATGGCTTCCGTGCCAACATCAAGACTAATGAACCAGGAACTGCCGCCCAACAAGCAGCTGATATTATCCTTTCCGCTGAGAGTCCACCTCGAGCCATTGTCGAAGCAGCTTCAGCACCCAAACCAGTTACAGAAGAAGCACCAAAAGAAGTTATCAAAAAACAAAGCGAATCAGTAATCAGAGGATCGGCTTATGATAGACTTAATCGTCCATCATCATCTTCGTCATCAATCCCAGTTGAGCCTACTTACCTTTACAGAACAGCTCTACCTTTACCCTCGACTCCAACCTCATCTTCATCCTCATCATCAGTTTCAACCTCATCTTCTTCCTCGTCCTCATCTCCTTCTTCATCACCATCAACTGAAATTGAAAAGGAAAGACAATAATCAAATTGATTAAACTAATCAAGATGATGACTAAAAAGTATCTCTTAATTAGTTGTCACAGATACTGTATATTCAATTGTATTATCAATTACAATACAAAGTCTTTGACATTTGTGATTAAGATTAAAAATTAAATTACATACAATCAAAAGCTCAAACTTAATCAATTCAAATATTAACGGCAACGTAATAAAACAGCAGAAAAAAACAATCAAACGATTACAGTTCGTGACAAAAGTTTAGGAATTGAGTAAAATCCAATCTAGTTTTCGAATGAGTCGAAATTAGAGTTTCAAACTTAATAATCGAATATGAAGATAATGTAGTTAATCGAATGAAAATTCACTAATTTTTTTTCTGTCTTAAATTATTAGTGACTTTCGATAAGTCCAAATGAGTTGATTTGTACCTAAAAGTTAACAACAAAAGTTTAGGTTTTTTCGAAGTGCAAAGATTCAACAATCAAATGTTCACTCGTAAGAATCAATAGCAAAGTAAGTAAAGTAATAGTAAAGTAATTAGAACAGTAATTGAATCACCATAAAACCCGAGATTTGAAATACACTTAGATTATCCCAAGAAAAACACAACTCAATTCATTAGAAAATCAATTAACTACTTGGAATGAAAAGGAAATTAAGAAATCGAAAGAAAACTTTGGTGGAGAACAAAAGAACCAAGAGATGGCAGCACAATCGAAAAAAGCGCGATGACGAAAATTCAAACGTCTCATTTTCTATTCTGATTTTTACTCTGATTAAGATAAACAAAGTTACTAATTTTAATCATTTTCTAATTGGTTTTTTATTTTTAATTGGTATCTGTTAATGATTATCGAGTAATTAGTTGTTATTTTTCATTGATCATCAACTAATCTTGTGAGTGAAAAGATTACAATTCTTTTTGTGACTAATGAAACATAAAGATGGAGCTGTTGTAATGTGTAACTATTGACCCTGTCAGTTGACAATTTACCTTGAAATTACTTCTCATTCACATTGGAACAATTTATTTATTTTCTTTATTTATTTCGCTTATTTTATTTTAAGTTTAATCTTCCTCGATTTATTTAATTACTGTTCTCCATTTATCTCAAGCCTTTCATCTCTGTGATTACATGTGCATGGTGATAGTTTACTGTTTCTCTCTTTTTTAGTCAACAAAAAACAGAGAACAAAATAAAGTGAAGATAAAAAGAGAAAAAAAAATCAAATCTCTACATGAAGAAGGATAAAACCAATTGTGTTTCCATTTCGTTTTGTTTTTCCAGTTCATCTCTGATTATCTAATACTAATTGTAGATTGTGATTTCATTAATTGCTTCAGGTTTTCTCTTTGTGATCCTTGTTAATCGTTATTCTTTTCGCTCATCTTTTCTCTAAATAATAACTAGTGTACACTCCCTGTTATCTATTTGAACGCAATAGTTGGAAATTATGTCAAATTCATTTGCCTTTACTTGATTGAGAGAGAGAAAAACAACTTTTGCCTACTGGTTTTCTCTTCTCTTTGTTTACCTTTTCGTTTTCATCTTCTATTAGATTTGTGATCTAAATTAGTTTACTTTGTGTTCCTTTTCCTTGATTGATTAATGTCTCCCCAAATTCTCAAATTGGATGTCGTCTTATCCGTTCTGCATTTCGATTTCCATCCAATCATCTAATCTCAATCAATTGTTGATGCTGTTCCTTTAGCATGTTCAAAGCAGGCGATTTTAAGGTCTGTCTTTCATCCATTGAATTCTCAGTTTTCTATCAACAATCAACACCCAAATGCTGTCCATCATGTGGCTACTTTTTTCCACCGGAAAACCTTAGTGAAGGTAAGTCATCTTTCAATTCAATTCTATTTTTATTTATCTCTCTCTCTCTCTCTCACCACCAATACTTTTCTCTATTCATTCATCCATTTTACACTTTATCTCATTGTAAGTGTGTTCATTGTTTGCTTGGCATTTGCTTAACTTTGATCTATCGCCAACATCAACTAAATCACTCATCTCATCTTTATTGTTAATATTGTCAAATTTTATTAACCTATAATAAAGTGATTAATATTTATAACATAATAGTGATGATTGGCAATCAATTGATTACATTTTCTACATGTACATGTAGTATATTATGAGGTTGAAAGAGTTAACTTTAGATTATTATTAATTTAAAGTAAATCATCTAATCACTAATTTCTCCAATTTCTTTTGGCAAAACATTTATTCAATTGTCAGTTGATACAACAATTAACCCGAAACTCAATTAGCAACAATTCACCATCATCATGTTACAGTTTTTCCTAATCACAAACTCTTCCCTTTAAACCCCAATATACACAATCAACCATTAACCATGATTAGTGATCTGTAATTATCATTGTTTTGTGAAAACAATTAAACCAAGTACAGATTGATTTTCTCAACAATCAATTGTTGAAATCTATTGGAAACTCGATTATCATGTTACCCCGAAAACAATTTCCAATTAAATCTTTTCTCTTGTGATCAGAGTAGTTAATCAATTAGACACAAGAATTACTCAATTGACAATAAAGATAGTCTTCGTTAATTTAGATTGACAGGTTAAATCATTGTTTAAAAAATGCCAACAATCGTCACACAATCAGATAAATTATCCGTTTCATGATTTTCAGCATTTTATTTCCTATTTTTTGTTCAATTCATTTTCTCATATTGTTTTCATTTTATTTTTTTTCTTTTATTTTTTTTTCTTCATTTTATTATTTCTCTTTTCAGTTGCTTCTCGTTACTTTCGAGAATCTTATTGTAAGAATGAACTTTTTTTATCTAATTTTCACAATTTCCAACTACTGTTTAGAAAACTAATTGTCTCCTTTTCGTCTTTAATTACTCAGTTCGCTTATCGTCTCTCATCTTGGTTCTTGGTGTTGGTTCGTGGCTTTGTTATAAAATGATAATCAAAAGAAAATCTAAAATGAAACCGAAAAAAGCGATGTCTTCATGTTCAACACTTAGCATTCACGATCAAATTATTATCAATAGAATGGATAAATTGTTAAACCATCGATCCACCTCATCATCCAAGAAAGTAACAGCGGCAGCAGCAGCCGCTGCCGCTGCCGCCGCGACTGCAGTTTACAATAATCTCAACCATCGTACTAATCACTCAAAGGAAGCCATTAATTACGATTCTCATGGCCTTGCAACGTTGGAGGAAGTATCTTACACCGTCTCATATTCAGATTCTGAGACTGATGATATTGATGTTGAAGAAGAAGATGATGATTTTTATTCAAATGAAAATGATGTAATCTCTAAAGCTATGGATCAATACTCAACTATGAAACGTTCAAACTCAATTTCATCGCAATCTGGTGAAATTGGTGAAGGAACAATTGCTAAAATAGATCAATTGTTGCATCAAATTGAAGATATCAAAGAATCTGTTGGAGAAATGAATTCAGATTTTTTTAACGTTCACTCATATGATCACAATCGTCTATTAAAATCATCTGATCTTGCGGATGGCGAAGAAGATGAACATTTATCAAATTATCCTGAAAATTCAGGGGAAGATTCTCAAATGCCATCATTGGAATATTCGGCTGACAAAGAGGAACCACAAACACCAAGTCTAGAATGGGATTCCAATGATATTAGTCTATTTTCTGAGCTTAATGGTGTTTATCAGTCAACAGTGGTAACAACAACTTCACCTCATACCTCAACTGCAAATCTTATCAGAGCATCAACAGCAATAAAGCAAATGACAACCTCATCACATCAAACAATCTCATCTTCATCAACAGTGTTTACAAATAATAGACAAACCAGCAACATTAATAACAATTTATTTAAATCATCAACTGGCCCTGACACTAGAAGTCACATGATTATCGAATCAAACAATTCCCTTACAAGTTCATCATCCTACCGAAATTCAACCAATATGAATACCTCATTTACCAATTTCACCGAAGGTACAATGTCTTCCTCCGGTGTGACATCAATCGATGGATCTCTCCTTTCATCACCTGATCAAGAACGGACTCGCCTCGAATCACTAGATGACATGATTTCAAAGGCTCGTCGCCTTGGTTTGCTCAACGATTTATTCAAAGCTTTATCGAAAATCGCAAACCGAGATTCAGCTTATTTTGAGGATTGAATCTAAAAGTTACTATAATTATTATTATTCTGTGCTAAAACCAATTAATTGACAGAGGTAAACAAATCAGATTTATCCTTGTACATATTACTCACACACACACACACATCTATATATATCATTAATTATATTAAGAGTAAGAGAATAACTAAATTAACGATTAACAAAAAAAAAAGAAAATCAAAATACTCTATGTAATGTTTATCGTAAAGAAAAGTTGAAAAAAGTAACTGTTTTAATTGCGGTAATCACAAAATCCAGTTAATTTGAGAGAATGCAAAAGATTATTAACTATTTTGAAATGTGCAAATCAACAATTAACTTTAGATTAAATTGTTTCACTGTCAATCTTTAATTTTTGAATACTTTAAAATGAAAATAGAGATGAAAATAATAAAAATAAATCTATAATTTAATTTGATTGTCTTTCTATTTATTTTTATGTTTCCAAATAATTTTTGAACTCGATCAACAATTTATTGCAGATTAATTAGTTATTGTTCTCGTCCTTTGATTACAATATATTAATACAATAATTAAAACAATCTTTTTCTTATCACTTTTTTTTTATAGCAATTAAAGGCTTGAAAATTAAATCATAATTAATTTGCTTCAACTCTGGATTTAAAGGTGAATGGGAATAGAGTATAAATTGAAAAAAGTAAACGGAAACAGGGTAACAATCAAATTGAGGTGAAATTAGATTGACATATAAATCAAATGAGAAATAAAAATTATGTTTACACAATAAATTGCTTCTTTTTAGAGACGAATCAATTACTAATTGTAAAGGCTTTCAACCCTTAATTGGTGTTTAAATTGTGATCAACCACTTTACATCACCAATTGATCCAACAACGTAACTTTTGATGATAAGTTCTGTTGTTGTCTTTTAATTAACCACTGTTGATGTATCACAATTTAGACTTAATTTAAACTTAATTGTTGACCTTTAAATTGCAATTTTCGCGAAAATCTCAGGGATTGAAGGAGATTTCAAAGTCTCTTGTTTAAGGTTCATGATCGATTACATTTGCTGAGTTGAGTTTCCATTCCAAGTTCCGTCTTCGTTGTCTTTGTCCTCGCGATTGTCTCGAAGTTGAGCAACGTTTCCATCTCGATTTAAAAGTTTACTTTCTTTCTGTCGTTTTGCTAATCGTTTTTCTCGTTCCTCTTCAAGGGCGCGTTTTCTTTCTAGTGGATCTCCTTGATCTTGTGAAGATGATGATGGTGATCGAGAAAATCGATTGGGAGCAGGAGGAGGTGGAGGAGGAGGGGGTCTGAATAGACTAGTGATAAATGTCCAAATCCAATATATTGGAGTCATAATGAGTGGCCATATTTGAAGGAACAAATTGGTCGAGACTAATGATGATGCTTTGGAAACCACTGATGGACTTGTCAGGACGAGCAATACTGAGCTTGGTGCTAACTCTAAATCTCTGAGTGATTTAGTTAAATCGTCAGAAGTGAAAAGCCTTTTAGGATATGAAGTAGATAAGGTAAAGTTACGATAAGCTGAGGTGTCGATGACAAATTGACGAAGTGCACAAAGTGGATCGTCAGCACCGAATGTTTGATTTTTAAAGGAACCATCAGGGAATCGAAATTGAATTCTAGCTTCATTTACATTGGTTTTTATACTTGGAGTTGGGGTACTACTGGTTCCTGATTGAGGATCACTTTTAGAACAACTGTTGACTCGAAATTGTTCATTACGCTGTCGTCTTTCCTCCTTATCGGCTTCAATTTGGGCTAAAATACGTTTACGAGCTTCAGCTGCTTCTCTTTTTTCTTTCTCTCTTTCCTTTACAAGTTCAGCCATTTCTAATTCCTCTCTTCGGGCCTTTGCTTTAGCCATTTCTTTACCAGATCTTATTCGTTCCAATTCCTGTTGTCTGGCCTTTTCTTCATCGTCTTTAGCTTTTTTCAATTTCAATTGTTCAATCAATTGTTGAGCTTTGGCAACCTTTTCATCTAATTTGGGTTGACTATTTTCACCAGAACTTGTTTCTACTTTGTCTCCAGTCGTTGAAGTTGACACTGGTGATACTGGTTCCATGGCTGGTTGAACTTGTGTCAACGGGGTCGCTACTGAGGGTGATACAATTGGTGAGGGTACAATTACATTTGTTTTATGAACAAGTAAAACCTTATCAAGACTATTCATAAACTCTTGTTCTGTTACATGACCAGCAATGACTTCCAAGTTAACACCAGTGTTGCTGATAAAGTAAACCGATGGAACCATAAGAATCGGATAAATTTGACCAAATAATTTACAATTTTCTGTACCATCTTCAACCTTAAATGATACAACCTCTCGTTTCATCACAGTAAGTATATCATCTCGAAGATTAACCAACATTTCAGCCATTTTTTTTGACACATCATCCTTGCCTATTACAGAAAAAAAAATTATCAAAACAGAGCAAACAACGAAGCTTAAAGTAACACGATTAGAAGGAAATAAATGACCGATTTATAATCATCGCTACAAGTATTAATTAAATGGAATTGGAATGACAAAATCAACTGAAAAATGAGGAAAATCATTGAAGAAAAATAAAAACAAATTAAGAAAAGAAATGATATTTACCTTCAATAAAAACCATGAACAATTTTTTCTCTCTTTTAGATTTATCCACAGCCTCAGAAACACTCCCAGAGAACCACATGTTGATAATAGTGATAATTAGAACAGTTAATCAAGTGAATAAACAATCAATTTTAATTAGAGTAAAATTAATTATGACAAACAAAAAATTAAAAATTAAATGAAACCAAAAGAAAACAAGATCGACTTGGACTCGTTTTCTGTATTCGAATCCACTCAAGGATTCAGATACATTCGCAATTTATTGGTAAACATTGAGGAGAAATAATTTTTTCGGTTGTGATTAATATCCTTTGTTTTTTTTAATTAACTTATTGTTTATAATTTTGACAGTAATTAAAAACTGTAGCCATGGCCTTGAAGCAGCACTTTTTAACTTGTACAGGTCACACAAGACCAGTTGTGTTTCTAAATTTCAGTGGAATCACTGAGGATAAATATTATCTCATCTCTGCATGTAAAGGTAAAGAGTTTTTGTTTGTTTTTCTTTTCATGACAATTAATCAAATTGGTGTTTTCTTTTTTTCCCCAATTTTTAGATGGTAAACCAATGTTACGTCAAGGTGAAACTGGTGATTGGATTGGTACCTTTGAGGGACATAAAGGAGCAGTTTGGGGAGCAGCTCTTAATGTCGATGCGACAAAAGCAGCGACTGGAGCGGCTGATTTTAGTGCTAAACTTTGGGATTCAATTAATGGAACTGAATTAGCCTCATTACCTCATCGTCATATTGTTAAATCTGTTTCCTTTAGCTCGGATAGTGTTCAACTTGCTACTGGAAGTAATGAAAAGTTGATCAGAATATTTGATCTCAATAGACTTGATGCTGGTTAGTTTTCGGTTGTTACAGTTTTTAAAACTCTATTCTCTTTTTGCTCATCATTTTTTGAATTTTATTCTTCTTTTTTTTCTATTTACAGAACCTTTAAAGATCACTGGCCATACATCGTCTATTAGACATGCATTATTTCTTAATGATGATAGATGGTTAATATCAGCATCAGATGATAAAACAATTCGACTCTGGGATTTAACATCTCTCCAAGAGATCCAAAGACTAGAATTTCCAACCATTCCAAATGATATTGAACTTTCATCAGATAAAAATCTTCTCACGGTTGCTTCAGGTTCATCAGTTAGTTTCCATGAGACTTTAAGTTTATCCAAAGTAAATGAGTACCAAGTACCAACTAAAGTGTATACAGCATGTTTATCTCCTGATAAAAGTGTTTTCGTTTGTGGGGGCGAAGATTTCACAATGTACAAGTATCAATTTGACGATGGAACAGAACTTGGTAATTATCTACTTGGCAAGAGAAGAGAAAAACATTCCAATTGACTTAACTAATTCGCTATTTACTTTTTCGTCTTATCCATTTTCTAGATTCTTTTAAAGGTCATTTTGGTCCGTTACATTGTATCCGATTCTCACCTGATGGTGAACTTTATGCCAGTGCTAGTGAAGACGGAACAATCCGTTTATGGCAAACAATTGTTGGTAAAACTTATGGACTTTGGAGATATGAGACGTAATTAGTTGATCCAAATTAAGAGCTGAAAATTTTGAGAGACATTAAATTGTATTTTCCATTCAACACATCTTCTTATGGCATTCATCTCAATTTAGTTGGATCTAAATTGAGATAATCAATAAATATAACATTGCAGAGCAAAAGTAAAACAAAAAAAGGGAGAGGAAAAGGCGAAACAATTTACTTTTAAATCATTGAATTAACTTTTTTCCAAATCAAATGATCACAATTTATGTTTCATTGTCAAAATTTTGATTACTTTGAAAATTAAGGAAACTCAATGAGAAAGGATTTCACATGTTGTAAAAATCACTTATTTTAAAGTGTAATCAGTGTATAAATATTTTCCAATTTAAGTGAAGTATTTAAATTGTCTTCGAACTGTTAAAATTAATCAACTCAAGGAGATTAAAAATATTGATCATCAAGAAATTTATTCCTCTACAAATCCAGTAACTGATACGAGAAAACTTTCACTCGAAATCTGTAAAATTCTTTAAAATTACTCAAATTTGAAAGAAAATTCGATTAATTCCATTGATAATTAATTAGTGAGAAAAATTAATTTTCTGAAAAAAATTTAATTCGACGAGAAGTGACATCTATGAATAGAATAAGTAACTAGTGTAACGATAAAAAAAATTCTCTTGGAAATTTTTTCCAATCATTGAGTAAACAAAACTGTTACTCTAAATCGTTTCTCTTTCTCTTTACCATTGAGTTGAATTTTTTCTTTCATTTTTTCTACCTGTTTAATTAAACCAATTAAGTGATCACCTTAACGAATGTCAGTTAATAAGTTAAAAAGTAACACCAATTGAATAATTGTTTCCATCTAATTGGGAAAGAAAAATTTACCATTGGTTTTGAGAAAAGAAAAAGTGATCGGGCAACATTGAAGCTTGAACCTTTTCTCTCTCTCTCTATCTCTCTCTCTTTCTCTTTCTTTACACATTCTCTCTTATTTTAAACATTCTTCAGTTAATTTCACCATCATCCTGATTTTCGACCGTCAATTTGGTTACTTCAATCCATATTATCGTGTTTTTCCTGTCTGTGTGTTTCTCGAGTGTATTGTGAGTGTCTGTTCAGTGTTGTTGGTTTCACAATATCTCAAGAGAAAGAGGCAAAGTGAGAGGGCGAGTAAAAGAAAAGAGAGAGAGAGTGAGTGAGAGAGTGAGAAAACCAAGCTTCTCTTCTAGAGAGGTTTTCCACCTGTGAGTTAAAAGAAAGAGATTCTCTTAGATTCTGTACGGAGGTTTCACAATGTAAATGGTTGGAACTACTTCTAGAATTTTTTTTATACTTTCCTTTTCTATTCACACTTTAATTTAGTTCTTTTTTAGTCTCTCTTGACTATTTCTCTCTCTCTTTCTCACTTTTACTTTTTTTTATCATCTCAACTTGTGACTGAATGTGTGTGTGTGTTTTATTCCCATTTACCTGGTATGTTTGTATTTCTAGTTGTGATTAACTTGTATGTTTATGTGTAACCTTTTTTTTATCCCTGACGAGAAACCAAAAGCTTCAAAATATATTCAAGAATTATGTCATCAGCTGGGCATGGAGGACACCGAACTATTGGTATTAATAGTAACCATATAACGAGCGGTAATGCTGGTGGTAGTTTAATGTCGTCTCATGGTCCTGGTTCGGGATTACATGGAACTGCAAATACTTTATTAACCGCTAATCTTGTTGCCTCTCAACGGCAACACTGTTACCTTTGTGATCTACCTCGTATGCCATGGGCTTTATTACACGAATTTAGTGAAGTTGTTTGTAGAGGTTGTGTTAATTATGAAGGAGCCGATAGAATAGAATATATAATTGAAAGTGCACGTCATATGAAACGTGCCGCTGCTGTGGGTGCTTCTCATGGTAGTGGACCTTATGTTGTTGCTGCAGCACCGACAACCGTTTCTGCAGGAATTCAAACTCATCCCAATGTAGTGTCCGGTGATTTACATCATAGTGTTACCGCTCCTCTCTTGAGGCAAGCAGCTCAGTACAAAATTAAAGGTGGTCTGACCTCTGCAGTGGCTGCTGCCGTTGCCGATTTAAACTACGATCCATCTTCTCAACAAGGTGTTAATACATCAGGGGGACATCGAACCACACCACCTCAACCAAGTGTAGCACATTTTGAAACAACTGCTCAATCAATTAGAGGTACAGCGAGTCCAGGACGTGGCTACTCAGCTCAACAAATTGTCACCACAAGCCAAAGATCAAGACTTTCTGATAAACGTACCTTACACAATATTGAACCGGAAAGTGTTGTGATTGACGATTCAACGCCGACAAATCGACCTTCATTATTGGCCACTGTTGAAGAAAATTCCCACTCAGGGTCAACGGTATCTCGACCACCATTAACAAGAGGTGAAAGTTTACCCGCAGTAATGGCAGCCCCAGGAGGAGGAGTGACCGCTTTAAGTGATCATGTTGCATCGGGCCTTCGGAAAGCATCAAGAGACACAAGTAGTACCCATTATGGGCACCCAATGGTGGGTCGAGTTTACTCATTTGATGCAACACTAGTGGGATCAAACAAGGTTTCAACACCTCTAACAACCGCCGCCACAACAACATCCACAACCTCAACCACAACCTCATCAAAGTCATCTTATACTCTTAATGGTAAATACTCATGTAATCATTTTCTATCCAACCCTTTTATCCAAACATAACCTTCTTAAACCATTTGAATATTCATAACGCAACTTAGTGATTAGAAACTGCCTACGTTCTTTAGGTCAAATTACCGTTGACATTTATTATTTGTTAAATCAGTTAACAAGATCTCACTTTTTTTTCCTGACGCTTGGATGATTAGGGTTAACAAGTTGTTCCCTCCAAAAGTTGTATTCTAAACACACATTAACTGTAACTTATCCAATAATATCCTGGACCAAAATTCATCCCTATCTTCATATTGCAATGTTTATTTAATTACTTCATATGAAATTTTAATCATCGTATAGTTGAACTTTGATTTTTCTGCTTCTTTCCATGCTTTGAGTTTCCATCTTTCTCAACATTGTGAAATTATCTAGAGAAGTAACCAGTGACTCCCTATTTATACACAGAGAGAGAGAGAGAGAGAAAATATCTCTCTGATTGTGAATGAAAGGATTAGTTTTCCAATTTAATCATCAAGTTGATTCTTTTTCATTGACAATGAAATTCAAGTGAAACATATGATGATTGATCTCACTTACCCTGGAGAAAAAAAAACTCGATACAAAATTACCTTTGAAAGGATAAACAAGCAAAAGTTGAAACTCTGTTCATGTAAACCCAGATTATACCTCTTCCTTTCTCTCTCTCTCCCTCTCTTTCACCAAGAAAGATGAAGCGAAGATAAAGAAAAATAATTAATAATAGCAGATATTTTGTTAATGACGATGATAATCATCTTAATCAACAACCTAATCAAGCTCTTAAAGTTGATTTTTACTAAGGTTATAAAAATTGAATAAAACGTTTGAATCTTTGAATATGGAAAATTCCAAGGCCTCATGGATATAGTATCATTCTGAAGGCGTGTTTGATTCTGTTTCCATCATCATAATCATCATCACAATCTTCGTCATCATCATCGTCATCTTAGTCGTCATATTCCTCGTCACCATCTCTCTCTCTCCCTCTCTTTCTATCTTTCTATCTTTCTCTCTTTCTCATCCTTTCTCTTTCTCTTTCTACTGGTATCTATGATAACAGTTTTTTCGGTAGATAACTGTACATGAGAGAGAAAGAAAGAAAGAGAATCAACGTCAGCATCTACTCTCGATGTGAAAATGTTTCTTTCTTCTTCCTCGTCTTCTTGCACGTTGACTAGTCAAGAGAATTAAAATTTAATTACGATAAACAATTAGTCTTTTCGGACATTCATTAAAAGAACCAGTAAAAGTATTGATGTTTATGTTGATCGAAAACCGCCTCATCATCACCATCACAATGATGAAAAGAAAAACAAATTAACTGATTGTCTTTGAAATTGATACATCGAATATCTCTTTCAATATTTTCTCTTCCATCATCTTCCATTTTGATAGATTTTTATTATTCTATCATTTTTAACCTTATTCTGATTCTCGTTCCATTTAACAAACCATATAAATCTATAAGAAAATATTATCTTTCATCATCATACTCACTCTGCACTCTTAGACGACAATTTTATCTAATAGTATTATCATCCATCCATCTATCTTTTTCTTCATCATTGATTTATTATTAATCAATTATTGTTAACTTAGAGTAGAACCGACTTTTCCTTCAATTATTTTCTGATGTTAAATCTATCAATCTATAAATTATCAATGCAATTAATGATCAAACAAAACAAAAAATATAAAGGAAATGTTTTCAAACTGTTTTGACTGATCCTAATTGTTACCATAATTGTTAATGAATTAAGGTTTCAGTCAACTTATCTCTAGTATTAATACTCATACAGTTGTAGATCAACAATAAATAATCATTGATAAACTTAATCATGTTTTTCTCATATACTCTACTCGATGTGAATTTTAATTAATCCAATTGTAAGGTAATTAAATTACAACAATTGAGTTGATAAAAGGTAATATGTTTTCTGTTTTTTCATGTTTCCACAACACCCCAATGTGAATATCAACAATCAACTCTCATATTTAAATGATACAACAATGAACCTTATCAATTAACTGAATGATTTTGAAATTACCATGTTAATTGTTTTTCTGTTATCACAATACCTTTTATATTATCGATTTTCACACATAAATGTTATAATATAAATTCAAATGTAATTTATCTAATCTCTTATTAAGTAATTATCAATTATTGATCCGCCTTAATTTTCCAGGTATTTTAGTTGATATATTTAAATGGTTATTACCTTTTATTTTCATTAAGTATCAATAATAATTGATAATTGATACACCAAATATATGATCAATCTAATAATAAAATGGATACAAATTAGCTTATCTTTTTTTTTTGTTTCAAGATGATTGTGACGATGACATTATCATTACAACTCACTAATCAAATTGATAATTGTTTTAGATTGAGTTTCCAAAGCAACCTAATCATAATTAACGCTTCTCATTGATTTTTTTGTTCTCTCTCTCCCTCTTGTATCCATGATGATCTTCACATGGTTCACCTTTTCTCTTATCCATATCTCTCTCTTGATGATAGTTAATTAAAGCAACAATCTCATCTTGATAATACCATTTAACAACAACACTACCTTGTCAATTACAATTACAATTGATATAATTTAGTTTTGATTGTTCTTCCTTATCGTAAATATATTTTCCTGGAGTACTATTGCTACGTAATTTTGTTATTCTCAGGCTACAATGTACTTGGTTTTCTTGCCAAATGATTTCTGATTAATTTCTTTCTCTCCCTTTCATCCTAATTAATCTATCAGTTAAACGGCAATTACAATAAACAATCAATTATTCAGACAACAAATTTACAATTGACTTAATCATTGTAATCATCTAGTGGACTTCAATTTACAATCGATTGTTATATTGTTTTGTTTAACAGAATTTTTTTTGTTTCTCTTTCCTCATTATCATTGAAAGTAATTAACAATACACCAATTAAAAAGAATTAACAATGCAAACTTCTAATTGATTAACTTTTATTCTCTATCAATCAATTGGATGATTGGAATATTAATATTAATTCTAATGATTGTATTTCTTTTTCTCTATTTCTCATTATTAACTTATTTGCAGCAACTAAAAAACCTCGCCTCGAAATCGGTGGATCAAGCAGCACTGGCGGTGGACCTCATACCTCACCGACTACCACTCCACCCACATCATCCTCTGGAACACCTCCAGTTGCACAACATGCACCTCCCCTGAAATGTACCATTTGCAATGAAAGACTAGAGGATACCCATTTTGTCCAATGTCCATCCGTAGCGTCGCATAAATTTTGCTTCCCTTGTTCCCGAGCGGCAATTAAACGGCAACAACAACAACACGCATCAACCGGTGGACCAGGTCCAGGAGAGGTTTACTGTCCGTCCGGAGAGAAATGTCCACTTTTAGGGTCAAGTGTTCCTTGGGCATTTATGCAAAATGAAATAGCCACCATTCTGGCGGAAGATCATGGAGCAGGGTCACCATCGTCATCTTCAGCTCCACCAACACCACAAAATCAACCACCGGTGGTGGAAACTTTCAACAATAATAATAGCAACAGCAGCAACAACAACAACAGCAACAATAACAATAATAACAATAATAATAACCATTCGAGTAACTCATCATCTTCCTCCAATTCAAGTCAATTTAAGGTTAAAAAAGAGTGCGAAAGGCCCGTTGAGAGACAAATAGAATGAGCTAATTAATTAATTTTCAAGATACTACTTTGATTAACCCGATCCTAAAATGTTGTTGAATTTTGTTTAATTTGATTTCAATCATTTTCTCTTGTAACATTGCACTATTAACTAATTATTTTTCATATTCCGTTGATTTTATTCATTTAATTTTTGTCAAAAAACAAGACACTGCTTTTTGTTTTACAAGCAACAAGGTTAATCATCATCATCATCATCATCTTCATCTTCATCTTCATCCTCCATCAGGTTAATCATCAACTTATGTTTCAATTGAAAAATAATGATAATTGTCATCTAATTGTTAGTTGAAATTTTTTTCATGAGATTCATTTGATTGTTTATCATGAATATTACATATTATTTAACTCGAGAGAGACTTGATTACAATTGATCAAACAATTAGTTGCAATTACGATGCATGAGCTAAGATTTTAGGAAAGATACAAGAAAAAACTTAAATTGCTAAATAATTATCAATCATTTACAACCACCGATTAACCAATTAAGCATAAAAATTTTAAATCATTTCTTATTTGATTGAACTTAATTGTTAATATTAAGTTTTTGTAAATAATTAATTCATCAATCAACAAAATCAATTCCTGTTGCAATTTAGTTTTAATTTTAACTGTATCATTATTATTATATTAAATTTTCATCAAAATCATCAACTAATTAATTATTAATTGTATTAACTTATTGATAATTGTCTCTTGCGGAAAAAAAAATTATTCTCTTAATTGTAACAATTAAAATTTACGAAATAATTAATTTGTTGAAAGAAAACAAAAAATGATGAAACATTCAATTCTTATAAATTGTTGCTTAATTGTTTACACCTCAGTCAACCTTAATTGTTCATAGTAATTGTATCAGTGAACTGGAAAATGTTTTGATTTAAATTGCGACAAATCTAATATTAGAGTTAATTGTTTCCTTAATTGTCCAATCGAAAGTCAAATATAATAGTAATTAATGAGATCCACAATTAAACCATTGGAAAATGAGTGAAAAACATAAAATGAATTGTAATGTGTTTGATAAATGAAAACGGAGGAAATTAATCAATCACATTTAAGACAAAAGAATCACAATTTAAATCAACAATTAAAAAAATCAACAAAGAGCAAGTTGTTAGCATGGTAACCATGGAGTCGAGAGTCTCAGCTGAGCTTTTTTCCTCTGTGTTTACATTTTTTACTTTAATTACTTTTGTCTCAAGTTAATTAAATGGTCGATTTTTTTCATCAAATTTAATTTAATTACACTAATTGTGACTTTGAGATTGTAAATAATCAACTTTACCCCGAAAATTAACTGACAACATTGAAAGAGAAACATTTTTTTGTAAATATCTTTTTTTCATCTTCTACATGGTTACAACATATTCTGTTGGTTAAGATAAGGTAATTTCATTTATTCAACCATTTAATCAATTTATTATTTTAATTTGATTTAGTTAAATTATTAGACAATTAGCTGATTGTCCATTGAATTGATTTACAAATGTCAACTATTGTTTAATTCATTTAATTCATTTGTCTCTTTTACTTTCCTTTATCTCTCACGCTTCTTCTGAATCTCCTGTTGTCTGTTTTTTCCTATTCAATTTGATTAATTGCTTGAGACCAATTAACAGGTAAGTTAATAGCTAAATGGTGAAATCAAATCAATTGATTGCAGTAATCAACTCAAATTAAGACATTTTTTTACTCCTTTCTCTCACAGGTCAACAAGGAAACAACAACAACATTCAAGGAAAATGAAGAAAATTTCATTAATAGTTAATTAAAGTCTTAAATTAGTAAATTTAGTAATTGCTATAAGTACGAATCTCTGAAATTGGAAGCTGTTCATCGTGACAATTAAGCTAAAGATAATTATACATTTTAATTGTTGTGGATTACCTTTTATTGGAGGCCAATTGATACAAAAAGAAGCCAGGAAAAGAGCTGAGCAATTGGATACAAGTTACAATATCTTTAAATAGATCACAATCAAAACTAATCATAAAGAATTTATTTTCTAACAAAATGGCAACAAAGGTAAATTGTTTTCTTTTTAATTCTAATTTGTTGATTAATTTTCGATTTTTATTTCATTTTTTAGGCTGTTCGTCAATCTTCATTCCTCCGTTTTGTTTACAACAAAGAGAATACAGAAAAACTGATTGAATCTTCATGCAAATTACTTGGACTCAAGAAGGACGAAGCTCATCTATTTGTTTCCAATCTCTTTCTCACTTCATCAAAACTCAGAATGAAACATTTAATAAGAATTTTGAGAGAAAATTGGAAATACTGAGAAAATATTTATCACCATCGCAAATTGTCAACAATCCAAAGCTTGTTATCAACTTGAAACCAGATATTTTATCTCAAACAATTAAGGATCTGCAATCATTTGGTGTAACCACAATTAGGATTGAACATTTATCCAACCCTAGACTAATCTGGAAATTAAATGAACATGAATGGAAAGATTACAATTTGATCGACGATGGAGTTGATTGTGCTGTTTCTTATATCGCCAATCAAAATGACCTTTCAGATGATATTAAACAAGCGATTTACGATCGAATGTGTCAACAAATTGCTGATTATAAACTGTTACCAATAGAGAAATTGAAACCACTAATAACATCATACAAGTTCCTTTTGGCTTCCTAATAATGTACAAATGTAGATTAATTAGTAATTAGTAATAAAGAGATAAACTTTAGACAGAAAAGTTTGTTTGAAACATTTGTGTGTATTTAAAATACACACAAATTGATTGACAATAATCATTTCAAATGATTCGTTTGTCATTTTCTCGGGTAAAGCTCAACTTTTACACTTTCAGCTGATTTTTTCGGCTTTCGATTCGCAGCTGTTGAGGGGCATCCAAAAGTCTCTCACTGACAAGACATGTTTTCATCTGTGGGCATCAATTTGAATACAGGCAGACCTTCACAGTTGAACGTCATCATCCTGCCATCTACGGGATTTTAGTTTCGTCCTCAATCCTTTTCCATGGGAATTCAAATTATTTTAAATTTTGCGCATTTCGCATTCTTATTTTGACCAATCACATTGATTGTTTACGAACCAATTTTGTTCAAATATCTGAGGTCTGACTGTAGTTTATTAGTCAAAAATTAGCCAAGTTAATCAATTCCCTGTCCGACTGATGATTGGATCAGTTTTATTGACACTAATGATGAAGCGATAGTCGCTGGTTAATCGATAATCAATTGGGTGTTGTCCAATTTATTAACTGAGGCCTAAATTGTTACACAATGGGCTTTGATTTAAATAGATTCCAAGGTGCTGTTGATGAGGAATTAATTTGTCCAATTTGTTCTGGTGTTTTAGAAAATCCAATTCAGGTTTATATTTTATTTTTTATCATCATTGTGCATCAGATTGATTCAATTGTTTTCATCTTGTGTTAATCAATCTTTTGTTTTTTTTCTCTCCAATTCTCTCTATTCAGTTACCTGATTGTGAACATGCTTTTTGTCGTGACTGTATTGTCCAATGGCTATCACGCCGACGAACCTGTCCAGTTGATCGTCTCCATGTTTCCCCTGACGATTTAAAACCCGCTTCTAGAATTCTGAACAATCTACTTTGTCGACTCAACATTGAATGTGATTACAGTTCATTTGGCTGTAAATCTTACCTTAAATTAGATCAATTACCTAATCATTGTAATGAGTGTGACTTTAACCCAGAGAAACCAAGTCCATGTGAACATGGTTGCGGCCTTACAATACCTAAGGATCAATTAAAGGTATCAATTTAATTATAATCATTATTATCATTATCAATATCTTCATCATTATTGGCACAATTATAATTACAATACTATTGACAATCAAGGAAAAAACAACAGTAATCAAACAAAGCTGTTGATTGTCGCCTCCATGGTGTCAATCTAATCTGATGACAAGCGAAACAATTAGTGAATAACAATGAATTAGAGAAGTAGAAAAAAAAAGTATAGAAATTGTTTACTCACATAATTAACTCAAAAACAAACAATTTCTTTCTACAATGTTGGCCCAATTCTCAAGCTAATTACATTTGTCCTTAAACAGTTGTTTAGGTGCAAAGTGAATCATCACTTAATTATCTTTCATATCAATCCAATTATGTAATCAAGAATCAAATTGATTGATTGATTGTCCAGCAAGTGATCATTTACTATTTCATTATAGACCATCAGTTGATCATTGAAGAAATTAACTCATTTGAATCAATTGAGAAAGTATTGATTTTTAATTTTCGTTTTGTATTTTCATTTCACTTTCAGGATCATAATTGTGTACGTGACATGCGAAGCATGGTGGTCAAATTAAAGGAACAATTAAATCTATTGACTGTCCAGTATCGAGAGGTTCGACGAGAAGTGGACAAATTAAAAGATTGTTGTAGATCAATTCAAAGTGTTAATCCCAATATACCAGCGATCGTTGAATCGTTTGAACAAGATGAAATTGAACGTTGGGTTCAAACGTTACCCAGAGCACGAATTAAACGTTGGGGTGGAATGATGTCCACTCCTGATTCGCCCTCACAGGAAGCGGTTAGAAAAGCGTTAATTGACTCTGGGTGTCCGATTCATTTGGTCACCGAATTAATGGAAAACTCTCATGAAAGACGATGGCCACCCGGTCTGTCCACTCTAGAGATTCGAGCTCGAAATCGATTCACTTACAATAATTTCGTCTGCCGCAAGATCCCAGGTCGCCAGGCCGTTGTCGTGATGAGTTGTGACAATACACGAATGAATCCAGATATGCTCTTGGAACCAGGATTGGTTATGATCTTTGCTCACGGGATCGAGTGATAATTAGAACAATTAAAATTTAATCTTTAATGATCCAAATTATTCTCATTGTCTAACTAATCAACTAAATCAACCACCCTAATCATTGTCTCTTTTCAATTCTCAATTTACAATCGTACAAACATCTAATCTCCTCGAAAATTCATCACTATTAATCTAATTTTTATATTTTCTTCTCTCTAATCAACTTAATTGTGATTCATTCAGTCCCATGGTATTGTTATAACTGATTGTAAACTTGCCTCTCGACTCAAGATAAATCATCAATTGTTTTTTTTGTCAATCAATTAATTGTTCTCACTCTTGATTAAGTGTATGTAATTCAAATTTGAAATTATCATCTCTTAATTTAATTAAATCTTGTACATAAAATAAGTAATCAACTAGTTAATCTAATCAAATTATCATGAAAATATTAATGAAATTGTTTTTTGTTTCCAATCAACATCTTATTCATCTGAATGGTGAATTAATTAGTTTAACTAGTGATTTAAAAACTTCCCAACAATTGATTCTTACCCATTTTTTATTTAAGCTGTTTAATTGTTGTTATTTAATATCAACTATCATTATTGTTTAATGATAATTATAAGTTATCAGTATCAGTGAACCTAAAATCTTATAGAGTATTTAGTTAATTGTTATTATAAATTGCTATAATTAGCTGAATTACACTTCTAATGATAGATTAGTCAAGAAAGGTAATTAACTAAAACAATGAAAAATTAAACTACAATCAAACAATTCCAATTATGTTTTTATAAAATATAATAATATGATTAACAAAAAAAAGTTAGTGACGAAAATGATTTGATTGCTTTCAGAATTTAATATTAATTATTTACAAGTTAGGGTGTTAATCAAACTGATGATTAAATTATTAATAGATAATTAACCATTTGAAAATCGGTACAAGAAAGTAGATACTTTAATTATCTTGTCTGAATTGATTTAGCTGATTGTTTAACTGTATAAGGTGAGACTCGAAGATTTTTATAATAATCATAATAAGGCTTGAAATCGGTTCGTCCACCATAGTGTCCAATATTTGACCTTCCAGAGATTCCGTTGTTCATAAATCCACCCCAACCTCGAGAATTGGCCTGATAATGTAAATTATCATTCTCTGAATACTTACCGTTCATGGTAAGATTATCATCGTAACTTTTACGAGGTCGATAAGTTTTATCTTTCTTGGTGCCGAACGACTTTTCAAGGTCAAAAGTTGATAAAATCTTCTCAATATCCGGATCTTGAAGAATATCTTTTGACCGGAAACCCGAAGGTTTAGGTCTTTGGTATCGTCTATGAACCGATGGACCATCACTAAGGCCACTTTCTATCCACTTTGACATCGTGAAGTGTTTCGGTTGCTCTCGAGAGGGAAACATTGGAGGAGGTGGATGATGATGAGGAGAGTAAAGTGTTGAGGTGAAAGATCTCGAGGGTGGTAAAGGTACTGGCGGAGGAGGTGGTGGTGGGTAAAAGCTCTTACCATACAGTTGATAGTGTTGATTGTTTTCATCGAGATCTTCATCATGAATGTTCATATTTTCATCAATTGAATCGCTTGTAGGTGATGGGAAATCAGGGTAAATGGGAAAATTCAATGAAGATGGTTGATAAATTGGATAGTGGGAATTGAAAGGTAAATGATATTCAGAGTGATAGTAATTGGGTTTGAGGTAACCAGTGGGTGGATTTGCCACCATTGAGTTGTATTTAAATAGCGGAGTAAATTCAGGGCTGAAAGATGATCGGCTCATGGGAGATGGAGACGGTGATGGAGAGGATGAAGATCGAGGTGGAATGTACCAAAGTAATTTGTACGAAGGTGGAAGAGCTTTATCTTCATCGTCGTCCTCATCGTCATTCAGGTTCGATAAAAGTTCATTATCGTTGAAAACCCGACGATTTGCTGATAATGGTGATGACAATGGAATTAGAATTGGGATTTTTGTTGATTTAATTCGTTTAATTAGTTGAGGTCTTGGTGTTGTTGATTGTGATGATGAAGATGATGATGATGATCGTCGAGATGAGGAATCTTTATCATTCTTTTTGGTCTTGATCTCATTTTTATCCGATTTTGGGACTATCTTAGTAATCAATGGTTTCGATGTTGATGATTTATCAATATCACCAACATAAAAGAAGGGCATTAATTGTGACGAAGATGCTAACGATTCCTTAATTGTTGGGGCACTTTTATCCAATCCATTGTGATTAACTGATAATTCATCATTATCTAATGATGATATACCTTTACAATTAACATTTAAAGTTAAATTGTCAACTAATGTCAACAAAATGATAAAACTCAACCACACAAACCATTTCATTGGTAACAATTTGTTAATTTTTATCCCACAATTAACTTGATAACTATTCGTTCAATGTTGATCTTTATCAATCAAAACATAGTTAGATTGGTGAACAAGATTAAATTGCTGCAAATTGAAATTTAACTTTTCGTTTTCAAGCAGAATCATTAAAACAATGAATCAACAGGTAACTGAACATTAATCTGAACAACATGATTAACTTAATTGTTATCCAAATAATGAAGACAAAGTGGGAGGTGGTGGTGGTGTTGATCCTGAAGAGGAGGAGGAGGTAGTGGTGGGCTCGAGGATTAACTTGTTGGCTTAAAAACTTAAATCGGAATCAATGATTAACAATTTACTTTTTTTTCACTAAATTAAAATCAAACTATTTATTGTTATTTAATTATCGCTCATCAGTAAATTGTTGTCAACTGGTTGGCAATTTAATAAGATGATCATTTTTTAACCCTCTCTACAATCAGTAGGTTGATTATTATCATTGTGTTAATACAAGTTAATTAACAAACATCTTAATCAGGTTGATGAAACTCATCATTTGAATCCATTTTTTTCATTCTAACAACACAATTAACTTGATGAGTTGATTATTGCATCTAAATTAGTTGTTGATCAACTTATTGCATCGTTGATCAGTTAATTTTGTTGACGTTGTACATTTAATTGTGATTTAATTGAGTGAATTTAAAGGCCCGAGGTTGATTGTATCCGATTAACTTGCATGTTAATCACCAAACAATTAACAAATTACTTTTTCCATTCCATTGATTGTTAAGTTTAACTTTTCATTTTTCCGTCTCATCTTCAACTCATCCTCTTAATCAAGTCTCATTTTAATTGTTTACAATTTAGCTTTAATTATCAAGATAATTTTCAACAACTTTGCTTATATTGATTTAACTCATTCAACAATTAATTAAAGCTATGAATCAATTTTAATTAGTCTCCACTATTCTTGATGATTTGATGATCACTTTTTGAACTAATTGTTGTTATTGTTTTTAAAGGTTAATCATTTAACCGTCAAAAGTTAATCACAATTAACTTAGCTGCTCACACTTGATTGTCATTTGATTGTAAGACTTAATTGTAACTCACTTATTTCATGATTAGTGTCAATTTTTGTTGTTGTTGTTTAACTTAAATCATAATTATAAACTTCAGGGGTTTGATTACAATAATTAAAATTGATTTCTCTTACAATTAAACTTCATTACACTTGATGCAAAACAATTTTGTTTGTTAATTAAATTAATCGTTGATAAAATTACCTCTGCACTTTATGTTTAATTGTTTGTTTCAAATTGAATGAACAATTTAATTGATTGAAACCCTTTCCAAACAATTTAATTAAGATAATCATTAACATAAACAATTAAATCATATCAATCATATTATTTACATGAATCAAATTAAACCATTTTTATTATTAATTGCATCATTATTGTTGTCTCATTAAATTGTCACCAACTACTAATCATGATTTGATTGTTAATCCATTGATCCGTTAATTAATTGGCTGATTGTATGATCACCCTGAGAAAAGGGCAATTTAATTGTCAAGCAATCTGATTTGATCTAATTTCATCTGATTTAATTATCACCCAATAACTAATTAACTAATTTAAAACCAGATCAAAATTTAAGGTTAAAATGTCACCATTGATTTGACAATTAACCAGACAAGATGATTAAATAATTTACTACTAAATTGTTAACTGTAAACTTTTCAATTATCCCAATAAATAAATGATCACAACTTGTTGATTGTTTCCAATTAGATGTGTTGATTGTCATCATCTATTTTTGATTATTCATCAAGAAGATGATCAAGAAAAAAAATCGTCTCAACAATTAATCAATTACTCCGATCATGTTAGCCAATTATTGAGAATTGAAAAAAAAAAATCATATCAAAAAGTTAAAACAATTTACAAATTGTTGGCAATTAAAAGTTGATTAAATTGGAAAATAGAAGAAACAAAAAAATCGTTGATTTATTAATAATTTCTAACCGATTGTCGCAATTAATTGAAGATTTATTTCTAACCAAGCAGTAGACAATTTCTTATACAATTTAATTGAAAGAAATTAAATTAATTGTGACAATTAATTCGCTGTGAGAATAGCCATTTACGCGGTAACTTATTTTCACCAAATTTTCTCGGTGAAGGTTTTGTTTACATTTTTTGTCAACAATAAGCTTTTAATTTTTTGGCTTCTAAATTGATTGTGATTATTTTTTCTTCCAATTAAATTAAATTAATTTTCGCCCACTTGTTTGAATGTTTTCTTTTCACCATTTACACTGGATTCTGGTCTGTATTTGTCTACGGTTACGATTTGGATTTGAAAGGTGACCCATTAAATTTTCTGTGTTTTCTTATTGTTGTTGATTTTCATTATGGGTAAACAAAAAAAGAAACGCAAAGGACCTTACATTGATCTGCTCTGTGAATGGTCAGGTTGTAGTGACCAGCAACATGTGGATGCAAGTTCATTTGCGGAACATGTTAATGGACACCTTGACCAGATCATCAGTACCCATGAAAATGAGGAGGGTAAATTGTTCTGTGGTTGGTTTGGTTGTGCGGACAAAACGTTTGATTCAACAGATGAGCTGATTGTCCATGTTTCATATCATGGATTTCATACTAAACTGATGAGCTATGGGTCGGTGGTCATGAAGGCGATTAGTGAAGATTTGGGTAAAGAGGTCACTTGTGGTATCGATGGAAGCACTCGGACAATACTTCCTGATCTTCCCAATATATTTGTCTGTGTTTGGAAAGACTGTCCGGAAACCTTTTATCGAGCAGAAGATTTTTACCAGCACGTTGAGAAACACCCGTTTGAACCAACGGATCCTTCGACTTCAGCTGATGATGATCAAGGATCAAATGAGGAAAGTTCACCAGATGATAGAGCTCTGGTTCCATTTGGACATGCAACTGATCCCGATCCATCCTCATTCCTTGATGCTGATGGTGGCGAAGGTCCATCATTTTTGAACAAGGATCAATTTAAATGCTACTGGTCAGATTGTTCATTCATTTCTGATTCAAATTCTCATATTGCTCAACATTTACGCAGTCATACTCAAGAGAAGATAATTGCTTGTCCCATTTGCGGTGGAATGTTTTCCAATAAGGGTAAATTTCGTGATCACCTTTTACGACAATTAGATGATGAGGATAGTATTATTGAAGATCAAGCGATAACCCTAAAAATCAATGATCAAGAATTCATGGTGACAATCACTCCCAACGGAATTGGATCACCAGGACCAAGTGGATCAATGTACCGATGTGAACACTGTGATAAATCATTTCATTCAAGTTCCCTTCTTCGTGAACACAATCGTCGCCACTTTCACAGTCAACAATGTGACCTTTGCGGTCGAACCATGGAATCACCTTCAGCATTAAAACACCATATGACCTATCGACACAGTGAAGATCGACCCTTTGCCTGCCAATTCTGTTCAATTCGATGTAAAACCCGTTACGATCTACGGAGACACCTTGAAACCCATTCTAAAAGTAATCCCTTCAAGTGTTCACTCTGTAAATTTGAATGCCGTTGTTGTCACACTCTAACCAAACACATTAAAAAGTACCATCAGTCCACATCGGCGATCAGTGAATATCTTTGCCATGAATGTGGCAGAAAGTTCACCAGAGGTAATAACCTTTCCCGACATTTAAGCTCAATCCATGGATACACCTTACAACCAGGTCAATCTCGATTTACTTACGTTCGAGATAGCGACGGAATCTATACACTTGATCAATCATAATTAGCAACTAATCAACTTCACCTATTGAACAATTAATCTTTCTAATCATCAACGCTTATCATATATTCATACCTTTGATTTGTATTCACCTTTAAACTTTCAATTCTCACTCATTATCACACATACAATCTCATTGAGAGAATTAAAAAAATCTCCTCCTGATCAATCAACAATTAAGTTATGAGATATCAACAATTAACTTTCAACACTTTGAATTGACCACTGGACATTTATACTCAACATTTTTGATAGTCACTGTTACCAAATTATTACATACACTTATGAATTAATCTTAATTGTAAAAAGTTGTTTCTATGCATCAACAGAGGTCGACATGAACATCATAACAATTAATCTTAATCATTTACATTTAACTGAAATTGTTGGCAGATTTTCAAGTTAATCTACTTGATTAATTCAGACCTAATAAACTAATTAATAGTTTAATCCAATCCGGTGGAAATCAACATAATTAAGTTTACTTGTTTTACTTAAACAGGAATCATAATAATCAAACAATTATAATTGTTGTATTTAAATTATTCATGCAATTTATACAATTAACCATCATAAATTTTATTTACTTGATTAAGAATTGAATTGTTATCACCACAAAATATTCATTTAATTAATCAAATTACAAATGGGAAGCAAAAATTAACGTTAAAGTTAATTAATAAGAGTATCAAGAAAAAGTTAAACTCGGTTGATTAATTGGTTGTTACTTTTATGAATTATGATTGGAAATTGTAATCAACTAATTGTTGCTGTTATTTTTTTTTTCCTCATGAACCTGATTAATTATTTCAATGAAATTAATCAGAATTAGATACAAACAAAGGTACAAAAAACAACGAGACCAACACCAAGTGTTAACTATTAAAGTTAATTGTTGGCATATTTTATGTAAATTGAGTTGAATTAAATTCTCTACGGGAAAATAAAAAACGCTTAACAATTTATAAATTATGATAATAATTCAGTTGCAATTGTTGGTGAAAAGAATCAATGAAAAAAGAAGAGGAAAAAAATGATTAGATTAACATACTAGATGATTAATTCCTGTGAGATTAACATAATCAGCAAGTGATCATCTAAATCATAATCTCTACCAGTTGATCATAACAATCAATTGGACAATTAGATTAGTATGATGATGAAGAAAAAGAAATGAAAACTGTAATTAGGATCGTTTTTAATTGTCGACTTTATTTCATCAAATTGCGACTTAATTGTTCAGCCTTTTGTGTACACAATAAGATTTATAATGATTACCAATTAAATCAATGAGTTTAATTGTTTATAATTTTTGAAAATGATACAATTGAAATTGAGATCAGAAAAAAAAATCAAATTGATTTTCATGGATAATTTTGATTCCTATTGATTGGATATTATTTTGTTATTATTGATTGTTGCAAATGAAATGATAAATTGTTGTCTCAGACAATTAGAGTTAATTGTTGTTGTGATGAGGATGATGATTAAGATACATAAGGCCGGTAAAAAGGATCTGATTTATTGTGATTAAGTTGATTAAGTAAACTAGCATTTCGATTGCAATCACTTATGTGACGATTAAGATTAATTGTTGGCCAATTGTTGGTTGATTTAACTGAGCTGCAAATTGATTGTTGGTTAATTGTTGTTGGTGATGTTGATGGTGAAAGATGAGGATGATGAAGATGAAGTTGAGGATGAAGGATAAGATGATGAGGTAAAGGTGATGAACCAGAATCCACCGGTGGGTTTGTAGCCTCCGCTGATGATGGAGGTGAAACCATTGATTGTAAATTGTTTCTATTAATTTGATCAACATTTCCTTTGATTCCTGAATCATGATCAGTAATTTACATTAATTGCTGATTATCAATTTAATTATCATATATTAATTATGCATAAATTTAGAGTAATTATCATAATATTGATTAAGGATTTTAATCAAACAAGGAATAGAAAAACAGAATAAAAAAAAACAAATCAAAACAATTAAAACTAATCAATAGATGAGGAAACTTTGATTAACATTCATACCATTTGATTTGATTTTCTGATGACCATGATGACCACCACCACCTCCATTAACACCACCACCAGCACCACCATTTGACCCTCCACCAGAAGTTACAGTTGACCCACAATTAGTTGATGAATTTTCAATATTATTATTATCCTTATCGTGGGTTTTATTGTGTTTAGATGATGATGATAAAGGCGATGAAGATGCTGAAGATGAAGATGATGATGATGATGAATGAGAATGGGAAGAGGATGAAGATGAGGAAGATAAATTTCCGTTTCCTTTTAATTTAGCTGATTCTTGTTGAGCTTTTTTACTTCGTTTCCATTTCATCCGACGATTTTGAAACCAAATCTTAACCTGTAAGCAAACGAAACAACCAAAATTAAATCACAATTAGAATCAAACAATTAAAAACAAAAAGCTAAACAATCAGTAAGAATCACAATTAACTCAACACAAAGCAAATCTAAATTGCAATAAGCTAATTATTAGAAATAAACATTGGATTCGTTAATCGTAAATGTATTTCCACTCTAATCATTTCAATCAATGTTTTAATTGGATGATTTTTCAAGGCAATCATTTCATTTACAGGGTGGCTATTGATACAGCCTATAAACAATGAATACCCTCGGTGGGAAATGTTGGAATACCTTGTAAAAGTGTCTCTCTGTATATTTCATATCCATGGGTTAGGATATTTTTATAGGTGGTAATTGATGTTAATGGTATTAAATTGTTAAGGTCAATTGAGGATAATTAGGGATGATGATGATGAACAATTTGTTTAACCTAATTGCTTTTAACCTAATTGAACCTAAACTTGATTATTATCCTAATAAACTGTTATAAAAGGTTAGATAAAAAAGTTATCAACTCCCAATTGTCTGTTATATTTGTTATATAATATTATAACGGTAAATTGTTGTTACTACTAATCATCATTAATTATTATACTTATTTTAATCTAATATTGTGAGTGTGTGTAGTTTTTTTTTCTGTATTTTCCTGATTGCTAATTGTTAATTGTGATTAATTAGCTTACCTGTGTCTCTGTTAACATTAAATTGGTTGCAACTTCAAATCGTTTTGGACGTGATAGATATTTATTAGTACGAAATTGATTCTCGAGTTCTAATAATTGTTGACTTGTAAATGCTGTTCGAGGGCGACGAGTTTTACCTCCCAATACACCACTTCCGTTTCCTCCTAAATTGTCGTCAAGAAAAAAAAGAGAAATTTATGATTAACAATTAGTTAATTGATTGAATTTGTTGGGGAAAAAAATTCACATTTTTATCAAATCAACAGTTTCAATCTCAGTTTAATTTTGATTGTGATTTGAGTTTGATTGCACAATTTTCCAGTAAATTGTTGCTATTAAAGTGAATTAAATTGTTGACCATGAAAGTAATTAAGTTAATTGCTGAGATTTAATCTGTATTTTCAAAGTTAATAACAATTAACTTTTGATTAATAGGCGACATCATGTTGGAAGTCAATTTTTTTCAAGTGTTAAAAGTTTGCACTCCTTTTAATAATGTTAATTGTCTCTATTATGATTGTAATGATTAAGTTAATCATGATGATGATGATGATGATAATGGTTGATATAAGTGAGACCACGTGTCTCATCATTGGTTTATCATCATCATCCAATGATGATAAACGGATAAGGAAATAAAGTCAATTGGATTAGGATCAAATTTCAAGATTGAGAGACTCATCTTTTTGTTATTCATGTTCCCAAAGTTAATCAACTCATCTGATTAACTTAATTGTTGTTCTAAATGCACAAGGTCAATTGTGTAATATTATCATTGAACGTGTGGCCTGATATTGATTTAAATGCGTTCAAGTTAATTGTGTGCCATTAACTTTGTTTCCGTTAATCATCATAATCGGTTGATATTAAGTAACCATTGATTATCAATAGATTTGAGGATTAAGACTAAACGGAAAAAAAATTAGTTAATTGTTGACATTTGAACCAAACAAACGTGTGTCTATGTTTGATTGTTGGCACGATAATTAACTTGATTAACTAATATAAAGATTATTTTATCAGTGGTTTCTCAATGGTTTTAAATATCACTTTAATTTCAAGTGATTAACTAATTGATAATAATGTCCAGCAGCAATTAATCAAAAAAGAAAAGTTAATTGCTGATGAAATGATTAATTGTATAACACTTATCATTATAATACAATCGAGTCCATAAGATTAATAGATTGTGAATCAATTTAATCCAAACAATTTAACTTTAAGAGCTGATTTGCCGTTGAAAGTGTAAGTACTTACAATCGTAACTTTTTAAATTGTTGATTAATTGTTACATTAATCATTCATTAATAACAATAAAACTGATTGTCAGTAAGATATTACAACATGTTGTGACGATGAATATTTGAAAGCTGATTAACTTTAATAACAATTTAATGCTATTTACATTATTATTAATGACAATCATTATGTTAATCAACTGATTGAATTTATGATTTAAATTGTTGAAAGTTTATTTTTTTTTCTCGCTTCATCTATATAGTGATTATTATGATTAGTTTTTTTTTTCTTCCACCATGAATATATTTTCATCAACTGATTTAGCGATTCTAGTTCATCCTAATCATCACAATCCCAAGATGATGAAATATATTATCTTAAATTATACGGTGATTTGATTCATGATATTGAATTTGATTTGATTAGATTCAATCATAATCATGATGAGAATTGAGAGAAAACAGAAAAAAAAATGGAATTGGAAATAATAACAATCATCATCATTATAAATCCAAATATTTCATCTTCTTTACCTTTAGCATCCTCATCACTTTTCATCTGTAGACTAAGATTCACACCATTCAAGTTTCATGATGTTTTCATGATTTACTTCTGGAAAAGTTAAAAGATTGAGATGAAATTTCAACCAAACAATTCCTAAGAGATTTTCATGAGGAAAATCAGAGAAGGAGAGAGAGAGAGAAAAAGAAAGAATTTTTTTCTATTTCTCTCTCTCTCTCTCTCTCCTCTAACCTATCAATTTCAATGAGATGATACTGATGATGAGGATGAAGTGATGATGATGCTGATGATGAGATGTTAAAGTTGATTGTGGTGAAAGTAAAAGGTTCAACCTTATTTGTAAGTATAATTCAATTTGGTTGAATATGTTACTATTAATCTAAGTGGGAAGAGGAAACTTGAAGAGGTGATGATGATCAATATGATTGAATGAAAAGATTGAGGAGGAAGAGGAGGTGATGGTGGCAGAGGATCGAGTGGGGTGGGTACATGATGATCTGGATCAAGTGCTCGCGATCCTTTGTTGTGCCCATCTGTCGATTTTGTACTAATTCCTATGTTAATCTCTTCCTCGACTGGTTATCCATTTATCGATATCATTTGATTAATAATACAAAACAACCCAAGGAATTAAAGTCTCATGTAAAGGCAATTATATTGATGTTTAAATATTGTTTACGATCAAGTGATCAACTTTATTTAAATTGCTCATTTTTATGGTCCATTAAATGGTCCATAACAATTAGAGTTGATTATTTGCTTCATTTCCTATCAAATGTAATCATTTAACACCTCGATTAACCATCACAATTAACTTTCATTTGGAATGAACAAAAAAAAACTAAATTCATTTTCTTATTGCTTGTCAATCAATTGTCTCTGTGGTGATTAGTGGTTACGATTTGATTGTTGAATAAGTGACAACTTATTTAATTGTGATTAGTTGATTTGATTCTTTTTTAATCATAATAATTAATTGTTCTCTTGATAATCTAATCCAGTTGATTTGGAGCAATTTTTTTTCCCTTTGGTAAATATAATTAGTTTTGTCTTTATTTGTTTGTCAATTGATTGTTTCGTTTTATTGATTAATTGTATATACTCACAACAATCAACGATTAGCTGACAATTAAGTTTCTCTTTTATTTCTTGATTAAAATTAATCATCATAAATAATGTTAATCAATGAAAACGGAAATTTGTTTATTCTTGTAACAATTAAGTCTTTGGTGTTTACATTTGTTGATTATCATTATTTTTAATGATTACCAATTAACTTTGCTTCTTTCCTGTATTAATCAATCAACATTTTCACTGGTTAATTGTGTTTAATTATTGGTAATCAACATCATATAATTTAATCAACTTTCCAATCAATCAACATTTTCCTATTTGTTGATCACAACAACAACTAAACAGCAATTAAATGTTTAAGAGGCTGCGATTAAATCAATTTTCAATTAAATTGTTGGTTAAGGTGAAATCAAATCAATACTAATGATGATGATTAAGTTGATTGTCAATTGAAAAAACATCTTCAAATTTAATTATCTTGTTACCATTAATGTTTAACCACTTTAATTACCAATCGGCAATTACTTTAGATTAACTTTTTTTTTCTCACCCGATAAGAGATTCAATTTATTAATCATATTTATTAATTATTAATAGTTAGAAAGAGACACTGATTAGTTAATTATCCTGATTGTTAACAATTAATTAATGAATCGTCATAATTAACTGATTACTGTTCAATGAGTTTCTCTTGATTAACTTGATCAATTGATGTTTTTTTGTCTATTAAGTATTTTCTTGATCAACAATCAACTTAATTGTCAAACTTTTTGACATATTTATGGTCATTAGTTAATTGTTACTGGGATATTGATGATTAGACACCAATTAGACTTTATACTTTACTCAATTATCAACCCAATTAATCAGTTAATCACAAACAATTAGGAGTACTTATAATTAAAACTTGTTACAATTAAGCTGCTGATGTAAACTAAATTTATTAACCAAGATTATCAATTTTTGTTGTTATTAGTTTAATCAGATAAATTGCAATTAAGTATTAATATTATTAATTAATTATTGCAACAATTAAAAGCTTTTACATTGGTGATTTATTAGCCAGCTAATAGCAAACAATTTAATAAAAATTAATCAAACAATTCAAGTTGATCGCAATCAAATGAAAGCAACAAAATAAAATACTATTCATAATCAGTTGTATTATTATTACATCAACAATTAACTCTAATTATTAATGATGATTAGTTATTATCACAAGTATTCATTGAGATTTCTGACAACTTGATTAACAAATTACTAATAATAATTATCTTGACTAATCAATGAAAGGATAAAAAGTGTTAGTTGATTGCAGACAATTTAACAACAATTAGCAAATTGAGAAAATATTAGCAATTGATGGACAATCAAATCCATAGACTAGTAATAACTGACCACTGGACATTCAATAAAAGTACAAGTTGATGAAAAAGAATGGACAAAAAAACTCAATCACTTTTGATGACATTGAAAAGATGATGAAAATGATTCCCCATATGGTTACATCTTTCATCATCATCATCATCATCCTTAGGTAAACATCATCCTCATCTATTTAATATTATTCACTTCCTCTTCCTCCTCTCATCTTCCACCCTCAACCCCACCCACACTTACCAGCAAAACACACACACACAATAGATGGATTCTCATCATCGACATATTATCATCACCCACCCCTCTCTCTCTCTCTCATCACAATCATGTCATCATCATCTACCCCACCTTCACCACCCACCCTCTAATACACACAAACAATATGGTGATAATAGTTTCCTTATGATTGGTAATTTATTTTGATTGTTGTTTATCATTGAATATCATTACTGTTATTTATTAATTTGAACACCTCACTATTTAAATTAGGATGATAATGATTAGCAACATGATTAGAGATGATAAGTATTAAATAAAATAAACAATCAATTTTGTATATTGTATAACATTGATCAAGAGACACAAGGATGAGCATCCTCATCCTCATCCTCATCCAATCCCACCCTCAACCTTTTCCACCATAAAACTTACATATGATTTAACTAAACCTATTATCGGATTTAATTTAACTGTTATCAGGTTTTCATTGTTATCATTAAATTGTATTTACATATTATATTATCAGACTGATTGAATAAACAACTGATGATGATTTTTAGTTAATTGTCACCATTGATAATCAAAAATATAGTTTTGTCACAATCCTGATTGTTTATCTCAAGTTATCAACAAATCTTATTGATTTGTTTATTGATTTTGATATTAGTCTTTTTTATTGTTATCAAAATTCAGTTGATGTTTTGAATTTTGATTAAGTTCAGTAACTTTAAATTGTTTCAATTGTATGATTGATTTTGTATTAGTTGCTTCAAGTTTATTTCCATGTAAAACTTAAAACAATTAGGTTAATTATGACTTGATAAGATTGATTTTTGTTTTGTATTAAATTTTTATCTAATAATTGAAGTTAATCCATGTGAATGATTTACAACTTTGATTGTTGTTTTTGTTAGATTATCATTGAATAAACAATAATTACAATCAGTGTGAGCATAATTGTTCACTTAATTGCTATTGAAAATTGATTTGATAATAATTAGAAAGAGAGTAAATTAATTGAGTGTTTTTTACCTGGAGGTCGGTGGTAAAGTAAACCCGCTCTGGCTAACCAGTCAATCGGTAGTGATCCTGGTCCACCTTGGTGATTTTTGATATCATGTAATGAATGAAATGCACTTCCGGTCATTAGGGAGGTTAAACCATGGTGAGGGTGGTGTGGGTGGTGTGGATTAGTGGGTGAGCCTATTGACTCTGATGGAGAGCCAGCATTTTGTCCACCAGTGGGTCCACCATTACCTCCGGTTCCTCCGCCACTGCCAAGGTTTGCATACATCGCTGCATAAAGAGGGTGGTTGGTCATTGAAGATGCAAATAAAGGTAAATGATGAGGATGCGGAGGTGGAGGGTGAGATGGATGATGATGATGGTGATGACCATGGTGACCATGATGAGCTGAATTAGATGATGAAGTTGAGGTTGGTGTGGTTGAAGATGATGATGAATTGTGACTAGTGGTTGTTGTTGTAGGTCCATGATGAGAGGAGGGATGATGATGAGGAAGATGAGGATGATGAGGTGGTAAATGAAGTCCAAGTGGTCCAGGTATTGATGAAGGTCTAGGTGACCAAATTGGTGAACCTTCACTCCCTCCATCAACTCCAACAGATAAACTACCACCACCACCACCTCCTTGGTCACTTGTATCACCATTAACACCCATTGAATTTAATAAATTACCTCCTGCAGCTGAATAACCTGAGGTGGGTGAAACTGTTCCCACTCGACTTGCTCCTCCGGTGGGTGATGAAGGTGAAGATATCTCTTCATTAGGTGAATTAACTTCATAATAAGATTCATGGTGAGACTCATGAGATGCAAGGGAATCAGAATCATTAAGAGATTCAGTTGATTGAGGACTACGAATCGATGATGAATGATTAAGATTATTACTTGAGTGATTAAGTTGATTATCAGTTTTAGCCAATAAAGCGTCAATACAAAAACTTGAATTAGTTGAATTACCGTTATTATTATTACAAGTCCGATGATTAACACTTGATTCAGTTTGATTTAAAGGTGATTTAACTGGCTCTTTAATTGTTGTGGTCATAATTAGTCAGTAATTGAGAAAGTAAATTTGAAAACAATCAAATGATCAACTTAATTATCAGTTTGAAAAAAAAACTTGATTGAACACAATTAACACAAATCAAAGTCAATGGTGATTAGTTGTGACATTATAAGTAAAATTGATTATGAGAAAAAAAAATAAAACAATTGATCAGATATCAAATTACAATTTAAATTGTTGTATGTTGATGATAGTAAACAATTAAGGTTACAATCAAAGGTTTCAATTTAACTGTGGCAAAAATAAGTAACCTGTTATTATCATGATGATGATGATTATTATTATTATTAGTTTCTGATGATTGGTTGATTGTTAACAATTTAAGTTGACGCCTACAAAATTGGGTAAATACAATTAAACTGAATACAAACTAAATAAATAGTAAATGAATTACAATCAAACAAGATTAACAATCAATGATCAAAAATGAAACAAGAATCAGAATCAAGTTTGAACAATTTACTCAAGGGCGACATCTAGATCAATATAATATTGATAATAATCAAGATGATGATGATGATGATCAAGTAGATGATTAAAATGATGATAAAAAAAATTGTTTCTCACTTAATCAACCAACTCTTTTAATCATCGTCTAAGATTTTAACTGTTACCTTAATTATACAAGAGGATGATTATGATGATGATCAAATTGAGATCACAATTAACTGATAACAAATTAAATTAAACATTTTACTTCAAATTAAGGGATCAAATTTGTTATTGAATAAAAAAAGCTTACAACAACAATCATCAACATCATCATCATCATCATCATCATCATCATCATCTTCATCATCGGTGGGAGGATGAAGATGAGGATGGAGATGATGTTATAGGAGTTGAATTTTATTGGCAATTGATGGTGAATGGGTGTGGCCTTTCCCCACCCCCCAGGAAACTGCATCAATATCACAACTCCTCCCATTATTTTCTGGACCAACTCCTCCTTCATGTTGATCATAATAGCAAACAATGATGATGATGATGATAATCAACTACAATTAACATGATAATGTTTGTCTCTTGTTTGTAATTTTCATTGATTGATTTATTTTCTTTGCCCGAGTAATTAGTTGATTGACTTTTGCCTTGATTGTTTTAGTTTTCCCCTTTATCATCATTTCAATTGCTCCTCTTCCTCCTGATTTTGAATATTGAAATTGAATAATATGAACAATATTAATTGTTTTACTTTTAAATTCAATTGATTGATATGATAAAAGCTTTAATGTTTGTTAAATTGATTAGTTTGATATTCATTTTGATTGTGATATTAGTTTGTTGTCCAGTATTTGATTTGATTTGACATACATCAATTGTTTGTAATTTAGGTTTAATTGTTTAGGTTTTTGTTTTCCTATTCAATTGATTACTTTTCATGAAAGTTAATTGTGTTGATCATGTTGATTATAATGATGATAATGAGCATGATTTTTGTTTGATTATCAAGTTAATCAACAATCATGATGTTTTAGTTGAACATTAATGATGTTTACTCATCGAATCATCAATAAAGGATAAAAAGGAGAATGAGATGAACTTTTTGCCTGAGGGGGTTACATTATAAAAGAACGAGAGAGAGAGAGAGAGAGAATCATAATAAGAATGTGATGCAAGAGAATTGAAGATAAAGTGAGAGTGGACAATGAATTTGGAATAAAGTAAATACGAGGGAGAGAAACAGTTTTTTTCTCTTTCGTATTGATTAAATATTATATTCGATGAAAGATGATATCAAAATGATTTCTCATCATCATAATCATCCTCATCTTCATCATTATTATCATCAGAATCAGATGATTGTTGCTACTTTGTTTTTCAATCATGATGATTAGGAAGATAAAGAATCATTTCTCTTTGTCATCTCTGCTCAATTCTTATTGAATGTTATCTCTCTTTCTCCTTATTATCATCGTCATCATCATTATCATCCAATCTGCCATTACATTTTCATCAGTCTCATCCTTTATCATGAAGATCAAGATGATGATGATGATGATGATCACCCTCACATGTACCAATGGTGATGATGTTCAATGTTAAACAAGGAAACTCACAACTCCTCCCAAATTTAACTCCTCCTTTACTAAGAAAAGTTATTTTCTTTCTCTTCTCATCCTCATCCTCATCCTCATCTTCATCACCATCGCCATTATCATCATCATCATCCCCTTTCTCGCTTCTCTTTCTTTTCTTTTCTTTTCTTCCTCTTTTTTTCCTACTCTTCTTCTAATCATGTCAAGTATTTGAACAAAATAATATATGTCATCACAACAATCAACCAAATTAGATGATGATGATTCCTTTTCATCCTAATTAGCAAATTACATTATCTTCATCCGACAATCTAAACAATAATCACAATGATTATTAACATCATTTACTAACTATCATCACTAACCATCATGATGGTAATTTTATCAATCCTGGTTTTTTTCCTCTGGTTTATTCAGAGATACGAATTGGAATCCATGTAACATGTGAAAATGGCTCGAGAGGCAAAAAGACACTCCCTTAACTCTCACCCATGATAATAGAAACAATAACCACCTTCCATCAATTGATCTACCTCTTAACTCACCACCACCCACTCTCATTGGGAAACAAGAAGCAACCAGAGAGAGAGAGAGAGAGAGAGAGAGAGAGAGAGTGAAAAAGTTAAACTGTCAACAATCAAGAAGATGGAGGAAGACAAAAGGGAAGATGATAGAATACGAAGAAGCTAAAGAAACTCTATAGCTTTAGAATCATGAATTCTGATTAAATTCTGGTTGAATTGTCAGAACAATTGAACAGAATTACTTTTGATAATCATAATAATAATAATCATGATGATAAACATTATCATCAGGAAGTGAACCATTGAAATGACTGGAAATTTTTTTCTTCATTCATTGATTGGATTAGAAATGAAATGAAGCAAATAAACAACAAATCAGAAATTAACTAATCAGATAAACATGATTAAGATGATAACAATATAACAAGAAAAATCAACCGATCATGATTAAGATGGTGATCAAAAGTTAAATGATGATAATCAATGAAATAGATTATAATAAATTGTTATTGTTTGGATTAGATTGTAACATGAAATTGAAAATATTATATAAAAGACGTGAAAGAAACAGTGTATTGTATATATAACAATATATTCATCATTTTCCCCTCCCAGTCTCTCTCTCTCTCTCTCTCTCTCTCTCATCCTCATCCTCATCCCTGATGATGCTGATGGGATGCGAATGCTAAAAAGTTGCTGGTGAAAAGTTAAAATTGACCAATAACAATTCAGATCACGAAACAAATTGAATCCAATTTTCAATTATCATTATTGTTCATCATCAGAACTTTATTTTTCTTATCATTCCTTATATTTAACCATTGAGAGTTTTTCATCATCAACTGTTTTCCTTTGGTGATAATATGATGATGATGATGATGGTAATGGTCTCGGTAATTTTATCTTCATCTTCATCTTGTCAATGTTAATATTAACTCCCAACTTACTCATAATCTATCATGATGATTATGGTCGCCATGAGAGTCATTTAATCAAACCGATGATGTTGATAATAAAATTAAACTTTCACAGGTAACACACTAATCATTATCTGAATCTAATTATGATCAAATTATTTTATTATCACCATTAAAAGTTAACAGTAATTGTGTGTTGACAATTAAATTTAATGAAGATCCAGGAAAAAAATAGCTAATAGTTTAATCACAGGGAATGAAAAATAATAATAGGATATAAAGATAAGTAAATCTAATATAATAAAATAATTTGATTGTTTAACAACAATTTAATCACAACTATTATTTGGATTATTGTTATTAACATTGAGAAGATGATTAAATGTTGTCATTAATTTGAAACTTTTTTTCTCAATGAAAATGAAAAATTGTATAAAAAATAAATCAATGATTGAGATTGTGATGATTGTGATGATTAATTGACAATTTAAATGGGTGAATAATAATCATGTTCATCATAAAACTAACCAGTCGACTAGTTATCATTTGGATGATGATAATGATGATTATAGGCAATGAGAGGGATGATGATTAGAGGGTGGGGAGGGTTTGATGGTTGTAAATGTTGATCTCATGAATTGTGAATGAATTGAGTTTGGTGTGGATTCTGTTTCCAAAGGTATCAAGAGGAAGAGGAAGGTTAAAGTCTTGGTACTGATGAAGATGAAGATAAAGTTGAAGATGAAGATGAAGATGAGGATGATGAAGGGGATGAGGAAGATGAAGATGTGAATAAATATATTTAGTTATATATCTAAATTGATTTGATTATAGTGAGAGGAGGATGAAATTATAACGAGATAAGTTAACTTGTCTGATTGGCATCCAATTGGGATTACAATTGAGTTGATCATTTACAATCAAAAAAAAACTAAATTATGATTATTACCATGATTATATTAACATGAGCTATATTGTTTGTATTAACTGTAGTTAATTTGGTTAATTGGATAACAAAACCTTTCCAATTGTTGTTTGTTTGTTTTTTTTTTGTTGCTCTTGTTTATATTTAGTTTTTATCATTGTGATTAAACTGATTGTCAGAATTGTCAATGGGAAACAATTAGCATTTCAAATTGATCTATGTTTTAATCATTCATTTAATGAATGATTGATTAATTGAATTGATTTTGTTTCGTTTGTAAAATTTGCTTCACATTAGTTGTATTAATTGATTATAATTTTGATTGTTGATTAAGTTTACGTTTTGTTTGTTTTAATTACTCTGATTGTGATTAAATTGTCTGGAAATTAATTTTTGATTGTTGATGTTAACAATTCATTGACCATTGTGACAATTTAGTTTGATAAATGTTACAATTTATTTATTTATTTGGGTCAATTTCTAGTTGTTTATTTATCTTTTCATTGAGATTGTGATATTTTAACAATCAATTGATTGTAACTTATTTATTATCATTTGAAATCAAGTAAATTATGATCTGAATTATGATTAACATGATTGTCATGATAATTGAATTCTGGACTCAATTGTATCTCATAGTTATCAAAACAATCAATAAATGAACTTATCAGAAATACAACAATTAGAGTTACTATTAGATTGTGATTGATTGTTTGTATTTAATTGTTGTCGACTCAATTGTTCAGATGATTAACTTGGATATCAATTAATTGATTGTATACTTGGAAAACTGTCTTAATTAATTGATTAAATGATCTCCGTTGATAATTGTTACTCATCTCGTCCTACCGTTGTTAATTAGCATTAATTATTATAACTGATTAGAAATGATTAACTATTAAAATTAAGCTCTTTCAATACCCTCAAGCCTTGTCAACAATTTAACCTTTAATCAAATTAGAGTGAATTTAATTCAATTGTATTGGAAACTATTATTTATCATCACATCTATTGGCTAAATGATTAAGGTAAATAAAGCAATTTATTATTATCATTTTGATGATTATGGATTAAGAAATGATTATAATCATTATCAACATCATCATTTTATCACAATTGGATTTAATTTGGTTTACTTTTATTTACCTTAATCATTTACAATCAATACAATAGTTGATTACAGTTGAAAATCATTCTGATTTGTTTCATTATTTAATTAGGTTGTGATTAACATTCATTGAAGGTTAAATTGTTTACAATTAAGATGAAAAGAAACTATTACCATTAACTAATTAGCTATTCAAAATTTGCAATTAGTTTAAATTGTATATATGAATTGATTAGTTGATTACAGGAAAATTTAATTCTTAATTGTTGAAAGATTTGAACATTTTCCTTGACAATTTGCTTTAATTTCCATGACAATGTAAATAATTATAATATAAACTGATTTTCATGATTAATCCAGTAATCGAATCAAAAATATCTCAACTAATTTAACGATATTTAGTTTTAAATTGTTGGAATTGAATCAAAATGTAAACATTGAATCAAATTTTTCTTCATCCAAATGATGAAAATTTATTTTCTACCCTCAAGCAAATTGATTTAAATTGTTAACAATTTACTGTTCATTTGTCTTTTCCTTTACTCTCAGTTGATTTAATTTGTTTGACAATTTTTTTTGTATTACAAGGTCATCCGGTCATTCTGTTAGGATACGGTTTCAAGGTCATTTGGTGGTCACAATCGAATTTACTTGCAATCATTAGGCTTCATACGAGTTTACAACTTTTTGACATTTTTAGTTGCAGAGATAAATATCGGTTTTGATGCGGAATTCATTCAACTTTCATTAATTTGAATCGATTGTGACCACCAAATGACCTTGAAATCGTATCCTAACAAAATGACCGGAATGACCTTGATATTTTAATATGAAAATTGAGTATGACCTAAACTATCATAACTCGAGTCTTGGTTCTGATCACTCAAAAACAAAAAAGTTATTCGAGAAAAACTTGTTAGAAACTTGGTGAAATGCCCTGTAAACTTTTCTAAATTCAATTTCGATAGTTAAACAATCCAATTGAACAATTAATAAACAGCTTTCAATTCAATCAGAATCATTTGGTTCGATTAATCATTAAAAATTTTTAGTAAAAATTAGATTTTAATTGTTAATTTAATTAATTTTTCTTTTGGAATAAAAGCAATTTAATATTAGAATACGACCCCTTTTCTTTTGGCGCTTTTTCATTTGTTTTTTGTTTTCAAATTTTCCTTTGTCTTAAGATCCATTTTAATTGATTGATTCTTGCTAATTGTTTCTCCTCTTGTTTTATTTTATTTTTTTGTATGTTTAATTGTTCCAGTGTTGGTTTTAATCGGTTGAAAATGGCACAGCGTAGTATTACCAGTTACTTTTCTAAGCCTCTTGGTGCTGCCAATGGGAACGGTGACCTTGCCGGTATAAGTCCGAAAAGGAAACACGAAGATGGTTCTGGTTCCGGTGGCGATGGTGCTTTTAGGAAATCAAAGAAGATCCTTAGTAAAGAGGAAGAGGATAGTTTACAGGTGGAATTGGCTGCAATCGCTCGTACTAATAAAGCTGTTTCAACCAATATTGGTTTAACTTGGTTTAAAGAGTTGAAAGGTGAATTCTCAAAAGGTTATTTCAAAGATTTGGGTGTTTTCCTTGGTGAGGAGAGACGGATGAAGACTATTTTTCCACCTGAGGATCAGGTTTACACTTGGACTACAATGACTTCCATTTATGATATTAAAGTGGTCATCTTGGGTCAAGATCCATATCATGGTCCAAGACAAGCTCATGGTTTATGTTTTAGTGTACAGAAAGGTGTTGATCCTCCACCAAGTTTGAAAAATATGTACCGAGAATTGGCTGCAGACATTTCTGATTTTATGCAACCCGAACATGGAGATTTAACGGGATGGGCAAAACAAGGAGTTCTACTATTAAATGCTTGTCTCACAGTTCGCTCTGGATCTCCTAATTCACATGCTGACCATGGGTGGGAAAAGTTCACCGATGCTGTAATCAAATGGCTCAACTCAAATTGCCAGAATCTCGTCTTCATCTTATGGGGAAATTATGCTCAAAAGAAAGGTGCCAGTATTGACAGTAAACGTCACCTTGTTCTTAAAGCAGCTCACCCTTCACCTTTATCCGTTCACCGAGGATTCTTTGGTTGTAAAAACTTCTCTAAGGCCAACACTTACTTGGAATCAAAAGGAAAAACTCCAATTAACTGGGGCGATTTACCATAAATCCACCAAACCTAAAGTCTCAACGATTAACAAAACAGTTCAACTCCTAAAAAGGGACAAAAATAATCTCCATATTCTCATGACGTCCACTATTCATTTATGATTTTAAAATTCTATTTTCCAACTAATATCTTTAAGAGTTCAAATTCTATTCTTAAAACTCATATTCTCGTCAAAATCACAATTTCATTTGTATTCTTATTGTTGAATTTGATTAAATCAAATTTATTCTTGACTAGAGATTAACATTCACTCTACCAAGAAAAACCTAAGGTTCCATCTATTATTTGTCATTGTCGTTAAAAAGAAAACGTTTATCATGATAGAAAGACGAACAATAAATTCAGTTTATCTTATAATTGACGTTAATTTAATGTTCGATTAATTAAATAATACATAATGATTAGAATTTTTCAATTGGATAATTTATCAATAACGAGGGAAAAAGACGACATTTTTCACGAAAGGAATGGAAGGTTGGACATTAAGTGGATTCGATATTGGCGATGGAACCGGCGAGGAGATTGACGATGGAACTGGCGACGAATAAGCGATTGTTGGATTGAACGAAGCTTCAATGATTCGACCATTTCGAGGGGCCTGATAACGATAATTATGATCAAGTCGATTACTTCGGATCTCATTGATACATAATAAGTCCTCTCTTCACGGAAAACGGCTAATTGTTGTTCCCCGATCTCAACTGGATCGGCCAATAAAATCCAAGTGACAATCTCATCACAAGGAGGTGTCGTCAATGAACCAGAGTAACGGTAAAATTTTTGAGTATTTCGAGGTAACAATTGGTTAATTGTAATTTCTGTCGGTAAGAAAGATTTAGCTTTGAACTCGGGTGATTGGCGAACAGCATAAATCAATGGATCATAATTTGGATTATTTCTCTTGGAGCTCTAAAATATAAAGAAAACAGTTCCAAAAATGGTTACATGATTAACTAATTTCTAATTGTGTAATTAACTTCCAATTAATTGTCAAATTACCGATAAAAATACACCGACAACTGCTAATCCATCTTTATATTTCATCGCAGTTTCAATGTCACCATATTGTTTACGATAGAAAACCATGTGCATCTGAAAGGTTCTAATTGTTAATATTCTGTTAATCATGGTTAAGATTAATCACTCACCTCAGCCGGATAGAAGACTGAATCAATTGAATGTTCAGATCCTCGATCTGAGGATTCACCCCAATGGAAATGAAGCTGAGCGAATTCATAGATTTTATCATCAACAACAGTTCCAGTTAAATTAGGTTTTGGAGAATCAAGTAAAGCGAGCTGAGCTGTAATTACGAGAGAAAATGTCACAATTAATCAGGTGAAATTCATTAATCAAGTAAAGAATCGACTAATTAACTATGATAGAAAAACAAATGTCTTTTCTTGGTTAATCCTTTTTCTTTGATTACAATTTTTTCGTCTCACTTTTTGATTGCTCGAGATTAATTTTCTTCAATTTTTTTCTCTTAATTGTTTCAATCTTTTTCTTACCTGTGTGTCCATTGTTTTTAATCCAAGTTTCATGAGGAGCATCTAATCCGCCGATATTGAGGATTAAATCACGATTAATTCGGACTCTTGATGTTTCGATATCGATTGGTGATTGAGCTCTACCATCACACTCTGGATAAGCTACACCCCAACGGAAAATACCTTATAAGAAATGGTAGAAAAAGATTATAGTTGATTAACTGATTAGATGATTTGATTTAATTTAATTTACCCTTGGAATCGTCGTCTTCATAGTTCCACTCGCCGGCACAATGGGCAAAATTAAACATCAACCCTGAGATTCAAGGAGATAATCAAAAGGTTTCCACCAGCATGATGAAAATGAAGAAAACAATTAAAGGAAAACGTTGATTAAATATCACTGGAATACTTAATTGTTGGTTGAAGTTAATTGTGTTGATTACTAACCCAAAGCAATACAAGTTAAAGGGATAATTGTTGAGATTTTCATGTTTCAATATCTTTAAGGCAATTCCATGGATTAATTTTGATTAATGAGGATAATTGAAAGAAAAGAGGAGAAACAAATTGTTGTTAATTGTGTTAACATTTGATGGTTAGATTACAACAATTAAGCAAAACTTTCAACACAAGGAATCACAAGCCAATGATTATGATTGTCTAATGATCAGTAAATTGCTGTAATCAAATTTAACGGGAAGATGTCAAATGATGACTGAGACAGATCACTAATTATGTAATTAGTGTCCAACTTTTTCGAAGACAATTAAAGTTAATTGTGGATGGAGAAAGAAAAAGAGAACGAAGGAAATAGTAAATTTTACTTACAATTAAGAAACTGGATCAACGATGATGGGACAAGAAGTTGCAACAATTATCCTCGATTTGGATTAGTTTTTTTTCCTTCCAATTCTTCAATGATAATTGTTGATTATCACTGACAATTTGTGACTATTTGTGGTAATTTAGTTAATGAATGACAATTTATTATCCAATCTCGGTGTTTATGGGAGAGAAATTACAGAATTTACATCAGCAGCAATTTATCAAATTGTCTCATTTTTCATTGACAATTAACTCGAAACTGTCTCTCGATATACAATCAGGTAAAAAACGAGAGAAACTAAATCTCTACCAATTAACTAATTAATTAATTTTGTCTTAACCAAAAAATTGACATTAATTATTTTCCTTTTTTTTCTTGTTTTCTAGTCCAATGGTTAACATACAAAGAGATTGAAAGTTATAAATGATTGGGAAAATTGGAAATCAAATCAAATCTAATTACCTGGATTCGTTTTTCAAGAGACAATTGATGATTTGTTTTAATCAACATGCACAGGGAACAATTAATCACTTAAAAGAAATCAAAATCTAATGATAATGAGGAAAATGTAATTCTCAGCAATTAAAAGGTGACAATTGACAATTTCGTTGGGAACACAATAACAGTGACAATTAATTAAATGATTAGCTACTTATTAATCATTAATAGCAAAAACAGATTCCAATGTTTTGATTAACACGAGGCGGAGTTAATTGTTATCAACAGAGTTACAGTTGTTTCCGTTTAATTGATTTAATTGATTGGAAAGATTTGATTTTTTCATCAAATTTAATTACTCAAATTTTGTTTATCTCCAATGATTTAACCTTCAAATATGATTATATCATTAACCTTATTATGATTATCAATACAATTAGCATTTGTATCTTAATCATCATGATCAACTGGATTAGGTTATTAAAATCAATCAGGACAATATGTAAATCTAATCATAACAATCAAATATTATATTTAAGTTGATTGACACAAACTGAACTTAGTTGATTAGTGATGATTAGTATTACGATTGAACAAAAAGAGTTACAATTTAATTGATTACTTTTTCATTTTCATTAACTAGGTTACTAATCTGATCGTAATTTATTTTCATTCAAATTAGATTAAGTTATGAGGGTTGATTAACAATTAACCGTGTTAATTGTGAAGCAAATAGTAAACAGTTAATTAGTGATTTTATTTGAATTTGAGCAATAATTGTAAACATGAACAAGAAAAAAAAGGTAAACAATCAAATCAAATCTACAAACCAAATAATTTAACATAATAATTTATTAAATCAATCAGATTGATTTACTAATCTTCTTTTACAATTAAGTTAATCATTACCTCCCAAATATGAAATTATCAATACTTAATATCATCTTAAAGACTGATTAATTCGTACCAACAATTAATTTTTACACTTTGATGATTTATTATCAACTAAAGGTCATTTCACCAAGTTTACAACAAGTTTTTCTTGAATAACTTTTTTTTGTTTTCGAGTATTGAGAACCAAAACTCGAGTTATGGTAGTTTAGGCCATATTCAATTTTCATATTAAAATATCAAAGTCATTTCGGTCATTTTGTGAGGATAAGTTTTCAAGGTCATTTGATGGTCACAATCGATTCAAATTAAAAAAATCAACATGTACCTTAATCACGAAGATTTCACGACTCTCATACTCTTTGTTACGAGCAAATTAATGAAAATTGAATGATCAGGATTCCGCCTCAAAAATGCTGTATCTCAGCAACTAGGAATGTTCAAAAGTTGTAAACTCGTGAGGAGCCTCATGATTGCTAGTTAATTAGATTGTGACCATCAAATGACCTTGAAAACGTATCCTCACAAAATGACCGAAATGACCTTGATATTTTAAATACAATCCTCATCATCTAATTGTCGTAAAAGGTGATCACGAAATTTACCTTTATTGGAAAACATTCCACCACAAATGGGACAAGCAATTATTTTCTCTTGGGTATGACTGCGTAAATGTTGAGCAATATGAGAATTTGAATCGGAAATGAATGAACAATCTGACCAGTAGCATTTAAATTGATCTTTGCTCAAAAATGATGGACCTTCGCCACCATCAGCATCAAGGAATGAGGATGGATCGGGATCAGTTACATATCCAAATGGAACCAGAGCTCTATCATCTGGTGAACTTTCCTCATTTGATCCTTGATCATCATCAGCTGAGGTCGAAGGATCCGTTGGTTCAAACGGGTGTTTCTCAACGTGCTGGTAAAAATCTTCTGCTCGATAAAAGGTTTCCGGACAGTCTTTCCAAACACAGACAAATATATTGGGAAGATCAGGAAGTATTGTCCGAGTGCTTCCATCGATACCACAAGTGACCTGTTTACCCAAATCTTCACTAATCGCCTTCATGGGAATGGTTCATGACCACCGACCCATAGCTCATCAGTTTTGTATGAAATCCGTGATATAACCTAACCTAACCTAACCGATCCATAGCTCATTCTAACCCTTCTATGAAACCATGAAACCCATTCTAAAAGTAATCCCTTCAAGTGCTCACTCTCAACTCACTCACAATTAACCTGGATTCGTTTTTCAAGAGACAATTGATGATTTGTTTTAATCAACATGCACAGGGAACAATTAATCACTTAAAAGAAATCAAAATCTAATGATAATGAGGAAAATGTTATTCTCAGCAATTAAAAGGTGACAATTGACAATTTCGTTGGGAACACAATAACGGTGACAATTAATTAAATGATTAGCTACTTATTAATCATTAATAGCAAAAACAGATTCCAATGTTTTGATTAAGACGTTAGTAAGGGTTGATTAACAATTAACCGTGTTAATTGTGAAGCAAATACAGTGTAGTAAACAGTTAATTAGTGATTTTATTTAATTTGAGCAATAATTGTAAACATGAACAAGAAAAAAAAAGGTAAACAATTAAATCAAATCTAAAAACCAAATAATTTAACATAATAATTTATTAAATCAATCAGATTGATTTACTAACCTTCTTTTACAATTAAGTTAATCATTACCTCCCAAATATGAAATTATCAATACTTAATATCATCTTTAAGACTGATTAATTTGTACCAACAATTAATTTTTACACTTTGATGATTTATTATCAACTATAATTTAGATTTAATTTGCAAATGATTCATGATCATCGATCTGGTTGACCTTTAATTGGATCATAATTGTCTTCGAGTCCTCGTTGATTGTTACCAACACCGCCGCCGCCACCGACGCCGTTGTTTGTATCACCGACACCATCGACACCAGGGATGAAGGATGAGAATACCACTCGACGATTTAATGGTGATTGAGTTCGATAATTGTGATTAAGATAATCAAGTTCACCCGTTTTGGAAGAGATCATATTGGCCCTTTCATGGCGAAATATGTCCGTCTGCTCCTCTGATATATTGACCGGCTCAGCGAGGATCAACCAAGTGACCACTTCAAGACAAGGCGGTGTCGTTAATGAGCCAGAGTATTTGTAGAAAGCGTTTGTATTGCTTGGTAATACTTGCGAGAAATTAAATGGACCTGGAATATAAGCTTTGTCTCGATACCTTGGGATCTTTTTGATTCCGTTAATTAGCCGATCAAGAGCGTGATTAACTTCATCTGAATGCTGATAAATCACCGAGATTACCAATTATCAGAATTTTAGATTATCATCATAAGAAGAAGCGAAGAAAAAAATCATCAAAGTAAAAGAAGATGAATTTAGAATTAAGCTCAAATGATCATCGAAACTGTTTAATTGTCGTTAAGTTACAGAGCATTTTACCAAGTTTCCAATAAGTTTTTCTTGAATAACTTTTTTGTTTTTGAGTGATCAGAACCAAGACTCGAGTTATGGTAGTTTAGGTCATACTCAATTGTCATATTAAAATATCAAGGTCATTCCGGTCATTTTGTTAGGATAAGTTTTCAAGGTCATTTGATGGTCACAATCGAATCAATCGACAACTAAAAGTGTCCACAAGCTGTAAACTCGTAAGGTGCCTCATGATTGCTAGTTATTTAGATTGTTATGGTAGTTATATCCTAACAAAATGACCGGAATGACCTTGATATTTTAATATGACAATTGAGTATGACCCAAACTACCATAACTCGAGTTTTGGTTCTCAACACTCAAAAACAAAAAAAAAGTTATTCAAGAAAAACTTGTTGTAAACTTGGTAAAATGCCCTGTAGTTTAGTTTAAATTTCTTGGACTTTTACCTTGAAAAAAACGCTCAAAACAATCAGCCCATCAGTATAGTTTAAGGCTCGGTCAAAAGTTCCGTAATCACGCTGATAGAAAACGATATGCATCTGAAAATGAGTAATGATGACAATTAACAAGAACAATTTAAAATTAATTGTTACCATTTTCAATTTGATTAACAAAAAAAAGTTGATTTCAAGAAATCAATGAGTAGTTGATAAAATGACTCAACAGGTGGTGACACTTTACTTTACGATTTGGTTGAAATTAAAGTTAAATCAATACGATTGTTGATGATTAAAGTAAACAATTTGAAAAATCAATTAAATTAATCGTTAATTATTTACCTCAAGTGGGTAGAAAGTTGAATCTATTGAATGTTCTGACCCAAATTTTGATTGGATTCCCCAATGGAAATGTAATTGATTAAAGACATAAACTTTATCATTAACCGCTGATCCAGTTAAAATTGGTTTAATTGCTTCATCAATTCCCAATTGTACTTGAAAATTAGCAAAGAATAAGAAAAATTAATCTTCAACAATTAGAGGGAGAAAAAGACAAATTCAATATTATCTAATGTTGACTTCAGCTGATTTCAATTGCCAAATCAACTTGCTAATCAATAGTTAGCTAATCATAATTGTTACTATTAATAAATGATTGATAATTACTACCAGCTGATCAGTTAAGCTTTTACTGTAATTATGATTGATAAACTTTAATATTCTTGTCATTGTTATATTACATTGGCAACAATTAACACAATTATTAGGCAATAATCAAGTATTTAAAGTATTAATATTAAAGTTAGTTAACTTAATTGCTTTGTAAAAACAAATACATGATTATTTAACAATTTAGCTGAATAAAAAAAATGTCCTTTGACAATTAAGTTAATAAATTTTAAATGCTATTCATTAATCAGCAGACAATTACAAAAAAACTAAATTAAGTCAAGGTTAAAGTTCATCAGCAGTTAATTGTCTTCCTTACTGAGAACAACAATTAACCATTAATTGAATATTCAATTACTCAAATTAATCGTAATAGTGAAACAATAATAATAGTTAATCATTAAAAGTAAAAAATGAATGAATTAACTCAATTTATAAATTGTCATTAATCGATAATCAATTCAAAACCTAAGTAAATTACAACAATTAATGATTATACTTTCAAATCAACATCTTAATGATGATGATTAACAAAAAAAATCATTTCTATTGATTGTCCTTGATGTTGATCTCAATTTTGATGATTATAATTTGTATTTAAATTGATGATAAGTTGATCATACAATCAGGTAACATTTAATTGTTGTTAATTGTTAATAATACTTACCGGTGTGTCCATTGTTTTCAATGAAAGCTTGATAAGGTTTTTGGAATCCAATTAAATTAATGTTCAATGAACTATTGTAATTAACTGAATTGGTATCAATGTTAATTGGTGATTGAAATTTACCCTTACATTGAGGGTAAAGTTGATACCAATAATCAAGTCCTATTAATAACAATTAAGCAAATGATTATCTTAAATTTAATCAACTAATTACGATGAAAATCTAATATTAATTATCCAGATTGATTATTGGATCTGAATGATTGACTTGATTATGATAATAAAATTAAAATTATTTACCATTCATTTTCCCATCATAGGTCCAAGTTGATTCATGTGGTGGGATAACTTTACTAATTGTTGATTCTGTTAATTAACACCAATCAAATTAAATGAAATTTTAACAATAACGTTCAACTATTTGAAACAATTAAAGTAACAATTAATTTACCTGAAGGTGAAGCAGTTAACACTTTTAAAGCAGCATAAACTAAGGTGACAAAATTCATGATGTCCAACAACAATCAAGCAATCAAATGTTTAGTTGGCTATTTAGATGGATTGAGAAACTGGATTAAAGTTAATTGTGAGTTTAACCGATAAGTTGATTGTGATTGTGATGTAATAATGGTGATTGTTAAGGTTTGAATAAACAAAGACGACAATATAATCATAAAAATAGCATGGAAATGAGCAATTGCAATGGAAACCAAGAGGAAAAAAATAAACACAATTAAGTGGAAACAATTAAATCGATTGGTAAGAAAAGTTGAATGATAGAAAAACAAAAACTATTGATTAGAATCGTAATCATGATTAATGTTCAATTGGAATGAGAATTGAAAATTTTATATTGTCAACTAATCGCTAACAATTAACTTAACTCATCATTTGATTGTTTGAGCTTTTTTTTAAACTTCAATTTGATTCAATTGACCAAAGATTTATTTCTAATTAATTTTTAATTATCCCTAACAATTAAAACTGATAAGTAATTAATTGTGATGATTCATCATTTTTACAACATTGAAATTTATTAATTGTTATCATGATGATGATAAATTAAATTGTCGCTTATTAAAAAAGCTTGTTGATTAATTGATTAATTTGAATGGTTGCTTTTGTTAATTGTTACTTTTACCTTTCATCCGATTGTTGATTATCTTGGAACAATTAAAAATTCTGATTGTGATTGAACTTTTCTTTTATATTAAATTTTTAATTGTTTACCTTAAATTGTCGCAATAAAACAAATATAAATTTACAATTAAATTAAATTTACTTTAGAACACTAAAAACTTTCATTTCATCAACAATAAGTATTGAAGTTTATCATTTAGACAATCAAACTAACTCTGATTGTGATTAAATCATCAACTCCACCTAAATGATGTTACCACTGTATTAATAATATCAAATTGTACCAAAGTTAATTGTAATCATCAAATAATAGTGATTTAATCAGCTAAATAGGAGAAAACAATTAAATGAAATGGAAATTTTTTCTCTTCCATCCAATATCAATTAACCCTTGAACGTTGTCCCCAAACCATTGAGATTAACAATCATAATCATCATGATCATCATGATCATTCATGATTAAGATTACTGAACATGATAAATCACAATCAAATCCTAATATAAAATATTAAATCAAATCAACAGGAACAAAAATCAATAAAAACCCACGAGAATTAACAATTGATAAACTATTGGATTAAACAAGTTACCCCTTCATCTTTGATAATAATGTAACTAATAATGTCGACATTAGATATTGATGATAACCAACACCAGCCACTTCCCACCCTCTCTTTTTAGCATCCTCATCATCTGATATCATATTCCTAATATAAAATAATCGTTAGAACTTTTTTTTCTACTACTGTTCAGTTCGATCTTTTTTTCTCCCCAGACTCAATCTCCAAGAAGCAACATGGTTTTGACAGGATTGAAATGATTATCATGATGATGATTATGATGAGGATGAAGATGAGGATGAAGATGACAAGATGACAAAAAAAACTATCATGAAAATAGTTCATAATCGGTTGACAGTTTTTGTAGTATTTTTTTCCCTGGTTAAGTTTGAATCACATTATTTATTTATTTATATCTTGAATTAGATCAATTTTGATCATCAATCATGAAAACGGTCGTTGATGTTGTTGTTTATTGTTTTCATATTGATTCCCATGCATAGAATGGTGGACAATCAAACAACAAGTTGGTCAAGCAACATGATAACATGATATCACATTTTATTTCACATTCATGATCATTTAATGATTAACATAACAATATAATAATAAGATTGATCATCACTTGATTAGCATCATCATCATCATCTTATATCAATATCTTTAAATTGATTAAAATTTCATGATAAAATTTTCAAAAACTTACCTATTAATAGATTTACTTTAATCATCATTATCATTATCAATGATTAACTAGTACATTAATCATTTATATCAAGATGATATTTCACCATTAACATTTAAAACTAATCACAATTAGCATATACACTTTGCGATTGTCCCAATCAGATATTGTCAGTTACAATTAACTAAATTGAAAATAAACTTTTCGATGTTACCATAAATTGAATTAATACAGTATTGATCAGTTTGACATGATTATGTTACAGTTAAATTGCTAAATGAAAACACAGCTATGTAAACTAATCACTAGAGTTAATTGTTGTCATAATTTTTGTTTGATCAACTTGATTGTTGATAATAAATACAGCAAGGATCTCTCAACTCATTTTTCAGCGAAAAAATCATGTGAAAAATAACTGTAGCACCTTCAGATGACCCTAGAACGTGTTATTTTACCGATGACCTGAATGACCTTGATCTTTTGATATGACAAACAAGTATCGCTCAAACTCATACTACTCAAGTCTCGTGTCTCTACGACTCTTAATTGCTGAGGAAATTGCAAAAAACATCGGTAAAAATAGCTGAATTGCCCTGTATTGTATTGTACAAGTTAATTTTTCAATAAAAAAGTGAAATCATTTTGTATTAACCAATACAAAGATCTGTTGATTATTTCAATTACCAGGAAACAATTAAAAGTTGTGAATAAACATTGAGAAGATATTAATTATTAGAAACAGTCAAAACAATCAATTTATTTAGCTGAATGGAAGGCTTTTTTTTATAAATGAATCAATGAGGAAAATTGAATCACGTTCATCAAAAATTTTGATTGTGAATTTGATTCTGACCTTATTCTGATTTTCATCATGTCTCATGTACCATTGTTATCGACAAAGTATCCATCATATTATCTCATATTCATGGATGTGAAAGTTTCAGCTGTTTACTGAAACTCTTAAGATTCATGAGGGATGAGATTTAACATGGAAAACATGATAGATTTGAAAGATGAATTTAGATGATGATGAATTCTGATGATTCTGATATTTCGCATTGAGTTATTTCATTTTTTTATCTTCATGATGATGTATGTCATAGTACAAGGGAAGGGAATAAAACTCAATAACAACAAGAATCCAAAAAAAATATATACAATCCAGTAAATGAGAGAGATCAACATGATGTTTTTGTGACGATTTTCATGAACTTCTGAGACTGAATTGGAATGAAATTACCGATATCAATTTTCATTCCCTTTCTTTTCTTTCTTTCTTCTAACGCAGTCTCTTTTTCCTCTAATTTCATCATCCTTTTCATCTTCCAATGTCACTGAGCAAGTTCCTTGTTCACTTGGGACTTTATGAGTTTTTTTTCCTCTCTCACCATTTCCTAAGAATCGAGATCAAAAAAAGTTCTGACCCAGAGTAATCAAGTTGACGATTCGAATCAACCATTTTCTTACTTTCTACTAGTACTCGGTGTTTCATTCACCACTTTCATCGCAATCATAATCAACAACTTCTCCATCATTGTTGATAATTATCAACGTCTAATTGTCAACAAATCAACCTAATTATCTTCATCCATCAACGAGTGTTCAACAATCTTATCCGTGTAACTTTTAATTGTCAAAGCCAAGGGATAATTATAATGTGCTAATTGTTAATGTTGCAAAGCAGAAACGGATTAATAAATCGTGATTAACTTTTCACCATCAAATTACAGGTTTTTGTTTAATTGATGAAAGGATTTTAATCACAAATTGATTACCATTCACAATCAGGATAATAATAAAGGTAAACATATTTATTATCATTAGTATTCTGATTGCAATTAAGTTAATCAAGTTGTACTCATTTACCACCAGTCACATTGTTGACAAATAATCAAAATTGATTCGGTTACAAGTTGATAATCAAGCTATTGAATTACTGTTTGTTGGCTAATCTGGTTGTTGATTGTGGTAATTAACATCATGGAGAAAGGAAATTAAAATTTAATCTAAATTTAAAATAAGAATCAACATTTTTCTTGTTAATCATCTTTACAATAATCAAGATGATTTAAGATGATGAACATTTTAATTACATTTTTGGCAGAAAAAATCTTTCTGATGATTGAATTTAATTTCCTTAAACATGAGACAAAATTTGATTTCTCTTAACTTTGACGACGAAATCAGTTAACAGTTAATTTAATTGCAATGATTAAAATTTATCACACAACCAGAACTAAATCAACTGCACAAATTTTCAATGTCATGATCAACTCTAATTACAGTTTAATTGTTAATCAAGAGAAAATGTTTAGTACAGAAAGGAAACAATTATAACACGAAAGTAAAGAAAGAAAAGAAAAAGTTAAATTTAAATCAATTTAAAAAACAATCTAACTGATTAATGATCTTTAATTGTGATCGTTAATTATGTTATATGGATAGAAGACAATCAAATTAAACTTGAACCTTTTGTTGTTAAACAATTAAATTTGTTAATTTTGTTATTTTCATAATTAATGAAGATCATGATCAAAAATGACTTTCGAACTTTTTTTTTCTCGAACTTAGAACTTTTTTTTTATTCTTTACGATAACTTTTCTAATCATGATAACGAAGAGATTGGGGAAAAAAAGTTTAATTAACTTATTGAGTGTAAACTGTTAATCATGTTAAATCCATTAAATTGTTTCAGAAAATGATTATAACTAAATTTAATTTAGATCAAGAATTAATAGCTTGAGGAATAATAGTGAAAAAAGTTTGGCAAAATATTCAAACTCCACATTGAAAGTATATGGAAACCAAGAGATAATCATAATGTTAATCATCATCATAATTTAACTTTTTTGTTCATCTTCATCTTTTCATAACTTTGATTTATCATCATCATCATCATCATGATCGTCACAATAGTGTAAATCATTAGACTTGATGATGAAAATGATTATAATCACTAAACAAGTTAATATGCTATTCGTTGATAACTAGATTAATTATGTGATTAAATAACTAGTTTTTCTTTGAATAGCAAATGAATTTCATGATAACATGATGGTGATGAAGATGCTGAGATTATGATTCGTGCCAAAGAAACAAAGGATTTGATGAATGAAAAAAAACTATTTCTCTCACTCTCTCTCTCTCTAAATGTTATCCCCTTTGATTTACCTGGATTAATCATTTTAATCTAATTGCTAGTTGATTATGTTCATTATCATCTTGTTGATTTTTTCCCCAATTCCTTTATTATCGTTGATGATTGAACAATAGTAATCAATGATTATCGTTGAACGTTTTTTCTGCTTAGTTGGTGTCACAATTCAACTTTGTCGTTGTTGTTGTTGTTGATTGTGTAGTTTATTGTGTCAAGTTGATCATTAATAATCAAGTCTACTCTTTTTTTAGCTTCAGTAGGATGAAGATGAGTTAATTTTCAAGTTAACTGAGTGTATATAAGATAAATGAAGATGATGATGAATTTTTCTTTCTCTCTGAGTTCAGGAATTAACATGATGATGTAACTAATATGATGAAACTTTGTACTCTCTCCGAGGGTGAATGATGAATGCCTGATGATTGTTAGGGTGCTATAAATAAGAAATACACTTGGAGTAATTTGAAGACAATCTCGAGGTGGGTTAATGATTATCACTGAAGGAGGAGGCGGAAGATTAGCTTAATGATGATATTTGTTGCATCTTTTAAAGCTCAAAAATGTAAACACAATTTTGTCTTTTTTTTCAATTCTATTTTCGGGTTTAAACTTTTCCCTTTTTTTCATGATAAATCTCAGGAAATTGAATGATGAAGGTGATGATAAATCCTATGGGAGGTAAACTGAAATTCACTTTGGGTTAACGGTGAATCCACTTCTAACCCACTTACAAATACCATTTTCTTCATCATCTTTTATTATTATTATTATTTTCACCTTTAGAACATGAATTTTCACCTAAACATATTAATCTGATATTTTACCATCAAGATGATAACATGACAAGAATTCAAACTTTTTCCAAGTTTCCTGACTGTATATTGATAATGATGCAAGTTTTATCATGAAGAAACAATTTAATCTTTACTCATTTCCAATTCCATGTTGATTAGAGTGTTAATCACATTTAACCCACTAAATTATTTCCGATTAACATAATCAACAAACTTTTCTTCCTATTTCTTTACCTTGAAACTATTAACCTACTTTACTTTTAAATCTCAAAAGGTAATCATCATGTTTATATCATATTGTGTTTGGAAATTATTTTTATCAAGTTGATTAATTGTTAACTAATAACTGAAAACAAGTTTAAATTGCTAAATGGTGAACATTATTATCCATTTTAATAGAAAATAGTGAAAGTTTATACTTCTCAATTTTATCCGAAATTGAATATGATACAAATGTAAATGAATTCAGTTTGAATGAACTTTTTCAAAGGTAAACTCTCAATTCATTGATCAATATTCAATTTGAATAAAGTTGATAACAATTGTATGGAAATATTTACTCAACAACGATTTGATTAACACTAGAAATTTAAATTTTCAAAATTGGATCAAGATGATGATCAGAAAGAAAAAACTTTTCGAGCAATCAAAAAGTTACATTTATCATGGTGATTAACTTAACGATTAAATATAGATGGTTAATATTAGATTAACAGAGCTTATCTGATATGATTAGATTTGCAATCAATGTAACAATTTAATCGTCAATTGTTGACAATCTAACCCAAAAAACCAGAATTTAATGTAATCATTGACATTAACTGTTAGCTGATTGTTTATGATTACGATTGAAAAATATTTACTCCGATGAATTTTGTTACTGATTAATGAATTGTTTCAGTTGAGACCAATGTCCAGAATTATTTCTCAACAATTTACAATTAAATTACTATTTTCATGATGGAAAAATATTTGTTCATGATGCTTTCGCTTTTCTTATTTGTAAAGACAGAACTGTTTTTCCCCTCTGAATTCAGAATGAAATAACAACACATAACAATCATGATATTATTGACTGGTTGACAATTCTGCTCATTCAACTAAACCAACATTCACAATTTATGTTTCAAACCATCAGTGTTTCCAATCAGTTTTTACTCAATAACCCTGAAGGCTTTAGCATTGTTTCATGATGATATTTCAAAGCATAGAAAGTTATTCCTATCATATATTTATTCATGATAAATACTCTGATAAGTATCATCAGTGGATAACGAATAGGAAAATGTTCATTGTAATGAAACAAAATATCAACAATATTGATTATCTAATGATGGAAATTTATTACAATTAACTTTTATCCAGATAATCAACTAATTATTAATAGATAAGTAGATGTTTTCGTTCATTGAAAATGAATATAATAACTTACCTATTCATGGATAGAGAATCGAATTTTATTTAGAACTTTTTATCGAGTTTTTTTTCGAAAAATATTATATTAAATTGGATTTTTTTTCTTGACAACAATTAGTATTAATCGTTAATTAATTGTCATCTTTATATTATATTTTGAATGGGAAAAGGTTAAAGTTATTGGTCAGTCTTGTGCGATGATGACATCATGATGGTGGTTAATTGTTATCAAATGATTTGTGATTTGAATAACAATAAACAAATGAATTAGATTAACCCATTAACAATCAAGCTAACCAACCATTTCCTTGAAATAATCTACAATTTATTAAGCAAAAAAGTTCCTTGTGGATCCCGGAAATGATTTAATCTAAATTGATGTTGACGACATTTTCGGTGAATACACTTGAATATCCTTTGGGGATTATTGTGGGGAGAGTGGGAAGGTGGAGGTGGAGTTGATGAAGATGATGCTGGATCAGGTTAACAACTGAACTATCATGAGCTCAATTTCAGCTCAAGAAAAATAAACCTGGAAATAGATAGTGACAATGATGATGGAGGAGGAGGAGGAGGAGGAGGAAGAGGAGGAAGAGGAAGAAGATGAGGTTGATGTAATTGGAGGAAGACAAAAGGTTCATTTAGATGAAATTGTTGATTAACATTGTTGTTGGTAGTGATTGAGTGACAGGGAAGATTATCATTGATTATATCATTCGTTAGTTGATTGTTTCTTGTTGTTGGATTTAAATTGTAACCATTATTTGTGTGTCTTTCTGATAATTTACCAGGTATACACATGTGATTAACTATCCAGGTAATTTATATAAATAAAAACAGTTAATCAACTAAGCTTACACCTTAATCTAAACCAAAATAATACATCAAAGTAATCAACTAATCAACAAACCAAACTTATTGATTTTAACAGTCAATCCATCTGAAAATTCAAATGAAATATACGATTCTCTCTCTCTCTCTCTCTCTTCTTTCTTTCTTTCTTTTTTTTTCTTTCGTCCTTTTTGTCTCTCTCACTTACTCGCTCATTCTCAGATTGACCAATTGATTGTTAATCACAACCAAGTTTAACATTAATTTAAAACTAAAAGTAGTCAGGACAAGACCATCTCTGAGTCAAGCATTGGATTTTTTCTCTCGATTTGTATTATCGACTTTGATGTCTAATGATCTAATTGACCATATTGAAACGATATTATCAATAACGAAACCAGAACACAAAGAGTAGTAATTACATCGAACTTCTTCAATTGTCCAACGATACACTCGATCATCCTCCATAGCGTGTACAATAGTGAGTTTTCTTTTTAAATCATTCGCAGGTAATGATAAGCAAGTAAAGATAACTTTTGATATCTAATCAGTTGACCATTTTAAGACTAAATCGCTTAAATTAGTGGACAAATTCATCTTCA